GAAGGACCTTTCCGAGTGATGAAGGCGGATTCCCACTCATTGGAGCTGTCACTGCCAACGAACATGAAGGTCACCCACATTGTCAACGTATCTCGAGTCAAGCCTTACGAGGAGGGCCTGCCAGGGCAGGCTGGGTTGGCCACAGATGTAAAGGCAAATGAAGGAATGGTGGTCACCAGAACGGATGACTTCGTGGAAGAACGGCGCTGGGAGTTCGAGGCATTGCTGGACTACCAGAAAGTCGAGGGCAACTGGTGTTACCAAGTGAAATGGACTCACCACCCTCCTGATTGGCAACCTGCGGCGAATCTGGAAGGCTGTGATGAGCTAGTCTGGAAACTTCATGATAGTCGCCCAGAACTAGGCCTCCCTCACCCTATCTTCAGGAAGGGGTTCAAAACATGGCAGAAGGCCAAAGACAAAGCTCCTGCCGAGAGCTCCCAGGCGTCACCAGGGCTCCCGTCACCAGCACCAGCTCCGGATAGACCGGTTCGGCGGAGCGCAAGACTGAACAACAAGTGAGAAATCAAAAGAGTTTCAGCCAAGCACGAACCCCACCATGAATCTCTAGACGTCTCGGAAGAAGGGTCACATTTGGTGATAGTTTGGCTGAAGTTTGGCTTATGAATGAGAGTCTGGGCGCCAAGCCGCCTCCTGCCTTGGCATGCGGGTTCGTAGCCCCCGATAGGGCGCATCTACGAGAACTGGGAGGAGGAACACTTTGGCAACGAAGATGTAAAAGATGGAACTTAGAGGATTTTTCGGGCGAGGGGGCCTTGTTTTGAAAGGGGGGTAGTGTCACAGGCATTGCCTGCCTGTTCCTGTATATATACTGGCTGTCATGTGACATGGTGGCTCTGGGTGGGTCCATGGGGTGGACCCACTGCTCTATGCCTTACATAGTTCTCGTGCGCACACAGGACTCTCTTCCTGTCCCTCGCACAACAATCAAAGTCTTAGCTCAGTGCTTGCTCGCGCCCCATGACAAATAGGATGGAATCTTTTGCCGAAAAGCCCTGGGAGACTCTTGAAAAAAGGGAAAGGCGCGAATGGCATCTTAACATGGAGGTAGTTTAAATTCATACCTTAATGGACATCCGAGTGCAAGTTCAATACGCAAAGAAACGAACACATGATTTCTTGAACCTCTATATTCGCCTCTCTTTTTTAAACTCATCGTTAGGGGTACCTGCTTACACAACGTGCCCTACGGTGACGCGTCAATTACACGCTGCGGATGGTTATTAAGTTCTAGCATAGAGGTACATTCAGAACCACACCAGTGAATTGGACAACTGTGCACGGTCCAGCGCTGGAAATAAGCCAACTCAACTCAAATATCGATCTGGATTTGATTGAGTAGGTCAAATTAAGATAGATATTTAAATTGAATAGAGTTGCTTGCAAATATTTACAAATAATATTATATAAAATCACGTTTTTGGTGTTTTTGGTCTTAAAAGTACTTTGATTCTTATAATTTCTAGTCCTCTAGAACTCCTTACAATTATATATCCCTTCCCCTAAATAGCTACGAATTCGTATACATTATATTAACTACATTAAATATAGTCTAATACCCTAAATACTAGCCAAAATTTTAAGCTCTCGATAGTATTAATAATTTAAACGGTAAAACTTTATCTTTAACTATTAACAATTAGCTTAGCGCCGCTAAAAGAGCGTTTATAATTATTTGCTATAGAGGGTATAGAGAGGACATCAAATACTATACGAACTAAACAAGGATAAATATTCTTATTAAATTTTTTATTACGCTAGAAGGTCGTTAATTGCGTAAATATTATTATTAAAGTAATAGTAGAATTTATTCTCCTTTTTTAATTCTATTAGGAAGGTATTATGAAAATTCTTATTGATAAATTAATCGTTATTAATTCGTTTAATTTATTAATTACTAGTATTAAGTAGAGGGGAAAGTATTAATTAGTTAGTATAATTAATTTTATAAATAGATTAGAACTTTATAAGGGTACTATCCTATTTAATAAGACCGAACCTCTTATTAATTTATCTGTTGCGGTAATTAGGGTATAAAATATGTACAATGTAATATATTAAGTACCTCTTTATTAACCTTCTATACTTTTTAAGTTTAGCGAAGACCCTATCTATAATTAAACCGTCAACTTCTATATCCTTGTTAATTATATTATTAATATAATTAACGGAGGGAGTATTACCAAAGTCTTCTTAAATAAATAGGGTAGCTTAGGAGGATATAATTTAAAATGAGGCTTAGGAAGGCTAGCTAATACAAGAAGTACGTATACAAATATTTTGTTGAATCGAGATAGGAGTAGCTATATTAATATTAGATTTTAGAATATTTAGGTTTTAAAACGATTCGAAGGCGATATTACCCCTAAATTGCACCTTTATTTTGTTAAGCTTTTCGATAAAGCAGTAGAGGTTAAGAATAATTATTAGAAAGAGGGGAGCCTTCTTCTTAAACGTTTTAATAAAGTTTTCGAATAGCTTTAATACCTCTATAATGGCGGTAGAAATCCCCTAATCGTCGTTATTAAATTAATCCTCTTTAGGGAACCGCTTAGATAGTTCTAAATAGTTGATAGTTTTATTAATATAGTAATTAACAAATTTACAAAGCTTTCAAACGTGACAGATTATACAATAGTTAAAGTTTTAACGCATTACATTATTAAGGATAACGCCGATATTAAGAGATAAATTATCCTTTTTAATAACAGTACTAAACCAAGGTTTGATTTCTTTATTAAAGTTACAGTTACAGTTAAATTAAATAATTTCTATAAACTTTATACGACGTTAAAGGCTTCGTTGAATAAATTAAATAATATTATATAGCTTACTAATTAGGCCCTGCTTATACTACTCCCGTAATAAAATATTTTTATCGGTAGGAGAAAGGCGGGGTTAAAAATCGTTAGGATCGGGGATTACGGCCTTTCCTTTTTTAATTAAAAATTTTACGCCGAAGTTAAAAGTATAATCGAAATAGTATAATCGACAATAAAGTACCTTAATTTTAACCTCTTCGTTATTAAGGGCGGAGTAGAGACTTTTAATAATGTAGTATATATAGCGGTTATTGGCTTCGATATTATTATTTTAGAAGTAATTAATATCGTTAGGAAGGATTTCGAATTTTTTAATAATTTAAAGGACTATAGTTACAATATTTTCGCCGTTGTAATTACTCCGTATTTCCTAGAGACCTAGTAAATTATTTTTAAATGTACAGTAGTAATCGATATAATAAATAAAGATTGAGAGGATGGTTAGCCTATTAGGAGAGGTCTAAAGGTCGAGAAATAAATATTTTTAAGTATAGGAGTTAGTTAAGCGTTCCTTCAATTTATTAAAATAATATATATATTTATTATTTACTTAAATGGTTAAGGTATAGCGAGATTAGGGTAGTAAACGGTCTGTTATATTATTATTTATTAGTTTTAAGAGAAATTTGAAGGCGGGGTTCTCAATAAAGGAGAAGGGGAGCTTTATATTAATAATTACCTCTACTAGTATCTCGCGGAAAGCTTTACTAATTAATTTAAGGATAGGGGTAGTAAATTAATTTCGAATAAAATTAGTAACCGATTTAAGCTATCTACATATTTACTCCTCCGCGGCCTTTTTATTAATTAGCTTTATAAGGCGATAGGTACGTTGAAAGTATAAAATTATATAATTAGTAGTAAAAAATATATAGATATTGTAATAGAGGCTATAGTATTAATAATTATCGAACTCTCTATCCCCTAATATTTTAATAAAGAAAATACTACATTAGGAAATTTAAAAACTCCTTTTTATATAGCGATTTAGCTATTTTTTTAATATATATTCATCCCTCTTAATTTTAGCTTTGGGTTATAGGGCAACGTTAGCGGGTAGGTCGTCGGCGTAGATATCTTATAGTAGCGAGAATTGGCGTTCCGTAGAGAGGCGGCAGCTATTTAATTTAATAACGGCGGCGATAAAGGCGGACGAATTTTTAAGAGAGAAAGTAGGCGTATTGCCTACGGTAGAAGAGGCTTTATTACAATTAGGGACCGCGGCGGTAGGGTTTTAAATGACAAGTATTATATTATAGTATTAATAACGTTAATAAAAATTAGTATTAACCAGCGGAATAGGGGAGAGGGAGATTAATAAATATCGAAAGTAATGGAAAGGCTCAAGAGGGATTGTAGGCGATCTAGTAGCGTTGTAATTAACTAAGGGAGAAGGTTGGCGATATAATTTGGAAATACTCAATTTAGTCGATTTAACGTACAATTTAAAAATATTAGAAAATTTCATTTCACCTCTCTAGGTAGTTTGAGCACTACATTGGCAATCGACTGGCAATTAGGATATATATAGTATTTTAGGTGGCGGATTGGTATACCTGAGGGTTGGGGTGGGTTAATCTTTTAGGGGTAAAAATTATGTATTTTTGCACTTTGAACCCTAACCTAAGGATTCTGCTGGGTGCTAAGAAAGGCGGCCAAATCGTCAAGCAAATATCGACTTCGGATTTGATTGGGTCAAATATTTCGATATGCGGATTTGTTTAATTGTTTATTTATATTTGCTTGTATTTATTATCATATTTGGCTTATTTCCAGCGCTGGCACGGTCTAGATGGATTGCGACCAGGTTCTCACTTTCATCCCATCCAGTGCTTTCCACCATTTTGGTCTCCAGCATATGTCATTCACTTCAACCCGGATACTGGTATAAGAACTGCCCCTCCACGAGCTTTCTGGTCCTAAACTCTCTCCTTGCAACTCACAACCTCTGCGAATTAACTAAAAGCACCTACCGACCAACCAACTTTCTTTACTTACTTCGACAACATTTTAACAAAATGTTCTTCAAGTCTACCAATGATCTCATCTCAATGAGTAAGTCGCACCTTCATCTGCCCCTCGTCAGCCGACCTCGACAGAGGCACTTGCTAACATTCCTCCACAATAGTCGAGAGAATTGATCACCACTCCATCGACATGCCCGCTATGAACCGTATCGGGTACGCGGTCGGAGTGATTGGTCTCGCAGCACTGCAGGGCATTTACACTGTCGCTGAGTTCAAGGACGCCATTTGCCACTATGTGGCTACCTTAGGCGCGACCTCGCCAAAGCCGGCACAAATGAGCTCGCCGAGAAGCTCCATCACAGAGAGCTCCTTTGTGGAGATATCCTCTGCGCTGTGCTCGGTAAGAATCTCCTTCAAACTTGAACCCGCCATCCGAATTACCAATCTAGCTGACACTTGTTGTGCAGAGTTGGAGCAGAATGCCAAGCATGTCGCTGTGAACGAGGACGTCGTCATTGACACCGACGATACGGTCCACAAGGATGTCGCGGTTGTCGTCGACAACAGTTTGATCGTTGATGAGTACAACACGGATCACGAGTTTGGTAAGTGCCGATCGAGAACATAAAGCAAACCAATCGATACATCGGTCAGAGCTAACTGTCTTCGTCTTTAGTCTGCATCAACGAGAGCGATGCAGAGATGTCGCAGGCGGATAGTGCCGAGTGGGAGCTTGTTTCGGAGGTGTCCGACTACCTAATTTAGCGGGACCATACCCAAGGTAGTGCCTACCTATCTTGTGCGGTTGGGTAGTGTCCTGGGAAGCTCTCCTATCTGATTTGGAGAAGGCCGAGATTGGAGGAAGCATGATGTTTTACCTTTCCTTTTTAAGAGGTTGTTACCACTACTTCGTGATAGACATCCGAATGTACAGTCCAAAAGCTACAGCGAATTCATCATTTTATGAACCTCTATATATACACCGTTTCACTGACGGCGATTAACCACATTCCGCTCACAATTTCATGAATGCCGGGCGCCTGGGAGTCGGCATTACCCTGGGCATCTCCCTCGATTGTTGCGTGCCCCTCCGTCCTCACAGCAATGATTATACTCCCGAGGAGTTTAAGGAGATTTTTCGCTCCTATGCCGCCACTCTGAAGCAGGAGCATGCCCACGCTCCAAGCGAGGAAATGGTGACCAGGATCAAGCACTTGGAGCTGATTTGTGCCGACATTCTTGTCGCCGTAGCTGGTTAGAGTTTCAGTCCCCCCCAACCCATGATTCCTGTTGCAAATGAAAGTAGCTGACATGCAGCGCAGAGCTCGAAGACAATGCGCTGTGGAGCCAGTACTTTACGGGCAAGTGGGACTTCCTCGAGGCCAAGAGATCTCGAGGCACAGTTGACGACAAGAACAATGCTCCAGTGGACACCAAGGACAACGGCGAGGCCATCTCGGATGCGGATCTCACCTCGGAGGCCTGTCAGCCCACCAGCAATCCGAGTTCCACACTCCATTTAGAAAATGGAAGCGGATGTACGAAGCGACATACCTTTCTCTCCTAGCCAAACAAGCAAAGGACTTCTCGTGCCCTTATTGTAAGGAGCTGGGGGTCGAAAAGTCGTACTCAACATGGCGTCGGCTCCTGGATCATCTTTGTGGGGAAGAATATCCACGCCAAACTGCCACCTTTACTCGTCGCCACAAAGAGCTACAAGATGCAGATGGGTGGAACAATGAAGATTTCTTCGAATTCCAGGATTTGACTGATGGAAGGATCCGCTACCTTGGCGCACAGAGGCGGATGTCACGTCGGTGGCGGATGTTATCATATATCCTTCACTTTCATGACACACGACCCTTCTTCCTCCATCACAGGCAAGCCGGCCGTCCACAGCCACCAGGCACTGGTGATAACGATAACCGTGCACTAACCAGGCGGTTTCAGGTTCTACTTATCATCTCAACTCAGTGCTTTCCATCTTGTGGTCTCCTGGACATGTTATTCACAATGAAATGTGAACGTTTTCGTTGTTCAAGTGAATGTACAGCCGGGTGAAGCGTCTTTCCATCTGATGTGCGATTCACTTCAACAATTTCGACTGGGACACTACTACAAGATCCCCCTCCTCATTCCTCTCTCCGGTCCCAAACTTTCTCCATACAACCCACACAATCTGCAAGTTGACCACAACTTGTCAAGAAGAAGCGCACAAACCGACCTACAAACATTCTTCCAGTCAATTCAAACTCGACCCTCACAGCTGACACAATGTCGTACCCTATTCCGAGAATTATCGAAATGAGTAAGTCGCTTCTCCACAGCACTATCACCAGCACAATCGCCAGCACACCATCAATCTTCCTCTTGCCCACTATCCTCACAGGGGTGCACCTTCTGACCCTATTCCAACACAACAGTCAATTCATGCGACCTCGAGGAGCCCTACACCGACCAACAGCGCATGAGAGCGGCGCACATCGCCGTGGCATGCCACTACGGCAAGAAGATTTTCAGCCCGGCTACGTGCTACACTGACCTCCTCCACAGCGAGGAGAGGGCCGAGGACTTCAAGAAAGTCGTCCGCCTGTATATCGCCAAAACCACCAAAAAGAGTTCATCGAAGCGCTTTCAGCCAACGACACCGACAAGTTGAACCAAATCATTGAGCGTCAAAAATTTGCATATGACGTTCTCTTTGCTGCGGGTAAGAAATTCTTGCTTGTCTGAGTACTATATGCGTAGCTAACGTATCCTGAAGAGGTCAAGGACCGCGAGATTGCTCGCGAGAAGTTCCGCGAGGAGAAGAGCGCCAACCAGGTCTTGTAGTCATTGTTGACGAGAAGGATGAGGTTTCAGTTGAGGAGAGCGGTATGTCGACTGAGTGGGAGTTATTCTAGATTCTTTCAGGCGTGAAGGGAATATTTGAGATGTCTATGTCTACCTACTAGGTATCTCCATTCTTTCGTAGACAGCCTACCGTAGCCACTCACTATCCTCGGCCGGTCTTGAACAATCTGCTAAGAGGTCAAGACGAGTCAATCGAGATTTTCCCTAGTTCAAGTTCAAGATACCTGATACATCCGAGGGAGGTAACTTCAATGGAATGGGCGACAAGCTAGGGGATTTGATCAACCTTTATATATTACTCCTTTAATCATGCCTTCTAGGTACCCATCCTCACCAGGATCATATAACCTTTCTTCCCCCACAACAGTCGAGTATTACGCCGCCGACATTGACCGGCCGCATAGCGCAACTTACCGCCTCGAACTAGCTCGTGAGCTGATTGTGGCATGTGACCTCAACAGCCACGAGAAGATCCGTGAAATGCTCTTTGCCCTGCATGGCTACCTTACATTGTCGACTTAAGACGCACCTAGAGGTAAATTACGTGTGCACGAGCCAGGTGGGGTGAATTCAGCTTCTACTTTTCGTCGAAGTCTGCTTTCGACTTCATTACCGGTAATCTACCCAGCTTGGAACGGTTAAGCTGTTTTAACCGTTGGCTCTGAATTCCGCTCCCTTTTGAGCTTAAGCGTTGAGATATCTTAAGCGTTGAGATATCTTAAGCGTTGAAAGCCAGTGCCTACACCTGATTGGCTAGATGGCTCCCACTAATGCAAGCTTATTTGAAATCCGGCCTCCTATTGGCCAGACCCGCCCCCCTGGCCCGGCCGTCGCCCGCCTAAATCCAAAACTTAAGTACTTCGTCGCCCGCCCAGGTCCAAAACCACCAAGTCCAAAACCACCAAGTCCAAAACCACCAAGTCCAAAACCACCAAGTCCAAAACCACCAAGTTCACCACCACCCACCATCACCACATTGTATCGCGGCCGTCGTCGTCGCTTTCGTCGTCGCCGCTATCGTTGGGGCAATTGAACCTGCGATGCGATTGAAGATGTCAGCTCTTAGAATCGAAACGAGGATGCAACTATACCTAGGAGTATAATAGCCGTCGTCGTCGTTGGTAGTGGTAGTAATGGTTGTAAGAGGAAATTTGGGACTTGGGGAACGGCGGACACTTCAGCTTTTTCACTTCATCAACCCCGCTTCTCTTACTTTCTTTCTCCTTCTTTCTCTCCTCCTCTCTTTCCTCCTCTCTCTTCTTCCCCACCTTCCTCTTTCATTCATCGTGACTTCCTGGAATGGGAGTTTTTCATCATTATTCAGGGTCTTGCAGCGGGCCGAGAGCTTAGCGTCCGCTCCCAGCCCAACGGTTAGGAATTCTCAACGCTTAAGGGCGTTGGCCTACGGTTAACAGCGTTGTAATACGGTTAAGATATATTAAGCGTTCTACAGACCCCTATATTCCCGTTAATGTTCCTCACGTGCTTCTCTTGGTCCACTGCAAGTGCCATGTGCGAAGTGTGAAGCTTTCAAAAGTTGAATTGAATGCAAAGTTGGGGCTACGTCACCTAAGATTGCCCCCTCCTTCTCCTTCGCGGTTCTTAAGGCAATCTCCTCCGTGCAACACCCACGCGCATCCATTTGCACCACAACTTCCATCTCTCGCAGAACCGCGCACATCGACCAACCACCATATCCTTCAACCACAGGTGATCGTCAACACCGACAAGATGTCGTCTATTGGGCTTGACGTAATCATGATGAGTAAGTCGCTTTTCCACAGCTTGCTACCTAGCCACCCAGCTATCGCTCTCCCTCTCGTCAACCGTCACCACCAGGAGCACCTTCTAACGCGCCTTCCCCCATAACAGTCGAGTCGTACACCGACGATAAGGGGTACAGCGCCAATGAGCGTGTGGCTCTGGCCCATAACATCATTGAGGCTAGCAACCTCGATACCTACGAGAAGATCCGTCAGATGATGTTTTCCCTCCACGGGTATATCGTCAACCTAGGAAAGACCTACTACAAGGCTCGCGACGTGGAGGAGCTGTTGACCATCCAGCGGCGCGAGCGCTTAGCTATCGAACTTCTTGGCTCGGCCAGCGGTAAGAGTCTATACTATGTCCTGTGTGCTCGTGGGAAGGCGGCTGACATTTAATGAACAGGTACCTCCCCCAAAAACAAGGAGGTCGACGTTCCTGTCCCTCCCTCTACTGAAAAGTAGAACATGTACAGGTAAACAACTGAGTCCGGTGAGTAAAGCCAATTATGACCTTCTTACATGCAGTGTTTCGATTTCTGGGTGAAAGAGCTAATTCGGTTCATGCTGTAGTCGTTGTTGACGAGAACGTCGAGGAGAAAATGACCGAAGGGGAGATGGTCTAGGTTGTGTCTTAAGCACACCGGAGTTTCCAGACTATTCTTTTCTGAGGTACCTCTATCTTCCACTTGTCATAGCCAACTACAGGTAGGTACCTACCTATCCCGCGCCAGTCATTAGAAGAGCTGCGGGGAAGTAAACATCAATGATGACTCTGTAGCTTGGGACGTTCCATTTAATCTTCCGTTGCCGACTTCGATTGGTGTGATATCTTGATACCCGATGATGTTGTCACGACGCCAAGTCGTATGAGAACGACGATGAGCCCATCACGGACGACGAGGAGGATGTAGTTATGGGAGGCATCTGACTCAATTTCTGACGTGTCATGTTCAGCACAATGTCATTGTTCATGTTTCACAGTGGACACGCCGATGGATCTATAATGCGTTTCTCTACCTCTATGCTCCTTTGAGTAGCATAATGCCCTTGTTCTAGTGTAACTTGATAATTTCAACAAAGAACGCCTTTGGAACCCCTAACCCCTAACGCCGGAGAACGAAGCAGAAGGATTTGATGCTACTCCCACCGCAATCCATTGGACTTCCATCACATCCCAATTAAACCAATCCATTCCATAGTATGCCTTCCATCTCCCCAAACGCAAACCCAGGATAGATATCCCCTCCGTCCACTGACACATAACTCCCGTCGATGGCACCCTCAATATCGAATATGTTCGCAAAATCTCGTCGTCAATGGCAACGGTTGCCACTCTCCTAGTACGAAATCTTCGTAACTCAAACTGATGCGATCTGCGGGGCACGTCTCGGTCGGTGACAAGGTGAACGATAGTGTATGGGTACGGAGCCTAATCGCGAGCGACGATCATATCGAAGACCTCTATAAAGTTGACTCGTTAGTTTGAAGGTACGCTCCAGAGGATTTGTATGAGGTACGTACCTAGGGAGCCCAACATACCACAATGGATTTGGATAATAGCGCGGAGGAACTTCCTCTGCAGTTCCAGGCGCTCATAGGCCATTCCGCGCGGGATGTTGTGCATATATGCTGGATTTCCCTTGATGACGGTATCCAATCGCTCCAAGATCGTTTGTGCGGCGCTTCTGACTACAGCGGGGCTGGTGCCAGTCCTATAGGCGTGCTTGAACCACTTGACCGCTTCGGCGAGGATCTCCGCTGAGGAGGGCGGTATTCCTCCATTGGCATCAGTCATGTCGCTGACTATCGTGATTGTTAGAGACACAGTAGAAACGAAGAAGCTCGGCGCGTGGTGAGGGAGGACTTACTGATCACATCGACGGGGAGGATTTGCAAGTGGTGAAGGACGCGAGCAGGCGGAAGATGGAGGATGATTTCTGGGGTCGGTCAGTAGGTACATACGCAGCGGTGGAACACCCTAGACGGGAAGATACTTGTGACGAACCGTTACAAGCACAGGAGTATATCGCTGGGCTAGGTAGAACAACGGTAGTAGTAGCCGAAAGGTACTGATTGATTGTAGAAGCTATTGCTTGCTGAAGAGCCGGTATTCAAGAGGCCTGGGGAGGCCGTCTTATATACTGGCCTTCATGGACCCGTCAATCCGGACCCGTGGACCCGAACCTCCGTATCGGGTCCTACCTGATTGGTCCCGTTGGTTCTATCTGATCTAGCTTACATAAGGGATCCTTGATTGGATCGTAACAATACTGAATACTCACTCTTGGCCTTAACGGCAGTCTTTCCTGGAGTAATGGCGTTCGGGGTGACTTTGTCGGCCGGCTTAGCGATGGTTGCGGAAACAGGCTCGGGAAGGAGGAGCCATGACTCGTCCTCGTCCGCGGCGACATTCTCCTCTGCAATGGCGACCTTTGCGTTGTCGACAGCTACTTCCTCGAGCTTCTGGCCCCGCGCCTTGGTAGCGGTGGCGCTCCGTGTGGTGTATTTCGTGCGCGCCATGGTGAAGATGTAAGCAGTTCTGCCGATGATATGTTGTTCTGTGTTTGGGTTGGGTGCTAGATTGAGAATCGAGGTATCTCGAAGGTGGTGGTGAGAGGTGAGGGTGCAGACCGAGATGTTGCGACCGCGAGCGACGGGATAAACACGCGAGCCTGAAAAGGAGGGGGAGGGGTGGAGAGTAAAGGTTTTACATCGGGTGTTCGGTGAATTACCCAAGAGTCGCAAAGATGGAAAGAACAACCCCACGATCAAGGTCCTATACGGTGAACACCAGGCCTGTTTGGCGACCGTGAAGTGTGAACAACCTGCTTGTAACCATTCACATCGGAACTTCAGGCTCGGGCTCAGCCCTGGGGTCTCAGGTTCTCTCCAGGTGCACTTCCAGAGTCGCATGTCACTTGGTGACTATATAAAACACCATCTGCTCACCACGCTCTTCCACTTTCTTACACCTCAACACCATCCACCAGGACTTGCGCACCAGCTCACCCAACTTTTCACCTCACCTTGAACCCAACGAAATCACTACCGACTCCAGTCTTAACATCACAACCATGGTCCGCGTAAAGATTTCAACCAAACCGCCTCCGCACTGGAAGGTGCACTCGCCGGCCGCGAGGAAGCGTCAACAGACCAAGAAGGGTCAACAGTCCAAGGTCGACAACGACGTCCGAGATGACGAGAGCTGGCTTCTTCTCCCCGAGCCTGCAGCAGACGCCATGAATCTAGAGGTTGACAAGCCGACAAAAGGTAAGCGAGAATCCAGTGTGCTATTTATGGTGCTCATAAACTGATCCTGAAAGTTCTAGTTGTCATTCCCACTTCTCTTCCTGCCTCACGCTTGCACGCAGCCATGGAGATGATTCCAGTTGAGGACATTGGTAAGTCGTCCACGTCGACTTCCAGCACCCCATCCTGTGCTTTTCTGCGTGTTGAACATTCGATCGCTAACGTCCAGACAACAGTTGGCCGAATGTACCATCTCGGCTGTCCCCCTAGCAACAAAGAGCTGGTGGCCGATGCGACTGTCTTCGTTGAGGAAGCTGCCAAACTCGAGGCCACAGGGGAAATCAAGGAGGCAGCGATCACCATCCTGGAAGACTTGGCGTTCACGATCAATGACCGTGGCACTGGAGCTTATCCAGTGGGCCAACAATACGAATTCCTGAAGAAGCAGGTCACCTTCCTCGGCGCCATTATTCAGCTCATTGAGCGCCCTCCAAAACCAGGTATGTTGTCCTTTCAGTCTCCCCAAACAGCCCCTCGAGGAGGCCATGGTGCCAGGACCCCCCTCAATATCGCCGACCATTGCTACAGTCTTACTGACACTCTTTCCCGCCTCTAGTTACCGTTGAGCCCGCTACCGCGAAGCCCGTCCCAAAGCGTGTGTCCCAATTGCGACCCGACATTCCAAAGACCGATCGCGTCCTCCGGTCAAGAGCCGCGAAGTAGTAGTTGTCGTGTACGACATTGAGAAATCCGGCAAATGGTCTCCGCTCAAGAGTCAACAGGGCATATTCGACCAAATACCGTCAGAGTAGCATGTATAGAAGCAGAATATGAGGGCCAAAAACCTCCCGAACTACCCCAGCCGTTTCGCGCCGGGAACTTTGGGAGACCAGGAAATACTTGAGACCATAGAATGGGATGGACTACCGATATGTTTCGAGGGACGATGGACTAATGTTCCGATCGAGGGCAGGACAAAGGATATGGGATGACAACTGTGGAAGGGATCAGAAGGACAGAGGAATGAAAGGACACGTGTAGTAGGAGGAATAGCCTAACGACATCTGCTTAGTCTGCTCTATTTTGTAGCAAAATGGTGCTTAACGTGTTGATATCCCCAATGATAAACTTGCATGCTTGTGATATTTCTTCCTCAGTACCTTTATCACATTGGCCTCGTCAAATTCAGCCTAGGTCAGGGTTATGTTATTAACACCCAGCGGCGTCTCCGTAAAGGCGGAATGAGTACATAATGGTTCCCACGGGACATGGGCCCGCGGTCATAGCATGATCTCAGACCAGAATGCATCATACTTGCAAGGACGGACGGCCGCGAAAATCAAGGCAAGTGTAAGGTACCTCTAGCTTCCACAGGGGCAGCTACAAAACGGAGACGCTACGAGGGGATATCGTAGCCGGCGGGGATAGTAGACCAACAAAGTAGACCGCCCTCCTGGTCATCGTCAAGGTCATTGTCGCTGACTCTGGATGTATTTGGCAACACATTTAGTACAACGAATGTACTTACGTGAATCTTGTCTTTCAGCTCCTTCTCCGTGGGAGCTTTGTCCCGCTCATTCATCAGGCGCTTCAGTTCTTTTTTCATCTTCTTGATCTTGCTCTTGAACTTCTTTTGCGCTTTTTTGTGCCTCTCCTTGGCCATGATCTTTTCGGACACGGTGTTCTATACAAATGTACCGATTAGTAACCGACTTATGCACATTATACTAATAATAAGATTTACTTACGTTGAGGCAGTTCACCTTTTCATCGACCCTGCGCTGGACCGCCTTTATCATCAGTGTTAGCTAAACGTGTGTGTAGGCACTCGCTGGGTTAGTGTCCTTGCATGATATTGTACATACCTCTCTTGTACCCTCGTAGCTTGATGTGGCTTGGTCGTCCTCATCGTCAAAGTCGGTCGTGGCTGCTATAACAGCCGCCCTTGCTCTGGTCGTAACCATGGCTGCGATTGATGTATAGGGGCCCGGACAACCATCGAGAGAAGAGGAACAAAATCAGAGAGAACTCAGAGAACAAAATCAGAGAGAACAAAATCAGAGAGGACAAGGAGGGCAAGTAAAATATCCAGTAGCGGCAGCAGCAGAGTGGCTTTCGGTCCACCCTTGGCGGATCGACTGGACCACCAGCAACATTCCGCTCTACTCTTCTCCATCGATTATCCAAGACCTCTCATAACACCTCAGCTGCAATGACCGCTCAACCTCAACACCAACAGAGCAAGTCCCTCGGGCCCTGTCGGAAACTTGGAGCCATTTCAAGAACGCGAGAAGCAGAGCTCACCAGGTAATCCAAGGTCATCTATGTCGTCGTTCGGAATGGGACCGGTACTCCCAAAGTATCAACATCAACCCAAGGCTCAATACGAATTCCTGTCGAAAAATGAACCTGCGAATCCAGTTGATTGCTTGGCCGGGAACGTCTTCGAATTTGACTTCGAATACAGGCATAAGAACCTTGGGGATGTCGCAGTCCTCATCCCAATGATCAAACTGACGATGTCTCACTCGGTGTAAAATTCTGAGGAAATGGTGATCCGGCGACTCCCTCAACATCTCGTCGTCGAGCTCAGAGTCGGCTGACATGCTGATGGAGGGGTCGTTAGGGTTGGGTCTGGCATCAGGTTTGCGAGGCATGATGATGTAGAGCGTGAGGGGGTTAAGTCGAGAGTTTGAAGCGGAGCCGAATGCTGGGTGCCGTTTGCGAGAGCTTTTATTGTGGATGAAGTTGAGAGAGAGAGAAAGGAGTTGAGGAGGGGGGAAGTGGAGGGCAGAATTTGCAAGATGCTACAGGCAAGGCGTCTAAAAGAGATGACGGAGCAGCTGGCTCAGTCACAGCGCCGACAGGCTGAACTAAACGACCAGGTGCACGGAGTCAAAAGGTGGTGCGTGGAGCAAAGAGGGATGGTGCGATGAGTTAAGTTTCTTCGTTTAAAGACGTTATATTTTCTGGTACTGACCTAGGACCATATCTGGTAGACATTGGCATTTCTTCTCACGAGGTTTATGCTGTACATGACGAGTGGACGGGCAAGATGGAAGGCAATGGCTGTTGTACATTCTACCGTATCTACCCCTATCGTACAAAACTATTTCCATCGGCCACGAAGCGTTCTGTTCCTATTGTTGGTAAAGAGTGTTAGCACGGCTCCTCAACCCAGTGGAGCGGATGGACAGCAGCTGGGAATACGTTACATGGTTACAAATGCGAGACTTACTTAACAAGCTCCTTAAGAAAGACTTGTTGTAGTCTGAGCTTCAACACCTCCGACGCCAGCTCAAAGCGGTCGGCGCAATTCTTCCCCTGGAGCTCATTGATCCTGTCTAGGATATCAAAGCTCAGCGTGAATGCTGCCTTCTTCACCGCTTGTGCCGTCTCATTCTCGTGGGCATTAGCCAAGAATCTGCGAGCCTCGGCCGATACCTCTTCCGGGGTCGGTGACAGCAGCCGCTCCAAGCTCTCGGCGAACAAGCGGTTGACTTAGATGAGAGAAATTAGTGGGAGTTCCAAAGTGGATCAAGGGCAGCATGAATGAGGCAGGGGAGATATCTGAAGGGAATGGGAACTTACTGATCTCGGCGACTGGGACCAATTGAGCGGCAACCGCGATACGCGCGCTGCGCCGATCTTTGTCGCCACTGGGCACCGCGACTTGCTCTGGAACGTCTTCGCTGGTGACAGGCTCTGACAGCTTGGGGGCTACGTCCTCCTCGGCCTGACACGCAGTGGCTCTACCAGTAGCCGGAACGGCGATCGGAGCAGATTCCGGAGCGGGTGCTGGAGCATATGCCGGAGCGGTTGCCGGAGCGGTTGCCGGAGCATATGTCGGAGCGGTAGCCGGAGCGTATGCCGGAGCGGTAGCCGGAGCGTATGCCGGAGCGGCTGCTGGAGCATATTCCGGAGCGGTTGCTGGAGCATATGCTAGAGCGTTGGCGGCAATGGTGGGAAGATTGGCCGGAATACTGGCGGCTTGAACACTGGCGAGTGGGAAGAAGCGCGCACTGCCCCGTCGAGTAGCAGGCTCGACGTTCTTCTGGGTTTCCTTAACAACCGTGGGGACCGAGACTAGCTGCGGGATGTTTTCGTCGTCGACAGGCTCAAACAGTGCCGGGTCTAACATTTCCATGTCTCCATGTTCCTCGTCTTCAAAGGCCATGGCGATAACAGTAGGCAAAGCGGCGGCGGTAGCAGTCGCCGGGGCAGTGGCCGGAGCAGATGCTGGAGCGGTGATGATCTCAGGGTCCGTGGTGGTGTCGGGGGTGGCAGCGTTGGTTGCAGCCCTGGCGGCAGCCCTAGTGACCCTCCTGGTAATGGGCGTGGTGATAGCTCTTGTGGTAGCTCTCGTAGCAGGTCTGGCGGAAGCGTTGGGGGTTGCGCTGTTGGTAGCGTTGGTGGGCATATGGGCCGGAATGTCGGCCGGAACACTGTCATCTTGTGTGATCTCGCCAGTCTCACGGCGGCGCTCCAGCTCCTTTTGACGCTCCAGCTTCTTAAGCCTGCGACGCTCTTCGCGACGCTGGCGCCGGTGGAGGAGCTGGCTCCAGTCCGTGATCTCCTCTCCGATACGCTCTTTGACATACTTGACACGGGCCATTTTGATTGCTTGTGATTGTTGTTTGCGCGTGGGCAGTTTGATGGTTGTTGCGTGATTGAAGATCGGCTATCTTGCTGTGCGATGTTGGGAAATCTTTTGGGGTTAGGTGGAAGTTCTTGGTGGTGGGATTTAAGGTAGTGAGGGAGGGGAGATGGGGATGGGACGGGACGAACCTGTCCGCCTAGCCTTCGAGTGGATGTCAATTCGAGCGACCAACCCCCGGGCCGGCAACACTCGTAGACCCTGTCAGGTGGGAGAACCTTGGGGCGTCCTACGTGCACTTTCGAGTCGAAATCCCCTTCACTGGAGGTACCCGCAGACCCTTTGGAAAAGAGATGACTGATGTCAAGACTGACGATGACCAAAGTCTTCATTAGAACTTTGCCGTCATCATATTAGGTGACTCTGTACCAGGCAGTGGCTCAACTGTTACATGTACTCACAGAGTCGATTATCCATCGCTGGTGCAAGCGCTGTCTCTTTTTATGATTGCTGCGGTTTGAAGCCCAGTGCAATCTCGTTGCGTGTTCAATAAAAACATGTATAGACATCAATATCAAGACAATGGTTTGCAGTGAGATGCCACAAACACTATCCGTGTGGCAGCCATCCGTGTTTCCAACGACAGAGTTATCACAACAGATGTAAATACAGAGGAGGACCATGCCACTAAGCATGGCCATAGTTTCGTGGTTAATTCATGGGGCTTAACCAATTTCGGTTCGTCCATGCATAGAAATATGCGCGACTCATAGAACTCCTCTCTGGCCTTCTCGCTAGAGATTGCTCAAACCGTCACTGCGTCGAAGCTTGGGACTAAGCAAATCATCATCCGAACTGACCTCCCTGCTTCCCTTCCTCCATTTCGTCTCTGAATGCATTGCGCAGGCTCCATCACAGCCGCTTGCCTCTGACTCGGTTGCTGGGACGTCTGTACATCCGCTTGGAGTACTTTCTGGCCAATTTGCGGGAGTGATGGTCTGCTGTCTGTGTCCATTCTGTCAACTGCAGTGGTTGAGGTTAATTGATGGTACGGAAACGGCCAGAAGAGAGGTAGAAAAGTGGAAAGCGGTCTGGGACTTGAAAGTGATTGTGAGACATACCTCGCTCAGGGATAGGGACCGTCTGCGTCGCGGCATACACGCGCATAGGGCGCCAAGCGGTGACTGGCCGTAGCACGAATTCGTTCATGACCGGCTAGCGTGGCTCCGTGTATTTGTCGTTGTTGGCAATGGTTCGTGGAACACTGACCTCAGCGACGGCAGACGCGGCGGGAGTGATTGGAATTTGGAATGGCTTCGGGCTTGGTAACCGGGCCGTTGGCTGGACTGGTGCCCGGAGTGCTGGAGGACCCGGAAACACTACCGGTCTTTACGCCCTCGCTGGGCCGCTGGCTCTTCTCTTCCGGCTGAGGGTGATGAGGTATGTACATGGTGATACCGGGCGGTAGTGGGCGGTGTAACCGTTTGCGAGACGGGAGTTCAGTTCGGGGCATGTGAACTGGAGGCGTGCGGTGAGGGAGGTGATTTCGCATCGTGTGCCGTGCATGCCAGCTGCTGCAGAGACGGATCCTGACTCCGACGCGGCTTGACGTACTTGACGCGAGCCATATCTGCTGTTGACGATTGTTATTCTGCGCCGATGTTTGCGCGAAGTGTGTTTGTTACTGCGTGATGAAGAAGGGGAAGGACACGCTGTGTGCTGTTGCAAACTTTGCTTGGGTCAGCTAGATGTTGGGGTTGGTGGTCTTTAAGGAGGCAGAAATAATTGGGACGGGGACAGACGAAGACTGGCATCAAGTGAGGGTCGATTCGCGGGCAAACCAGGACGGGACGATAACCACCCCTTCCGTGCCGGCAACTCTTACACACCGTTGACAGTCAGAGCACGGCCTTGCATGTGCCATTTGGGCAAATCTTCTCTGGCGTAGGGCAGGTAGAATGAAGAGGAGTCAATGAAGGCCAAGATTGAGGATATTGTTGATGAGTGAAGTCTTCATTGTATCTGTTGATTCGCCACGTTGGTGGAAAGTCTTCTGGGTACCAAAGCTGTCATTCCTTACATGTTGATGTTTCCGAGACTTCACGGGCTAAAAGGATTGCTCCAATCTTCACAAACGGTTAAGAAACGTGATATGGAAAATCATAGTGCGAGACAGGTCTTTTGATACATGTACACTTGTAGATGTTGCAGGATGAGCTGTCCATCATATATGGAACACATATCCTGGAAGCTTTAACACTTCCCAGCCTGGTAAAGAAGCCAACTGGTCATCCGCGCAACCATGTGAGCAGTCCACACTGCTTTCAACTGACTCCTAGAGTCACTTGTGGTAGCGAGTGACCACTCCATCTGACTCCGCACCATACATCATCTTCCTTCTCACCAGCTTAAATATCCCGCTCGCCTCCCGCCAGAAGACTTCTTCTTTCCATGTCAGGCCTGACACCGTCCCCTTGTCAACATGATTCGTCCACCCATTTTTTATCATACAAGAATCCCAGGCGCAAGTATATGTCGCTTATGGACGATGACTTCATCAAGGGCCGAAAGAAAGGAAGACAACGGTCGTTTCGTACAGCATGTAAGACCGGCCTCGGTCGACAGGTAGAGGGTTCTAATCGTAGATCGAGACGTTGCCGCGGTCGAAGTGGCTACAGTCCTTTGTGCATCCAAAGGTCAGCTTTGCCAGTTCGAACAAATCCCCAGGCAACTTCTAAAGGCAAACATCGTCAGCTTCACTTCCTGCTACCAACTTCTCTTGCAGTCCTCGGAAGGGTGGGCATGGGAAACATACCGGCACGCAGAGCCCGCATGGCCTTGACGAATTGTGTTTTGGCCTTCAGCATCTCGTAGGCCTTATAACTCGGTGTCGTCCGCTCCAGGATTGGTTCAAAATGGCGGAACAGTACAGTGGCTGCGAATCGAATCAACGAAGCAGGGTATGTACTGCACACGTCCACGAAGTAGTACGTGGCTACGGTTGCTATATCCTCTTCGTTCGGAATCTCGCCGTGGTTTTTGGCGATCAGATTTTCCACTGTTGGTACGGACATATCAGAGAATGTCGTTAGCAATGAGAGACTCCGTGGGAACACTCCAGAGGAGAGGCCAGCTGGAGAGGAACGTACAGATATCTTCGATCGGGATGAATTGCATTGCATCCCGTACGTGAGAAGGGGGCAAGCGGATAATTACCCCTATGGTAGGCGTGGTGTCAGTAGGGGATCCCCGAGGGTTCTAAAACTTGTAGGGGCGCAACACTGCCTGTCTTGCGGAAACTCGGGCGGCTCATACCCTTCTGCTTTTTGGTATGCGCACTCCTTGAGAGCGCGGTTTCCATCGTCGATTTGGACGTGGCCATGGCTGGATCGGAGGATGCCTCAGCGATGGTGTCGCTCTGGTGCTGCCTCTGCCGCGCGCTGCTCTGAAGCTGCTGGATGCGCTCGCTCTTCTGAAGCTGCTTGAGCCGCTTGCTGGGACGAGCAAGTCTCGAAGAGACACGGAGGTGAGTTCGGCGTTGCACGCTGGACGTTTTAGTCTTCTTCGGTGAAATTGCCATTGTGGATAGTTAATGTCGTTCTAGCTCGTCGTTTTGTTGTTGCTGAGATTCAGTCTTGTCAACGAGGGACTGAACGCTTCTAAAGTGATGAGGGGATCTCGAGAGGTGGTCTTGACAAGTTGAAGGATAAGGGACGGGAAGCGAGGGGTAATAGACTACCAGGTCGCGGGCCTGAGGCGGGGTGGCGGAAAAGTTAGTGAAGTGGAAGGCAGGAAGGAACGACCGGCTCCAGTCTGGTGACCCCGGGACCTTCCTTCACCCAAACTTCACTTGCGTCACCGCTCCCCGTACACTGGATTCTGCCTCAATACGCGCTGAGAGCTGAACGCGTCTGTAACATGCTTGTAATTTTCAGGTTCATCTGAAGAAAGGGAAATGCGGGGATGACCGCCAGCGGAAGGCCACTGAGGGGGTTCAAGTTCATCAACTCAAACACAGCTCGGCCACTCCAAGTAGAAGCCAAGGACCAGCCAGCTTGAACCAGGCCATTTGACTTGTGGTAAGAATGAATATATACGGCTGGTAACTGAAGCCAGCAGACTGCAAAGAAGCAGAGATCCGACAGAGAACCTCAGGGGCCCTGCCCGCCTGGGTAGTTCGGTCACGGCCTTTTTCATCCGGTCCCCTTATATAGACGTGAATGTATCCTCCCCCCTCTTGTTCCGCCTGTCACGTGTATACTGGTTAGCATCTGATCCAGCAATTCACCTGGCAACATATCCAACGGAGCTTGAAGGTTTTGATACCTTCCGCTGGCAGTGAAGGGTTCCTACCTGTGGATTCTGTGGTATTTATAGCCGCCCCTCAAATCTTTTTCCATTTTTTCCACAAAACACTGCAACCAACAAGCAACCTCTCGCACACCACAACATACCTGGCTTGCACTAATAACTTTCCAAACACAATCCATCACCACATCAACATATCGCAACCATGGACAATACAAGCGACAAGCAACACAATCTCCCTGAGGACCGCATTCTCCCGCGCGGTATGGGAACCGCCGGCAGCATCCCTCCCCCCGCTGTCGCCGCCGAGAACACAGGCACCGAACAGCCCAATGTGCCTGAGGGCCGCCGATTGACGCGCGGTATGAAGGCCGCCGGCGGGGTCATCCCTCCCGTTGCCGCTTCAGTGAAGCGGCAAGCCAGGACCCGGAAGAAGCCCACAATGATCAAGAAAGAGGAGCCCAGTGACGAGGACGACAAGTCATCTCAGGGTTCCTCTCAGGGTGCGGCTTATTCCAAGAAACCCAAGGGTGAGTGTTCCAATGGGCAATTCAATAAGCAAGCTTGCATCGCTCCTTGCAAGCTTTCTCTGCCTCCAGCGGCTAACACACATCCTCGTCTGTAGACCTTCGCCTGGCCCCAGTGATCCTTGGTCACTCAACCACAAGGGCGTCCCAGACATGGACAAGCTTGGTAAGTGTACCCTTTAACTTCCCTTTGGGTACTTTTATATCTAGCGCCTGCTAACACTTAACGGCAGTCCGTTATCTCAGTCGCGATTACACCAAGACGCCGGACGATTCCGACCTGGCGGAAGCCGCCCACAAGTACAAGTGGCGCGGCATCGGCCCGGGAAAGCGCACACTCTGGGAGCTGAGGGGCATCACCCTCAGCGAGAAGGCCCAGGCACGCAAGGAGGCCAGGGAGACTCCTCAGGACGAGACTGCACAGATCAAGCTCCGTCTGTGTGAAGCTGTATTCTCCCACGTTGTCGGTAAGTGCTCTCTGTTGGGAAATCCGTTGGAAATTCGAACAGCATGTAGGCTAACGAGAAGTATTAGGCGAGTGGGAGGCTGAGAGGTATAGCAAGTGGAGGGAGGGCCGCGACAAGGTCAGGACGAACTAGGGGAATTTAGAAAGTTTGACAGCTTATCTAGCCCTTGATGTAACTTTGAAAACCTATGATGCACAGATGAAGTGATCCCGCTTTGTAAACATGTTCTTACTTCTTTCGCTTTCGATTGCTATGAGTGTGAGTACTGAGTAGTGCGACAAGTCTCCTACTTGAGTGTGTAGTTCGGATCTCACTTCGCCCAATACGCACATGCCCCGACTTGACCAAATCCCGTTGACTCCTACCTGGCAGAGGCCAGAGGAGGGTCGAACATGTGACAAGTTGCGCGCCATCAAGCACCACACTCTGTTCCATCTGAGAATGATTACCCTGGCGGTAGAGTCACCAAGAAGCAAAATGTTTGAGTTTGAGCAACGTTAGTCTAGAAATGAAGGGAAATTGCGTAAGTCCGGTTTTCTGCCGGCGGAGGTGACTCTTGAGCGTATGGAAAGTGATGTGTGGAGGAATGACTCTCACCGAAAGCTTCATCTAACCCGTGGACTAGAGGATCAAAACGCTTGTGCTGGATGTTCTGAGAACGGAACTTACTGCCTGCATCACGATGGAGGACCAAAGCGAAACAGCTGGCCGTAGCCCCATGGTAACGCGGTCCATGATGGCCACTGCCAACCAATCCAGTACCGTTATTGCCGCCCGGGAGAAAGTGAGAATTGCAAGGAAGACCAAGAAAACTAAGGGGCATACATCTGATGAGGCCGGTGTTCAAAAGAAGTTGACTAGAGAGGCGAACCATGACACTCCCGCGAGCGGCAGAAGTAGGTTTCCGTGATGGATTGGTCTCCCACCCCGTCGCCCAACTGCGCCCTGCTAACCCTTCCTAGAGGTATCATTGACAGTCCCTCCGGTCAAGCGGACTTGTTCGTATATGAACCGTCGCGAAACTCCTCAAGACCTCCTTATCAAGATAGGTAAGTTGGATTTCTTACAACCCAAACATAAACGACGAAGGAACCACTGACTGCATCCGTCTTCAGGTACAGAAGCCACCAACAATTACACCCAGGTGCCAGATTCAGCCGACTTAGCAGAGGCTGTCCACCGATTCATGCGGCGAGCGACCAAGCATTACTCGCTTGAGGACCTGCGGACAACTCTCATGTGGGAGCTGTGTTCTGCCCACAACGCATTGGAGGATTCCTTTTCTCAAATTCGGGACAGGGAGTGGCACTTGATCAGGTTGCAGTGGATGAACATGGTTAATCAACACATCGGGAGTAAGTTCAGGTTGTGTTCGTTCCCGGCTGTACCACGGTAGGGAAACCCAGTTTTGGTGGCTGTAAGGTGCAGTCTTACAGCTGCACTTTTTGTGTTCGGCTGGATTTCAGTAAAAATATGCAAGTCGCTGCATTACCCCAAATCCATGCAAGGCATGCATCTGACCAATCAGAGGCCCAGATTCCTTACTGAAATGGCCGGATTTTTAACATTTTTAATAGTCCCAGACCCCATGTACAAGACTTTAAAAACCAACATCTTCAGGGCACCACAGTGCTTAACCCCCTATAAATATAGGTGGTCGCCGTAGCAAAAGACAATTGATGAAGCTATTCCCAATTGAAATCTACCATCTGAGCTCCACTGTGCGAATCACAGTATATATACTATACCCTTTACAGCCTACCTTAACGTTGCAGGAGTGCAGCTGCGGGTTATGTACGGTAATGCAAGGTCTCTTTACCGTGGTACAGCCCTGAACGAACACAACCTCACCTTTTCTTCCCGTTGCATAAGGCAGCATGATATTCGGCGAGAACTGGACTGCAGGCTAAAAGCATAACACAGGGGAGAAGCGAAAAGAGATGTTTTATAGAGAACCCCGCGAGAGGATAACCAGGAGAAAGTAGTGGACTACAGATCTTGGACCTGAGGGGCGCTGGAGGAATCAGGAAAGCGGCGGTTAAGGTGAGGGCTGTGTGGGTCGCCAGTGGCTTTGTAAATGCAGGGTAGGTGATAGATTTGGCTTTGCAAAAGGAACCAAGACCAATCTCGGCCGCACTCGGCGCTGGGGGCAGTTGATGTTGCTTGCAAAACGACAAAGACATGAAAAAAGGCAATGCGTTGAACAGAAATCCATGGAGGAACAAATAAATCAAGTGCAGAATAGTAAGCTAGGCATATGTTGGTGTGATTATTTTCCTAAATTGGAACTCTCGTTCTGCTGGTGGTTGATGATTCCACAGTGCTTGCCAAGCCCGCACACAGAAAAATGCTCCACTTGTAGGCCCCACATCGGTTCACGAAGAGTTCGGATGAAGTCAGAAAGAACGCCAAGACGGCCCCACCCGGAAGGTCCAGAGTCTCCACAAGACCGGCGAGGTGGAGAATGTGCCGCCGGAGCTCAGGCGAGTCGTGCACCACAAAAGCTCACGGCAAACAATCTGAGATGCTGATCGAACGGATTGAAGATGTAGTTCTGATTTGGTGCTTGTTATTCACTCGGTGACGGTGGCTGGTTCGGCAATTTGAAGGTTTGGCAGTGATACACATCACAGGAAAGTTTTGGGAGAAGTATTTTCTAGCGAGCTGGATTGGGCAGGGTTTGGAAGCGAAACAGAAGAAGTTGAGGCGAGTGGGAGAGCTTGGAACATTTGAAAAGAAATGATTCCTCGCAGTTTCCTACCGTGGGCGCTGCCTGCCGGGACACAGACCGGAATCAATCAGCTTCTGCATGCAACAAGCGCCGGTGACGCCTGCCGTTAGTGGTTCGAGAAGGTGCGGCCGTACACATCGTCCCAACATGCGAGCCCGCAAGGTGCTCAAGCAGGAATTCCCCCGCACGGTCACCTGCCCTCTCGGCCCTTGTTGCTCTTGCCAGAAAGCCAGAAACATCATGACACTCCTCCCCAAGCCCGGAACGCTGATGCCAAGTGGAATCGCTCAATGAAGACACTCATCACGCAATCTCCGATTGACTGTCATTCTCCTTGGTTCTTGCTAGTTCCATTTTACGCCTACTTACTGAGCTGGCAACAGCGCCCCGGGTGATGCTGCAGGTAGTTTGCCGTTGTCCACACACGACTCCCAAAAAAGTTTCCGAGGTGTTCAGACCTCATTGCTTGCAATTGAACCCATGATGGTTTGACTGGTTTTTTCAGATTTCAGTAAGCCTGTCCGGTGTCCCTTCTTATGTTCAACGTCTGGTGACTTTTCATCAGCATCTTCTCCTAAATATCCCGGACATTGGATCACGGCCCCCGACCACTGGAGAGGCTGTCCCCATCAACCCACGCCGAACACCTGTTGACTGCCAACCAAGCCCGAACGATATCAAATTCCCAACCATGACGACCGACCATGGAGCAGCATAGGATCCGATTCATCTCCACGTCTCGACATTGTTACAAGACCACCATCGTTCAAGCGGAAATCTTTGGCCACTACGGAGCACATACAAGGCCAGCAATGATGTCAATCTACCATCCAAAAGGCAACCAGAACGGAACAAACCTCTCTCGAACACTTGGCCTTTTGCAAACAGATTCTTCCCAAACTGTCGGCTAAGGGAGGGGAAAGTAACCTTGTGAGCCCAACGGTCCGCATGACGTGGACATGTCGCTGCTTGGAGTGATAGTGACCGAGGTGGATGGTGGAGGTAGGTCAATGTCCATGGCACAGTCACGCCGAGTACTCTTACTCACAGGTACTGAAAACATGAGCTTACACTTTTTGGTTCAACAGCAATACCACCCATACAATGCCAATGAGCTACAATCACAGAGAGCTACTGACAAGTCTGCCGGTAACCAGACCTGCTTCAGTATATGCCTCCAACGGACGAAGGAGAGCGACGAGATTGGAAGGGCGAGGGGTGAAGAGAGGTAGCGACAACCCCGTCAAGGCTTTCAAGACTCGAGACCGGATTCCGGCCCACCATAACATCGCCTGCCAAGATCACACGAGGGTCCGAAGCAGTACTGGTCTGTTCGGCGGCACATGAAATGGGAAGACCGAGACGGAGGAGAAACGCGGTCCAGCAACCAAATAAAGTCAAGGGGCTCCCGCAATCCCAAGCTTCTCGAAGAAGAACCTGTTTGGAAGGAAGTAGATGTTGATTCACTTGGTGCTTGATCATTACAAGCCAGTGAAGCCACACGGGTGTTGTTCATCCACTCATTAGTCCACGTCACCACCAATCTCTACGACACAACCAATCCTTACGTCATCACAGGTCGCTGGTCACCCAAAACATAATGTCTACATAATCCATCAGAATTTATCATCAGTAGGCGTCGCAGTATGGCCAAACGGAAAAAGAAAGGACCAGAACAGCGCACCTCAGCGGGAAAGACAAGTCACTTTGAACAACAAAATGCGTCAAAAACAGGACATCAAGAAATGGTATGCGCTTCAATCATCCAGCTTTCCTTCTCATCAGTCAGATCGCGCATTTAGTCCGACTAGGGCCGACCAAACTCCGCCCAAGAGAACTTCGAACTCTGTTGCTGGGAAGTTAACGCCTCAGGCCAGCCAGACGAGCACCAGCTCAGAGGATCCAGAGGAGTCAGAGGAGTCAGAGGAGTCAGGGGAGTCAGAAGAATCAGAGGAGTCAGAGGGAACTCTAAGAAGAAGCGGCAAAAGTTCACCGGAGGAGAGCACAGAGATGGAAGGCCAAGCAACAACAATATTTGACATCGACAAATTGGGTAAGTGACTTCCTCAATACTACCTAGCCATCTAGCCTCGATAAAACCTGCGGTTTGGTCTGGGCTTCCTTCACCTGGTGATAATCCATGCTAAACTCTGTTTTACTACCAGATTGATGCGGCGACGGGGGACGGTCAAAGAATACCCGACAACAACGCCATTGCCGATGCCGCCCGCTACGCTATTCGTCAAGCTAAACGGTCGATAAACACTTCCCCAATCCCCATGATGAAGGCTATTGCCAAGGAAGCCCGCGCTCAACTCTCTTACGCAAACGAAATGCGGAAATTGGGCCTGCGAGGTCCAGATTGGACATCCAAGAGAGAGATTCTTGAGGAAATCATTTATTTGGCGGATAGTACGTTCGCTCACCGGGTTGGCTTGGCATGGACCATTACCCCAAGTTCCCATGGATTGGTGATATCGAGCTAACTCTGTGCACAGGTGAGGTACAGGGCCTCATGTATGAGAACCTGCGGAGGCGCACGAATCCCGATGGGCCAGAAGGCTTCTTGTTTGTTCCGGTTCCAGGCCGACCAGGGTGGATGCGTTCGAACTTCGGATCAAGTATCCCTAGGACCTCTGGTGGCTCCAGTCGTGGTGTCCAGAAGAAAGCTGCGGATGGACAGGCAGAGACCGCATCGGCAACCGCTGCTCCGGCACCCAGTGTAGCCGGGTCATCGTCGCGGAGATCTGGACCACCGCCGAATGTGGAAGTGATTGAGATCGAAGACGACTAGGCCGGCAAAGCTCCCGGATTGACGACACAATCGTTAGGGAAATATAATTCTTGCGTTTGTCTTTCTTGTGCAATCCACTTGTTCTCTTGGCAAAGTTTGGACATACCCTTCAAGCCTTTCTTGCTTTCTATTTGATCTTACGTCGCGTGTCACCCATCTCTTTGCTGGAAACATTTGCTGTTGTCGCTGAGAAAAGTGCCTTATGTGTATCCAAGTGGTTACAGACGGGCTTGATTGTCCTCTCTCCCGGCTTGTTGATACTACCACGGATTGAATGCTTTGTTCAATTTTCTACGTTTCTTGCTTGCAGTTTCTATTTGTCGCTTTGTCAGAGCCATATGTCCAGCTTGCCTCTACTTGTCTCTTAGACCCATGGGATTTTCTTGGCAGACAAGTGTTTGAGAGGAATAGCCTGAGACGTTTGGTGTACAAAAAGCATGCATGAGCGGCTGAGTCTTGTCACTCACACGTTCTTAATCATAAGATTGATATAAGGACTTATCTGCCTATCGCTCACCACATAGTCCAAGATCACCTTTCAATCTTGTATTGACAACAGAATAGTACCCGTCTCTTCACGAGCTGTATTTCCTTTCTGTCACAACACACCATCATTCAAGTATCATTGGCACATTTGTTTTCAGACAAGACATAACCACAAGGAGGCAACGGAGAGGTTAGAGACCAGCAGCCATACGAAAACCGTCCAGCCCCAACCGTCTCAACCGGCCTCCTCAAGCCAAAATTCCAGTGAGTGCGTTCATCTCCATGACGCTTCTATCTACCTGTATACTCTCCCGCCTCAACCTACCGGCTCTTGAGATTCTGATATCTCTCTAGTTTCAAGCACCGCCGAACATCCGCGCCCTCTCCCTGACTTGGAAATGGCGACCAACTTCATTGAAATCGACAAAATCAGCAAGTGTACATCTGCCCAGAATGTCCTTTCTTCAACCTTCAAAACATCCAGCCCAGTTGCCAAACTTCCAGCTGTATCTACCCCTAGAACACCAATACTGATAGCCCATCCCACTTCAACGTTCTAACAGCCCGCGAATTAACGTCAAACTACACCATCACACCCACCGACGACCAAATCATGTACAAAGCACGCGCCACAGTCGATCGAATTCTAATACTCCATCCGGCGCGCCAAGATAGAGGTGAAATTATTAAGGCTATCGAAACGCTTTATAATCACTTTCATTGGATGTGGATTGTTGGCGAGGAGAAGGATGCGAACCTGGAGTTGAGGGTGAAGTTGCTTCATAGGATGAGGGTTGTCATGCATGGTGAGTTTATGTCGGGGATCGACTCTGGAATGTCGCTGACTGATGCCAATCATGACGTGTACAGAGGACAATCTTGAGGATGGATTGCCTTCTTTGGAATGTTAAGGTAGGCCTCTTCTTTTCTCGTTTTGTGCGTTTGGCATATCTCTCTCAACGTACATTCATCCTCTCTTCCCCCTTTGCCCGTTCCCGCCCCCCTTGCTTCTCTCTTCCAATACCCCTACGAAACTGAAACTCTCGTTCCGCATGCCTGGTTCCAGGTTCTTCTGCAAATATCCGTACAAACCCATTGATTTGCGGGTAGGGACTTCAAGATTTGAACTCCAGGTTTTGGTTGCCAAGACAGTCAAGTCTCCTGCTGAATCTTTCAGTTTTATCGATAGACAGAGTGGTGTCGAGTCCTTCAGCGCGACGGCGACGTGCACGGTACACTCTAGATGGGACGGAATGCCGTTTTACCCTTCACGTGCTGCCTAGGAGTCACATTTTTCACTTCACTGGACTTCGGGTGTATGAACACTGACGAAGATGTCCAGTCACTCCGCAAGCCTTCATCAACCGCCCCTCTCAAGAGTTACATAAAGGGCGCCTCTGGATTCCAGTCCTCAACTATTTCCTCTTCTTTATCGCGTCTTTGGCATCAACTCATGATCAAACATCATCACCCATAACAAATTCCTGGTCATAGTCTTTTCGACATGCCCAGGTTACTTACATCCAACCCAGATGAGGTGTCTACCCCTCGTGAGGCATCCGGCCCCGGAACATCTCGCTCCACCGTGCCCGCATCAACCAGCAACACCAGAGCGAGTAAGTCTTCCTGAGCTCCCAGTGCATTAACGCCCACCAGGCAATGAGCGGCCGCTAACATCTCCGTACTACTCATAGCAGCTGTTTCCGCGCCCCGCCATACCCTACTTCCGATGGCATTCAGGATCATTCCGATCAATCGGATCAGTATGTCACACCCAACCACCTCCTCCCACCCGACACTGACTTTTCCTCCTCACCGTTTGGTAGCCCGCGAAATCACCCAAAACAGCACCGTCATCCCCATCCGCCCACAGATTGCACTCAAGGCCCGCGAAGTCATCCAGAAGGCCTTGATGGATGGAACTCAGGTTGAGACAATCGAGATGGCTCTCACTAAGCTGCTTTCAAACTTTAATTACCTCTGGGGTTGGGGTCGTTATAAGGACAAGTGGGTGGGGGTTACCGTTGGGTTGCTTAATGAGATGATGGCTGTCTTGAAGGGTATGCGACTTCCTTTGCCCCTGCCGGTCGCTAGTATTGGTGGTCGTAAGTACCTCTAGGCTGACGTTTTGGTGTAGAGGATCGGTTGGAGGATGGTGTTTCGAACCTTTCAGCTACGTAGTAGTAGGTTATTTCAGCTTTCTCCTGCTAGGCCCATTGCTTGGGTCTCTTCGTCTAGTTTGAGCCCCGTCTTTACTTGCCTTTGGTCCCTTCAGCGTTTCTATGACTTTCTCGAAAAGGGGTTCTTATATCCAGATGTTGTTGTTCTCTTCCGTCTTCGATGTACATGCACTGCCAATGTGTTACAGGGGATCATGCGCTGTATTATAGCGGGCTTCTCTTCGAATTGTCGGGATGTTCCCTGCTCTTCCCATACCCCTGTCCGTCAATCGGGACCTCGCACTCTCCACTCGCACTCTCCACCGGCACTTGGTGACATCCTACAGCGCTTATGCCCGCTATAACCCAAAAGTTTACAGCGCTCAGCATTCGGGTAGGGCATGCACGACGCAGGGGGTTCCCGGTTCAGGGGCCAAGTCAACAGACCAAAACATGAAGGAACGAACGCATTTCGAGATGGTGAACCACGACAAATTATTCACCTTTTTTTCGACTCGAATGCATCTTTTGATTTGCATTAACTTCTTCTGGTTGCCTGTTAGTGTTCTATGCGTAAGAACTGACAATTGATCCCACCGTGGTGCCACCATCGAGGAGTGTCCGAGTGAATGCCCGCGGGACAGCAATAGTATGGGGCCGGCTTGGTTGGCGGTCCTAATGCAGGGGCTCGGGAGAAGAAAACAACAGCAAGGGAAAATAAGGAAACAGATATATAAACTCTGCTCGTATGGAACTCCAACGAGTGGTACTCAGGGCACTCGTCAACCGAAGTCAATGTTCTCTATATTGTAGGTCACCGACCCTGAACGCCATCACTCGCCGGTTGGTGTTACGCCTTTTCACATGAACCTGGCGATGGCTTCAAACGCGTGCGAACCTGAACCAATGAACGAGAAAGGAAACCTTGCCCATAACCCTTCACTCTATGTCCCGCAGCAACCTGTGAGAACTTGACGGCAAACCTGAAGTGATTCGGTTACATTACAGGCGTTCTTTCTCTTTCGCCGGTCTTGATTTTGCTCTTCCTTTCCACCAAGATTCCGGCTGTCTTCACCAGGATATACCGACGATCCTTCGCCAAACATTTGATCACCACCTTCAAGGAGGCTTCGCGTACATTACCTTGAAGACCTGTCGCAACCATGCTGACCAGGGCCGAGGCTAGGCGTATGGAACGCCTAGAATTGGACGCGATTGATGCGCTTGCGTCGCTCTGGGCGGCAGCCCATCCAGTCGCTACCCTGGATGCTTCTACCAGCGTTGTGGCTGCGCGTCTACCAAGGCTTCAGCCCGCCCCTGATGTCCCTCGGAAGGAAAAAACTGGCACTGACGCCACCATCCGTAGAGGTAGGCTTCCTACTCGCTGCACCTTCTAGCGCATTGGAAGAGCCGACTAAAAAATGTCCTAGACAAGCCCATCCTGCCTATGACCACCGGTCCAAATAAGGCAACCAAGATGGCCAGCTTCACTAGACGTGACCTCCGCAAAGCTGCACTAAAGCTCATCAACAAAGCAAAGAGAGATGGCCCTCTCAATGCTCTCTACGACTTAAAGCACGGAGTTGACCGTGCTCTTCGGGACCTCAATGACCCGAAGAGGCCTAGGATGGTTTGCAAATGTCGCCTCGAGTTGGAGATTTCTGTGCTAAAAGAAATAAAGAAGGAGCTTGTTGGTATGCTATTCAAGTCCCCGTCCCTTGATGGCAATGATTTGAATATGAACTGACCGCAGTTCGCCCACAGTGCGTGTGCCGAAGCCCAAGCTCAAGCCTTGGAGCGTGAACGGCATCACCAAGGTCATATACCTTCCTAGTAGTTGAATGGCCGACCTCAGCATCGTACTGTTATCCAAGAGCGTTGAGTCCGAGCCCTGTGCCTGAGTAGTCATATGTAACTACCTCGGCTGGGACTTGGTGTTACGATCCAATAAGGGATCACTTATGTAAGCAGCTAGGTAGACCAATCAGGGCCGCGCCGGGCGCCGGCGCCGTGAGTAAACGGCGCCGCGGCCACGGCGCAGCGGCGCACACTGAAGGACCAGTATATAAAGAAGGCCTTCCCAGGCCTTCTGTCTACTGAGCTCTTCAGCAAGCAATAGCTTTCACAATCGACCAGTACCTTTTGGCTACTACTACCGTTGATCATATTCCCAGCGATATACTCCTGTGCTTGTAACGGTTCGTCACACTTGGGCGCCAATGGGCTGTCCTTGACCCTTGCCGGAGGACGTCTTGTATGTACCTCCCTCCAACCGCAAGGTCGTTGCACAGTTCCATTCTAACGGTGCTGTTTACTACTAGATACCACGACACAAGATGCTTTATGGAAGAGATGGGGTTTTATAGAGACCCGAAGCTTGTTCTTCAAACCTGGAAGCCATAGGGACATGGATACACGGTCACGGATCTTTGCCTCATATCCCTCTTACTTTGGCCAGAGATATAGGACGTCTTGCAGTGGCTTCAAATCATCTTCCTTCTTCTGTTTCAGAAACGGATAGTTGATTGGGATGGGTAATAGAATAGATTGAGATAGCTTTCTTACTATGGGAACCTTCTGCACTAGAGATAGCCAGCTCTTTTTAGCAGTAACAATTCTAGGTGCAAAATGTATAGGTGCCCATCCTACGTCATATCAAGTCTTGTGTTTGGTAGGAGCCGGTAAACATCTGTCATTTTTGAGCGAACAGTGAACCGAAACTGAAAGTATGAGCATGGACGTAATTGTGGGTACAGTCCGGCCGTGTTCAAACTGGAAGTCACGGACGGACACCGGTCTCGTTTGAAATAGATTTCACTCCAGATTCACAAATGTTTTACTCGTACTTTCCTCATCCATTCTCAAACTCAACTACTTCCTACAAACAACCACATCAACACACCTTAGCTCCTTCTACAACTTTCACAGCAGTCAAAAGTCACACAAAAACAATCGCCTTGTGTCCTGATCTTTACCGCCATCACCATGTTGACCAGGTCCCAGTCACGCGGCAAGCAGCAAGAGGCGACCGAGGCATGGGAGATTTTGGAGGCAAGCACAATTTTGATGTCCATGGCATCAAGTGTCATCGACGAGGGGCATCAACCCGTTGACAAACTTCCATCTCCCAACATTGCCGTCTTCGCACCTGCCCAGGGACAAGCAGGAAGAAGCCCGCTGATCAAGCGCCGGCGCGATCACCTTCGCGTCAAGCTGGCAGCATCACTTTCGGCCGGTAAGCCAGTCCAGTGACCAGTCTCATTTTGATACCCCGCGTTTTTGGATCAGTATTGACTAACCATGTGCATTTCCAGATCAACTCGTATTCATACGCGAGGTGGCAACGGACCTCATCAGGGAGTCCAGAAACGCGAGCGACTTGCTCGAACTTAAGAGAGAGGCGATCACCCATGGTAGCGCCCTTGACATGTGCTGTCCCAAGATTTTCGAGGATGAGTTCACGGTGAAAAAGATGATCCTCTCTTTTGAGGTTGTCGACCTGGTGGACGGTAGGTCTACACCAAATTCCTGTTATAAGGGCCATTAGCTGACCATCATCTCGTGCAGAGGAGCTTCGCGCGCTGGGATTGTCTCGTTTCTGCGGGTACCTCTGGATTTTTACCTAGTTAGGTCCCGTCTACATAGCTTGACTCATAGCAGTCCAATTCTTTGCGTCATCACCCTCTTACTCGTACCTGGCCAGAGAAATAGGACGTCTGCCAGTAGCTTTAGCAAGTCCTCTCCCTTCTTCTGTCTTGGAAGCGGATGGTGGACTGGTTCGGAGTATAGAATAAATTTAGCGAACTTTTTTTTAGCATTGACACCAGTTTCAGACGTATCTTGATACCTCCCTCTGATACCTAAGGTATATACTACCGTAGTATTCCTGGTGCACACTCCGTTTGCTTTTTCGAATTCCGCTCCTTCCACGTCCGCACAAGTTCAGACCCCACTACTGCCTCTCACCACAGCGACTTCCAGCAGTCGAGCACTTCCGTCTACCCACTTTACGTGATTTTTTTCTCCTGTACACTCAAACCTCACACAAACTTTGATCGGTCTTTCCCGTCAACAATCACATCATCATCATATCAACGCGCTCACAATAACGTAACAAAAAGCAGAACATAAAGATGGCCAACGAGCAGGAGATCCTGGAGGCAAGCTCCATCCTCACGTCCATGGCATCTTCGGCCGTTCATAGACTACAAACACCCGTCGACGATACCACGTCTCCCAACATTGCGGCGCCCGTACCTCCTCAAACTCGAAGCATAACCACGCTCTGGCATCCGCGCGGTCGCCTACCATTCCAATTTGCCAAAGCTCTTTCCGCTGGTAAGTTGCCTCTATGCCCTGATTTAGTGCTTCATTGTTCCGACTCACTAACCTGTCACTTCCAGATCAACTCAACTTCATAAATCAGGTGGCAACAGAGCTGATCGGTGAAGCTAGAAGCCTGAGCGACCTGCATGAGCTGAGGGTTGATGCCATTACCAGCTGGGGCGCATATGAGAGCTGTGCTCCGGAGATTTTTAAGGATGAGGTTGTCGTGAAGAAGATGATTTTGTGCTATGAAGTCATCGAGCAGGTGGACGGTACGTTCTGCTCCAGATGAAGATTCGTCTTTGAAGTTCCATTAGCTGACCGTCATGTCGCACAGCCAAGCCTCGCGACTTGAACTTGGTCTGCTTCCTTGGTGGTTCGACCAGCCAACCTGGAACTTCGAACTTGTGTCACTCGTAAGGCTGGTGTTCAAGGATCGCGACTCCTTCATCAATCACGGCCTACCTACCTCTACACACATGTACATGCCACGAAGCAGGAAGTTTCAGCAATAAAAATCTCGGTTTACCATTCATCCTTGACCCCCTCTGTCTGGAATAGCATTATCCCATCTCTATGAGTCCCAGATACGTGAATGTGACTCGCCTTCTGTAGAGGTAGGCATGAGCAAACGGCTACGTCCAAGTGAAGGGTGATGGTAGGTTGGTTGAGTTTTCAGGTTCGTGAGGTTTCCGCACCAACAAACCTGTAGGGTTCACATACAGGTTGCGAACATTCACCCGTACGCAGTCGGTTCAAAGCTTGGCTTTACTTCTAGAGGTATTTACCACACACCTTGCCTGAACCGAGGAGACAGGACCTGACTCTGCCACCACACCACAGACGACCTGGACCACGTCGACAGGGAGCAACACGAAGCAACCCTGATGCCAAACGTCCCAGCTCACGACAAGCCCGAAACCGACAAAACGCCTTCTCCAATAAACGTTATGGCACCAAATGTCACGACCCGCGCCCAAAGGCGCCGGAGAAAAGAGGCCAAGAGGGCGGCCAAGAGGGCGGCCCAGGAGCTGAGGGAAGCTCGCCGTCAATACGACGTCGAGAACCCCGGTGAGATCAGGAAACGTGGTAAGTGAGGCAACCAGGTGTATTCCTTCTACAGATAACTCCATGAGACCATCAAGATGTCCTTTCATTCACTGACCAAGGGCCATGCTTTAGTGTCGATCAAGAAGCATCGCGAAATCGCCTCACGAACAGTCCAAAAGGCAGCCGAGGACGGGGAGGAAGCCCTCCGCGTTCTCCAGCGACAGATTTGGATCCAGAGGCAATGGTACGGCTTGTCTACCTACACCTTTCCACTGCGCTATGAACATCACTGCCGCTTGCTGTATCTGAACGAGCACCTGGCGCAGATTGAGGGTAAGTACAGTGTCTCCTGGTACCAAACTTGAAAGAACGACAAACTAACTATTCTGGGTCTCTTCCAGCCAAGTTGTCCATGTACGAAGAGGAAGTCAACTTGAAGCCTAGGCGCTCCGAGCGCCTTCGCCAGCAGGGCCTCCGAGCCATCGTCAAGTTGGGCAGGCGCTCGAAGTAATGGACAAAACCGCAACGAAGGATGAAGATCCAGGTCATCTTAAATGTTTGCCAGCAAAGATCGCACTGAGGAGATCCAAACATATGGGCTATTTGAAGCCTATGCCGAGCTAGCATGCCCACCGCCTCCTGTTCCCTGACGATGCGCGGCACATTGTCAAGGTAAGCGATCGTTATCTTCCTTCTTTGGTGGTAAAGGAATGTGAACTAACCCCAAGTTGAGCCAGAACACGTCCTGCGCGAGCTTTCGAGCCGAGGCGCTCTCAGCAACAGAATGAAAAGCGCCCGTGGATCGTCATGGTCGTTGAACTGGCCCAGTGCTCGTAGAATTAGTGAAAGACTGAAGGACGAATCGAATCCCACACTGTCCTCCAATTCCATTGCCCTTCCATTGTTCCATGCCGACCATTGTGAAAATCATGCCATCCAAGTGACGTCCATTGTCTGCCCACCCTCACACCGCCACCGAATCTTCCGTCCATGCGAACGTCACCTCGAGTCCAGTCCTCGACAGATCTCCCCGAAGCCATGTCCAGTCGCATCAAAGCGGCTAAATGATGCTCCTCGGCCTTCTAGGCCCCCCTACCGCACTAAAACACCAGCAATTCTCATCTCGGCTATATGGGTACTGCAACCCCTCCGAAATGCAACGAAAATCCAGGGTGCAAGCCCTTGACGATGCGTCGATGTCACCCTCCGGGGCTCCGGGCTCCGCCTTGGCGCTCGTCTATCTCCTAGCTTCTTTTCGATGGTCTGATAGATCCAGGATTGGTGTTTCGGAAGATTCTACTTTGGAAGGTGCCAAGAACTGGGGAACTGGGAAAAAGCAATATGGGAGGTTGATCGGAGGCTCAAAGGCCGGTTAAACACCAGGGGGACGTGGATCCTGAGTTCGAGTACAAGAAGCTCGCCTCGTCCTGCTTTTGAGTTCTCTGAGCTTTTGGTCCGCATCCTCTGCTTCCTCCCATCCGGCACGGACCAAACCCTCACCAGCTCACCAGCTCACCACCATGCTCGCCGAAACCTTCATCTCCGCGGCCCTCCTCGCCACCACGGCCCTCGCCGCCCCGGCGCCCAACCCTATCCATCTCATGACCCGCGCTCCCAACCCGGGTATCGTCATTACCAAGTGCGCCCAGCCCGGCATGCTCGCTCTCGCCTACGATGACGGTCCGTACCAGTACACCTCCAGGCTGGTCGACATCCTCGACGCCGCTGGTGCCAAGGCCACCTTCTTCTGGACCGGCACTCTGTACGGATGCATCTACAACCAGGCCGCGGCCGTGAAGAAGGCGTTTGCTAGTGGTCATCAGCTTGCTTCGCATACTTGGTATGTTGTTGTTGTCCTGGCCGGGGCTGTTTACCGAGCCCCTGACCCCTGCATGGGCTTGTGACACTACCATGCTCAAGTCAAAACACTCCCTCGCATCATCCTCGAACCACCCCAAAAGACCATAGACATACTAACAGAAACCAACAGGACCCACTCCCACATGTCCTCCATGTCCGCCTCCCAAATCACCACCGAAATGACCAAAGTCGAAACCGCCTTCGCCAACCTCATCGGCAAAAAGCCGCTCTACATGCGTCCCCCTTACCTCGAAACCGGCGGGCAAGTCCTTCCCGTCCTGAAATCGATGAACTACAAGGTGATCACGGACGACATCGACACCGGTGACTGGAACAACCAGACGCCGGCGCAGTCGGAGGCCAAGTTCACTCAGGCCGGGGCCGGAGGCAATGGTCATATCCCCCTGATGCATGAGGTGTATTCGACGACGGTGAATACGTTGACGCCGTGGTTGATTAATTGGGCGAAGCAGAATGGTTTGAGACTAGTTACGGTGGCGGAGTGTTTGGGGGATAAGGGGGGGGAGTATCAGAGTGCGAGTTTTCCGGTGCAGCCGGGGCCGTTTTCGTGCTAGGTGGGCGGTTGGAGTAAGTTGAGGGCTGGGGCAGGAGGAACGAAGGGTATAAGGGGTTCAATGGGGACGGAAAATGGGGAGTCTTGATGTTTCTATCTGGCTACACTAGGCAGAGTAAGGTATCGTACAAAAGAGATCGGTCTCAAAGCCGGAGTTGAAGTCTGCAGTGCGACTCGCAGCGGTAATCCTCCAAGGTGCCTGCCTTCATGCGGGCAGAGTCAAAGGTGTGGTAGCACTGCTGCTGCCGTCCAGTTATCGTGGATGTTCCCCGCCCTCGGCTGGAGCCTATCGTACATGTACAGGTATAAGAACAGATCCAATGCTCATCGAGCCCAGTCGCCAGTCCTCTTCACATCTCAGCTCCCCCGTCCCTGTCTTCATCATCACCGGGCCAAATTAACCCAATATGTCGTCCAATCAGCAACCGCCTTCAACCTCACCAGCGCAGCAAGTCGAAGAACCAACCTCCAACCCCACCCCCCTCTCCAACAACACCCTCTTCACAACCCTCTGTCCCTCCTACGAACTCGCCTTCGCCAACATCCCCGCCCGCGACTCCTCCCTCTCCTGGCTTCTCGCCCAACTCGCCTACCACGACACCTTCCCCCCTCACCCTCGCCCCTGGATCCACGACGCTTTGCCTCCCCACCTCCAGCGTAAACGCATCCTGGACATCGGCAGCGGCACCGGCCGCCCTGTCTGCTCCGCACTGGCTGAAGCGGGCCATTCAGTGCTGGGGATTGATCTGTGTCCTACCATGGTCGAGTTCGCGAAGGGGAACGTCGCTTCGTTGTATCCCGATGGAAGGGCGGAGTTCGTGGAGGTGGATGTTAGAGAGTTCGAGCCGGAGAGGGATGATCCGTTCTTTAAGGCGCAGGCAAAAGTCATGGGGGCTAGAGGTGTGAATCGGGAGGAGGGAGATCCGGAGGGGTATCATGCCGTGACGCCGTATTTCTCGTTGCTGGCTGGGTTTGAGACGCGAAGGGAGATAAGAGAGGTGATTAGGAAGGTGTACCATTGGTTTAGAGAGGGCGGGCTGTTTGTGTTCGCTACGGTGCCGATGGATGTCGAGGGGGAGGTGATTGAGTGGTTGGGAAAGCCGGTGACGGTGTCGAGTTTGAGTCGAAGCCAGGTGTTGGAGGTGGTTAGGGAGGTCGGGTTCGAGGTTGAGTGGGAGATGACGAGGAAGTTTGCGCCGAAGGCGGTGGAGGCGGGGATCTTGAAGCCGGAGGAGGCGGAGAAGGCCTGGGAAGAGGAGCATTTGTTTGTTTATGCGGTTAAGACGTGGTATCCGGAGGAGTAGGCGGAGAGTTCGACGCGTTAGGTCGGTGGCGATCCGAGTTATCGGTTGGGCAGCACGCGGCACATGCGGTTGTGCCTTTCTGTGTGCGAGTTTCGGTTGTTGTACAGGACTCTTACATTCTCTGAGGTGGCCTCAGTTCCCATCCTCCATCTCCTCATCCTCCTCTTCGTCTCCCTCCTCCTGCGCTGCCGCCTTAAGCGCCATTATCTCCTCATTGGTATAATGAAATTCCTTCAGCACGTTAACAAACACCGCCTCATAGCCATCTCTGTACCTCTTGACCAAGTCCTGTCGCTCGGTTGCCGGCTCCCACTCCCCTCCTCCATTCGGCCTGCCACAAGAGAACTCGACAAAGTCCCTCTCAATCTTCTGCGCCAACGTAGCCTTTAGCATGTCCACCAACGGGTCCAGCTCCTCCCCAAGAGAGCCATTGCCGGCGCAGTGTTGCGGCAATTCCTTGAACAACTCCCACTGCTTCGGGCTAGCCATCATCGACACCATATCATTGAGGAGCCTGCCATCCCAGTGGTCGAACTGGGGCTGGTGATGTAGTGCGTTAGGACTGAAATTAGGTCCCATGCGACTCTCAAAAGCATCATAGCCTTCCCAGAAGGACTCGCGAGCGATTAAGAAGTCCTGCGGCTCGCCGCCCTTGTCCTGAGTATCGCCTTGTTGTTGTCTCTTTCGCACATGGATATAATCGTTGTGCGGCCTCCAATCGCCGTGCGCGTCCGGCCCCAGGCACCCGAAGGGGCAGTCACCATCTTCATAGATGTCATGAGGTTCAATGATGAAGCCATAGCCCAGCAACAACTCGCTGTTCGTCTTGTTCCCGTAGTTGTTGAAAACCTGATCACCTGGCTCATAGGCATTCCGGCAGATCAGTTCACACGCGCTCGGCTCCGAAGTGAGGTTCCATGTATACTCGGCATCGACGGAGTGATTCCCAATGTCATACAGGGGCTGCAAGATGGAGAAGTCGTCAAACATTGTTCCCTCCGGTAGCAGCCGCTCGACGTACTCCCTCGCCGACTCCGAGAGGATCAACGAAGGCCTAAAGCTGCGGCTGGTGAACATGCAGTACGCCCAGTTGTACAGCACCTGAGTATAGGCGCGGTAGTCGGAGAATCCTTCCTTTTTGAGGATCTTGCGCGCCTGTTTGTACTCGGACTTGACGTTGTCTTGGATCTCCTGGATGGCGATGTAAGCGTTGGTGCCCTTGAGCAGCTCGATGTCGTCCTCGGCCCAGAAGGGAGGCAGTGCCCACTTGTCGAGCTGGCTGGGGTCGGTTAGGGTGGAGATGTAGGGCGCCCAGAAAGAGGATTTGCCCTTGAGGTATTGCTGGATCAGGTAGAAGCGGCCGATGACATGTGGCGGGAGAGAGTTCATGAAACGCTCTGGAAATGCGGGATTTTGAGTGTTGGGAGCCGGTGTCGTTGGAGACGGCGTAATGGGACCGTCAGTGAGGGCGTTGAGGTAAGAGAGTGTGATGGAGGTCGGGCAGGTGACGGCCTTAAAGGGTTGGTATAGCATTCCAGCGGCCGATGGCTTGACGCGTAGCGAAAACCCCGTTTTCTGGTCCTGGTACACCTCAAGCAAAGGGTGCAAACTTGCGCCGTGATTGTAAGCCCAGTCCAAGAGCGCCTCGAAGCGTTCTTTGTATGGCGACTCCATTTTTGCACGTCCTCGTTGTCGGTGTTGATATGACGTGTGGTGTTGTTGAACAGGCGATTTGAGGTTGAAGTGAACTACAAGTAGGAAAGTTTCACTTTTACAGCATGTCGTCAGTGTTGTCACTTGGTGGCTTCAGGCAGGCGGCCGTTACAGCTGACAATATCCATGCAGCACCCTGTCCAGATTAGTCAGCGCCTCTAACCTCTCCACATACATGCCCTACTCCACTGCACCGACCTAACTGGGGCTCTCTATCACCTAGGGGTACACGGCAAGCATTACAGGGCATTTATCACTGTACATAGGGATCAATGGCACTAGGGCACAGCAATGGTCAAGTTGGGTTCTTGCCGCAATCTTTTACTACGACAATAGGAGTGACTCCCTTTGGACACTCAGTCTTTGCATTACTATATGCGAACAAAGCGACTAGCAAGAGTGCTGACGTCGTTGGACGACGACGAGAGGAATGATTTTTGTTGTTTTTGGTTCTTGGACGACGACGACAAAAAAGAAAATAACAAGAAAGCATTACCAGGCCACGTCTCACATAATCAACCGGAGAAGGGTTGAAAAGAAGCATGTCCAGCTTGATGTCGAGGGATGTAGGGCCCGGTGGGACTTGGCCAATCTCCCGAGTCCAGAACCCATCTACGATATCTCGAATTCCACCTCTGAACGAAGTGGCGGGTAAGATCTCTCGCTGGCTGGCCAACAACCTGCATGGCAATATCATGCCACGGCATTTTGGGAACCTTGGACCTGTCGTACATATCCTCATATGGCTCATAGAGCCTGACGAATGTCTGTTTCATGGTACCCAAAACACCTGCCACAAGTAGTACCCCTATGCACCATCAGCGGCACTGATCCCATTCAGCCACATCTGAAAAATTGACTCCATACAGCTCCAGAACTCTAGTTTCACCACCACGTAGCTGCCCGGCGCCACCGCATTGCTGTGGTGGACGTTGTTGGTATGAATGGTTCAAGGCCTCCTGGATGATCTTGGTCGGGGTAGGGCTGGGCTCGAAACGGGCCGTCGTCTGTTCAAATGCCGTCTGCGGTTCATCTCCGCCTCGCGCTCCCGTTGCCGCAGCTGTCTGCGGTACTCGCGCATGGGGATGCCCCCGTTGGGGTTGTTGAATGGGTGGCCACAGAATGACATTGTGTGTTCGGAGCACATGGGTTGGAGTGTTGTGGGTTGAAAAGCTGGTTGCTGTCTTCGAGAAGCACGAGGTCTGGTGCAAGGTGGTTGTTAGCTTGTGCTATAGGTTAGTACGATGGGCATGATCGAAGGCTTCTGGGCCTTCCCAAACAAGGGGAAGGCCGACCACCTGAACTTGTTCTTTTGGCCCGATGTAAGGCGGCAGCTGATGGCTCCGTGACGGGTTTTTGCTTGTCGGTACTTTCTGTCCTGACACTTGCGGGTTTCTTGTTCACTGGTTGGACCCACTTGGTTGACCCATCATCTGCATTACACTTGCAATCTTGTCGAGAGGGATGCCCTGGGAACCAAAGACGTTGAACAGCTGAACAGTTGTAGCGGTATCCGCGAGCTTGCCCTTGGGCTTCCGTGAAGCGTTGACAATCTGCTTGGGCTTAGCAGGTAACCAAGTTGTTGTGTGGAACGTAGTTGTTGTTTGGATCGTAGTTGTCTTGTTGTTCGAGTTTGACGACCTGCGAGTTGCTTAACGTTTTAACCTTGCTATGGGAGACGATGATCCATAACATGACTCCAACCGCAAGTAGAAATACACAGAGTATTCCCCAGGTTTCTACGAATGGGAGGAGCGAGCGAAGGGATGTCAAGAGCCTGCAGTCTCAAGCTGGCGGGTACGAGGTCGAAGTGAAAGTGGTTGAAGCGTGAGATGTCGTGTGGAGTGGCGCGGTTCAAGCTGTAAGAGGTTTGAAGTCTCCATGCCCCCAACCCTAGATCCAGCCCCAACGGCCTGATCGGTACGGACAACACAGTTTTCTTGCCCATCCTTTTCCCACATGTCCACATCGCTCTCGACAATAACGGGTTCCGTTCTCCTGCTCTCCGAGTCACCCTACTGACCCTCTGGCTTGTTCTGAACCTCCACGTTGGCAGGCCTCATCAGTCATCGCCTCCTTTCCCTTTCTTCTCTCGTGCGAAGTACCCAAACCGTTTAAATGCCCAGAGGCAGGAGTAGAGACACTCCCCTCTCTGAAAGACGTTTGTCCCGTAGCGGTCAGATATCCCTCTCCGTGGTCATCAACACATAAACAAGTCCCAGGACGTGTACAAGAACCAGCACCAGTAGAGGTACCTATACCAACCGGGCGGGTGTGCTTGTGGAGATTCAAGTCGGTGTCCATCGAGATACTCATTCGAACTTCGACGGAAGGGCGGACATCCGGAGTAGCGGTCTCTTGGGTGGCCTGTTCCTAGGGACGGGAAGGGGACTGTGGCGAGGAGGGCTGGAACTCGAAAATAACTACGTTAGAGGACTTGGAGGCCGCTGGCGATCCATAGGCACGTTCGGCCGTTTGCCTGATATCAGCACCAGCAGCAGCATTGCCTGATATCAGCACCAGCAGCAGCATTGTTTGATATCAGCACCAGCAGCAGCACCAGCATCGGACCGAGCCCCTGTTTCGATCCCGGAACGAAATGCGGGAATATGCGTATCGGGTCGACGATGGCGTATAAGTTGGGCAGCATCTGCTTTTCTGTCCGAATTGGGCCGGAGGCCGTGCCGGAACTGTTGGTGGTGTCCGGAGATGTTCCGTGAAGCTTTTTGTTGGCGATGGTGCGTTGAACCGGGGGTTGCGGGCAAGCAGATTAGCGAGGATCTCCCCGGGCGACGGTGGCCTACTGTCGTTGGCGTTCAACGGGCTAGGGTCGTCGTTCCCGCCCTAGATTTCTGTTCCTTCTTTCAGGCTGTCGATCTATCAGCGGCATGCCCGATATGGTGAAGCAGCGAGGCAATGTCCGTGGTCCACAGGAAGTAGGCGATATCGCCCAAGTTTCTTCGAGGTCTTCGTTGGGCCCCTTGACAGCTGCGAGATAGAACGGGGTCTTTCGAAGCAGAAGTTAGTTGAAGGCAAAGACGGGGATATAAGACGAAAGTTTGGAGTGTGTCGTACTCAGCTTGGAGGCCCTACCGCAGAAACTCAGTCCAGGTTGTCGAAGAGTTCAAGGACTTCAGTTCACCGCTGTGCCCCCTGTTCCTGTCGAAATTCCCATATGAGTCGCCTCGTTTCCTCCGTCGCCTCCAACATCCGAGCCCGGTGAAAGTCTCGATCCCCCAGCTTCCACCATGCGCTCTTGTAACTGGGAAAACTCCTCCAAATACGATTGTATCAGTTCTTCTTGTATCACGCTAAATCCTAGCTCTCGCCCGCACGTATGAAAACAATAACTGCGAATCCCAAGAGCAAATGAAACTATGAACGGTCCAAAGACCATTTCCAGAGGGGAAACCCTCCCCGCACCCTGTTGAATCCTAGACGTACCCTCTGTTTTCCCATGACAGCTGTCATATAATACTGGCCGTTTTTGCTGGTAATTTCGAGTTTTCTGATGTCCCAGACATGCCGCTGAAAATCTTAAGTCCACGAGACAGCCATATCCTTCCCTGTCTTCCCAAAACAAACATTCTGGCGATTCTTTTCATGGTGTTGAGACATCTGGTGATACTTTTCATGGTGTTGAGGCTGTCTAACTAAACAGGGCGCTACTCGCTGAACTCAAAATTGCTACTCAGGGACGAAAGTTCAGAAGATATTTCGATGGGCGCTCCAGCCTCCTCTCCTCTCGCATCGCGACGACGGCGAGGTTGCGCAGAAGGGGGGGCTTCGTTAGACATCTACAGCAATTGTCAGCGATTGAAAGCGATCAAAATCAGTCGATTTGAGTAAGGTTACGTACATTGAGGGTGGTTGTTGATATGCGACGTGCAAATGCGTGCAAATGGGTGGTGTGAAAGGGGTGCAAATGGCCGTGTGAAATTGAGCGAAAAAAACGACCAAGTTAGAAGGATGTTGGTGTGCATTGAAAATACGAAATTTAGCGGGTAAAAACGGGATTTTCGATGTCAGGTGTCATCCAGCTGCAGTCCCACTTTTCTGGGTGGGACAGGGTACGTCTAGGAAAAGGGTGGGTGCGGGGAGGGTTTCCCTTCCAGAGGCTCATGAGCCATTCAGGGAGCAAGGAACGGTTGCATCTGGAACTCCGCGTCCCCAAAGTTTACCAAGAAGTTCCCACTCGTTGTGGTCGTTGTGGTCGGTGTGGTCGGCGCTAGTCTTCAACATGTTGCTCGTGACCCAAGCCAGTGGATTCAAGCTGCGGCTGTGATTGAAATCCAATGAGGGAAAGAGCGGGGACTGATGCATCTTCGATCCATCGCCAAAAAGGATTCCAATCAAGGCTTGGAGTAGCAGTTGGAGGCTGCTGGGGGTACTGCTGGGAATCTTGGACCAGTTGTTCCAGAATGGATCCTACGATGACGCGCAAGAGAACTGCTTTTGTCGTCCGAGTCATTGGTGAAAGTGAGCGGTGTCGCTGCGAGACGGAGGCAGGTGGTTCCTCCACGGCCACCACTTCCACCACCACTTCCACCACCTCCTCCCCCACCCCCACCTACACAACATTGACCACTACTACCCCCACGACGACGTCGACGATGACGACAAATACCACAGCTCCAGCGGGCCAAGCCACCACGCCAGTTTCATTTTCTTCTCGGGCTCCGTAGAAGCCGAAGATGAGCCCCGTCTTCTCTTCTTCTCGTTTGGCCCCTTTCGGGGGCTTGTGTAGCCGGCCCCGAAACGCGGGCAACACCGGAACCATATGCTGCTGGTATTGATTTGGGTCTTGGATCCAAAAAAAAACTTCTTTCGAAGATTTTTTCTTAACGGCACGGTGCTAGCGGGTTGCCGCGATGAGATCTGGCAACGAAAAGTTTATCAGACAAGTGTGCAGGTAGAATGGAGGGTAGGGAATGGCGGGTGATCATGTGATGGCTTGTGCTTGGTGCTTCTTGCTGATGCAAGAGCGTTGAAATGACATGGACCAGGCAAGCGATGGGGATGGGGTCAGCTAGGTACCTTGAAGATGAAAAGTTCTTGTGGTGGCAGGCCCGTCTTAAGGACGGCTGCGTAGGGCAACGCTGCGGGCTTGTCGTTTTGGTTCGACATTGTGATATTTTGTCTGATAGACAGACGTGGCCGACTGCATCAGTCCACCATACTGCCTCCCCCAAGACGGAGCAATGATTCCCTAGAGAAATCGGGCACAGAGGCTTGCTCCTGATGTTGCCGTTAGTCAGTGTTTGTCCGTTCTCGTTCGGCAAAACGGACCACACCAGTACGAACCTTAGAGAGCAAAAGTCGATTTGTTTCCAGTAGGTCTACGCGGTACGGTGTACCGCAGGTTCATCGCAAGACCAACCAAGTGTAGAATTATGTCGGAGCTTCGCATGTCATTGGCGAGGAGGAAAAGGGAGAATGCAGATGAGAACCATGGTGATAGACCGGATGGTAGAACCAAAAAGAAAAAGGAAAAAGTGAGAAACAACGCTGATCGGCAGAGTTCAGACTACTCGAGCCATGGGAAAGTGGAGGAGATATCAAGAGATGTCAAAACATAAAGTGTGATGTGTAAGAAACTGATATGAAACAAGATGTTGGATGTGTGGTCCTCTCAGATGTTGAAGACACTGGGGGTTCTCTGGACTCTTTATACTTGTCTGAGGGCTCTGGTGAGGACACACAGCCACGATTGGGGGCCTATGGTGCCTACCTGCGGAGCTTGATGTCGACGCAGTCTTGGGGCGGAGTCTTTCCTCCTGTTAACTCAAAATGGTGCCCCTCTCGGACCACTACCTGCGTCCGCCGTGATGAGGGAAGTCGTGGATGGTGTTGTTCGGAAGCGTTCAACCTAGGTAGGTACCGACCCATTTGTTCCCTGAGACTAGGAATTACCTGCGTCATAAGCCGATTGATGCTGCCGAACCCGGAAATGCCATGCGGCAATGGCATGGCTCGGGCGTCAACTGGAAGTCGTGAGACGCGGAGAGACATGGTGAAAAGAACCGGCCGACGTTCGTTGCGATTGAACACGAAGTGAAAGCGAGATCATGTGACCAGGCACCTCCCTAGCATTTCCAGAAAAACCGTTGGGCAACTGCGAACTGTTCCAAAGATCTGCAGACTGCAGTTTCCCCATTTGTTTGCAGCCACCAAGGCCCACTTGCCGTTATCCGCGACCCACCTGGTGACTTGCTTCAGCGGAGTTGATGCCGCTGTTCTTTCCTCAATTCCAGAACATTTCAACTGAATTGAACAATGCAATTGTCAATGTCCTCGTTGTAGCTTCCTGAATTTCAGCTTCAGCCGTAATCTTTCTTTCATGTCCCGATCACCTTAAAGTTTCTGTAGTCTTTTCCGTCGCCGATTGCGCTCCGTACCTGACAAGGAAGGGAACAGTACCATGTCATGGCAGCCGATACGGGACCGGGGAACCAGTGACCACAGCGGGACTTAGCCGATAACCGGCCCGGCCCCACCACTGTTTTTGCAACTTTTGGAACAAACAAAGCATTTCAAAGGCCCAAAACTTGTTATCAATGGCAAAATATCAAGCAGTCCGCGATATTCCCGGGCAATTGTCGTCGCGAACGAAGCAGATGTGACTGATCAGGCAGCGTCTGAGTGGACGGGACAAGTGCGCATGAACAAACCAGAACGACGCGAAAGCCGTTAAATCCGTCCAAGACTCACCGCACCTCCCGAGCTTCCCTTCTCCTGAAAAGATTTTAGTCACTTCAGTCAGTTGCCCTTGCAAAATGTTGCAAACCGCCATCAATCAACCAATCCGGCCTATGACGTCGGCTAACCTTTCCCTGAACCGCCCCACCGGCGGATGCCACCCTCGAAATGACCCATGTCAACATGGAAAGAGCAACAAAACAGAATTCGGATTAAAAAGGAAGCTTCGTCCCATCCGTACTTTCATGGAAAGAACTCCTCTGTTTGTGACAACAACCTAAATTTCTGGACTCGGTCACGGTTCCCTCCAGCACGAGTCACCATGTCGCCGTCGGACCCCAAACCGGTTGATGCTGCTGCAGCCGAGAAGCAACAGATGCATGAACCACCACAACCACCACTCGCACGGGCGCCTTCCCAGAAACAGGACGAACGCCTCGACTCCAACAGGCCTGAGCACTTGGACCATCTCGACGACCCTGAAGCTCAGCATTCGCCGATGTCGCGTCGCCACACCAATACCCATATGAACACCAGTTCCAGCAGCGACGATGAATACGATACCGAAAAGGACAGCGACGAAGATGCCGACGACCACGACGGCCACCGCATCACCAGCCGAGACATCCGACTGACCCGCACTCGCACCAACAGAAGCATGAGACCCAGCACCAAGGAAGGACCGGAGTACGCCAACACCACTGGCAGACTCGACCTCGCCAAGACTGTTTCCCGTCGTGACACCGTCCTCTCGCGCCTGCGATCCCGTCCTACCGCCCGGTACGAGTTCACCCACCCGCTGGCACACACCCCGACTGGAAAGGATGTCATCGTCGACTTCGATGGCCCCGACGACCCCTACCGGCCCATGAACTGGCCCATGAAGAAGAAGGTGTTCACCACGCTGCTTTACGGCTTGATCACCATGAGTGCCAGCTGGGCTTCCTCCAGCTACTCGGCCGGTACTGCACTGGTGTCGAAAGAGTTCCACGTTGGCCATCAGGTAGCCGTCTTGGGTACCTCCATCTTCTTGGTCGGTTTCGGTATTGGTCCGCTTCTGTGGGCGCCGTTGAGTGAGGTTTTCGGAAGAAGAGTGGCCGTCTTCGTGCCCATGTTCTTTGCCATATGCTTCACCTTTGGTAGTGCGACTGCGAAAGACTATCAGACTTTGATGATCACTCGCTTCTTTGGTGCCTTCTTTGCTTCGGCCCCTGTGACCAACACCGGTGGTGTACTGGGAGACTTGTTCTCGCCTGCCGAAAGAGGTATCGCCATGGCGGGATATGCCATGGCAGTCGTTGGAGGCCCAGCTATCGGTACGCCGCTTTTTCATTCCTTCTCCCCCCCGCCGGCCTTGGCTAACTCCATATCCCATCTACACAGGCCCCGTCGTCTCAGCCGCAGTTGCCATCCAACCCAGCCTCGGTTGGCGCTGGACCCTCTACCTCACCGGCATCCTACAAGCCTTCGTTCTCGTCCTCGGCATGATCTTCATCGACGAATCCTACCCTCCGCGCCTGCTCGTCAACAAAGCCCGCCGCCTGCGCATCGAAACCGGCAACTGGGCCCTCCACGCCAAGTTCGAGGAATGGGACGTCTCCTTCTCCGAGCTCGCCCACAAGTTCTTGTTCCGCCCGGTGCAGCTCCTCTGTACGCCCATCTGCTTTCTCGTCGCCTTGTACGCCAGCTTTTGCTACGGCATCCTGTACATGCAGCTGGGCGCCATCCCCATCATCTTTGGCCAAGTCCGCGGGTGGAAGCAGCTGGTTGCTACTCTGCCGTTCTTGTGCATCTTCCTCGGTGCCATGATCGGCTGCGGCGCGAACGTGTATAACCAGTTTCTGTACAACAAGGCGTACCGCGCCGCTGGCAATCGCGCCGTTCCTGAGCGCCGTTTGCCGCCTATGATGGTTGGCTCTGTCATCTTCTCGGGTGGGCAGTTCATGCTCGGTTGGACTGCGCCGAAGAATATTCACTGGATCGTTCCCTGCATCGGTCTGGTTTGCCTAGGATCGGGATTCTTCATGATCTTCCAGGCGGCGCTGAATTACTTGGTCGATACGTTTACGAGATTCTCGGCCTCGGCGGTGGCTGCGAATACCTTCCTGCGCTCATGCTTTGCTTGCGCGTTTCCCTTGGTCGTTGGGCCCATGTTCCATAACATTGGTGTGGGACCGGGATCGTCGATTACGGGAGGGTTTGCGGCTTTGTTGATACCCGTTCCGTTTGTGTTTTTCGTCTATGGAAAGAGGATCAGGAAGAGGTCGAAGTGGTCGAGACCTAGCGTTTATGACTGAGGGGTTGATGATGGATGATGTGATGCATGGATCCTGCAGTGTGGGGATTATGGGATGTTTTATGATGCATTTTACGGCGTTATGGGTCATCTAGAGGAGATACCAAAAGGTGCTAGCATTGCGTTTACGCTTTGCTTCGAAGTTCTTGTTGTTGAGTCACAAGAAACTTCCATGATCGCGATGTAGAGATACTTGACGATAGATAGATAATACTAATGCTCGATCCTTCAAGTCAACATCTGTAGACAAAGGGGTGCTTATTGCCTCGGGGAAACAGTGAGTGCTTAGGTCAGGGTTAGGGTCTACCTCGGAATGTCACCTTGTTCCTCACGGCCCGCTCCGCTGATAGTGCTGACATCATGATAGTGCTGACATCACCAAATAACGTTGCGCTTAACGCCACGCAGTCATAGGAATATCATTGGAAGATATCTTGGCAGCGTGGTCATTTCCTCCTACCCCGTTGATTTTTATCACGACATGTTGGAGAAATTATATCCGCACCAATCCGGAGAAGTCATATTCGCTCCGATCCGGCCATTGTTAGGCTTCTTATCTCCGATCCGACGACTGAACTGGTCAGGTGCCCGGACCACCTCGCATCGGGACCACCTCGCATCGGGATAGCATGACAAATCCCCAAATAACGTCACTTCATCCAACAACAACATCAACACCGACATCCAACAAACATAAACTCATCATTCGCATAACACGACGGATTCGATCTCAACCGAAAGCAAACGCAGGATACGAATTGTTCCAGTCAAATCCACAAAGATGAACTACATCCCCTTTCTCTCAGGGGGCGTCTCCTTCAACCCCCGCACCGACATTGCCCCCTCTGCCATCCAGGGCAAAACCATTCTCGTAACAGGCGGCAACGCCGGCCTGGGCAAGCAATCCATCCTCGAATTCGTCCGCCAACCCGCCTCCTCCCTTCCCTCGCGTATCTGGCTCTGCTCCCGCTCCCTCGAGCGCGCCCAGTCCGCCATCGACGACATCTCCACCGCCGTCCAGTCCTCAGGCGTCAACCCCGACTTCGATGCCTCTTCCATCATCAAGCCCCTCGAGCTAGACCTAACCTCGTTCGACTCCATCAAATCCGCCGCGCGCGTTGTCCTCAAAGAAAGCGACCGCCTCGACATCCTCATGCTCAACGCCGGCATCATGGCCACCGCCACGGGCGTCACCGCCGAAGGCTACGAGATCCAATTCGGCACCAACCACCTCGGCCACGCTTTACTCACCAAACTTCTTCTCCCACTCCTCCTCAAAACCGCCCGCAGCGCCAAGGGTAACGACCTCCCCCAGCCCGCGGACGGCACCCCCTCCACCCCTCCGGACGTCCGCGTCGTTATTTTGTCTTCCGAAGGCCACCGCCTCACGCCCCTCTCGGGTATCTGCTTCCCCACTTTGAAGAGTAACCAATCCTCCATCATGACCTGGCAACGCTACGGCCAATCCAAGCTTGCCAACATACTGTTCGGCAAGCAACTTGCTGCGCACTACCCCGATGAACTGACGGTCGTGTCGCTGCACCCGGGCGCGGTCAACACGGAGCTTTTCAACTCGTTCCGTGATAGCGGGTGGGTGGGTTGGGCGACGACGGGTTTTCTCAAATTCTTTTTGAGCACGGTGGAGGATGGAGCGAGGAATCAGGTTTGGGCGGCGACGGCTCCCAAGGAGCAGGTGCAGAGCGAGGAAGGGAAGGGGAAGTGTGGGTATTTCTTGCCGGTGGGGAAGAAAGTGGGGGAGAGTGGATGGGCGAAGGATGAGGAGTTGGGGAGGAGGTTGTGGGAGTGGACGGAGGGGGAGTTGGAGGGGCAGGAGCTTGAGGGTTGAGCTTTGGGAGGTGGAGATTGGGGAATGGGGAAGGGCAAGGGGAAGGAACGAAGAGGCAGAGGGGAGTGGAAGCTGAGACTGGGAGGTGCGATGCATGAAGCCTGAGGAGTTGGGCATATGTGGATGCTGGATGAGAGGGAAGCTCTTCCGGACTGTATTGGGCGGATTTAGAGGTGCGTTGAGGTTGGCTTTCCCTTCTATGATAGAGCTAGGAGTTCTCTTGTGCGCCTCTGTTCGTGGTGTTTCTATGGCCGGCCGGTCGTCAACTTTCTTTCTCCTGAGCCATTGGTGGGCCATTCCTTCCTGTGTTCGTCACCAGCAGCGACTTGTTCTCCTCTGACTTCTTGGATCAAAGATTTCTCCGCGCTTTATTCGGAGTGTTCAGAGGGAAGGTACTCGGCATACTTTTGCTTGTCAGGAAGCAACGTTCAAGTGCAGACATCTCGGGCAAGAGCGACTTAGTATCGACCCAGTAACTGTGGAAGTCGTCGCCGGACACTTCTCGCCCCACTTCCTGTATTTTTCCATACAGGGCGGAGGTGGTCTGCCCGGTGATCGACTCCTTTTCTCTTCTCGTGTTAATATGATGGAACTTGATTGCATTCTGGTCTTGCTCGTTTTCTTTCAAGATGCATCACTCAATATCAATGTCTCCATGCCCGCTTCTCTTTTCTTCCAGATGCGGATTCCCGAACTTTCAATTTCCGACCACTCAGCTGCACCTCTCATTGGTTCTTGATCATGGCTCCCATCCAATCGGCACCAGCCACGACGTTACACGGCGTTCGGATACCTACGAGCGGGGGCGGGGTGATCGTTATGAAGAACTTGAGTCACTGTCTGTTCACAACCCAACGTCCAAACGGCATCTATAGAGGTACTCTGAACTTTTCCATTCTCCTACATCATCACTTCACATCCATACAATATCTACCCACCCCTTTCTTTCTGGCTTGAACCGCCTGCGATCGGCGAACAAGAACCTCTGGCTGCCGTGCCTTGCTAGCCATGGATACCTCTGCCTCTGAAGATGAGCCCCCAGGCTCACGCGGGGACCAAAGCCAGGCGCTCGATCGGAAAATATCCAAATCACATCATAGGCCCGAACAGGTGGCAGCTCACATGCTTTGCGATTCCTGTACTGAACTCATTACCAAGTCCAGGATCATCCAAGAGTTTATGGGCAGTGCGGAGCCGGAAGATGCATATACCATCTGGAAAAGACTGAAAGGCGGACCAAGAACCGAAATCTTTTCGCGCAGCCACGCCCTATCGTCTATAGCAGACTTTGAAGCAAGCGCCGCTTGCCACCTCTGCTCCATACTATGGCATAGGCTCCCGCATGACGCCGTGGAACATGGCTGTGGTTTTCTGGACGTTACAGTGGCAGAGGATCGCTCGGTGGACTATGTCCCGGTCACTTTTGTGGTCGCGCCGTCTGAGCTTGCTACCGCGGGCTCTGATACTGGTGGCCCAAACCATGAGCCATGGGACGTTCGCATTATATTGAAGAGATACAGAGGTAACGTGGAAACCCCCGCTAGGGTTCTTTCTGTTTCGATCTGGCGTGAGCCTGGACACTAGCTTAGAATAGGCCTGCTAACGATTTCGTTGAGAAAACAAGGTCCCCTTTATCCTGCCGGAACATCAGGGTCTGGTCCTTTCCTTCCAACTTCTACTAGCTCAGAAGAGTCTCTCACAACCGCACGGTGTTGGTTGAGAGACTGCCTTGAGGAACATGCCGAATGCAGGATGCGATCGGTCTCGCAGACAAGAAACGTACCGTTGAAGCTTCCAACGCGGCTCATCTACGTTGGGGAAGCCCAGGGGCAACTTACGCCGCGGCTGGTTCTTACCACAGCTTCTTCTATACTCGAGGGCACATCATACCTCACACTCAGCCATTCATGGAGCATAACCACAAAGGAAACGTCGCTCAAACTGAGAACGGAAAACATACAACAGCTGCAAGAAGCAATACCACTTGAAGCCCTGCCTCAGACATACCTGGATGCTATGGATATAACTCGACGGCTAGGGTATCGATACATCTGGATTGATTCCCTCTGCATCATTCAAAATTCTCATGAAGATTGGGAAAAGGAAGCGGTTACCATGTGTGACGTCTACGGAAACTCAACTTGCACCATTTCTGCTCTGGGGGCCAACGGGATGGACCGTTGTTATGTGCAGCGAAACGCACTTTCACTTTTTCCTTGCCGTGTCAGCATGACCGAGGACCGCATTCCAGTTTACGCCATTCCTCCTGATTTTACTTGGGACTTCGACTACACGGATAAAGGCTCGCATGTCTTTCAGCGAGGTTGGGTTATGCAAGAAAGACTACTTTCTTCCCGAGTCATTTTCACCGGACACCATCAGTTCCATTGGGAATGTTGCCATTTCAGAACTAACGAGGCCTTCACTTTCGCCTTTGGCTCCGGACCTGTCATCGCACAATCTCCAAAGTTGACGTTCCATGCGCTTTGTGATCCTCAATATTGCGCCGCGGATGTCCCCGGGGTAGCTGATCTAGCCAACACGTTTTTGGACCGCAACATGCTGAAACTGTATTCTCTCTGGACGAAACTGTTGTGTGATTACACGCATATGAACTTGACCTACCAAAGCGATAAGCTCGTGGCCCTGGCTGGAATTGTTGATGCAGTTCACGCTAGCAGGGGATGGACCAATGTGGCTGGGATGTGGAAAGAGTTTTGGTTTCTTGAGTTGCTGTGGCGCATCGACTCCGATGATTGCCAACAGAGTCTTACTCAAACTGAATTGAGGCTCCCATCATGGTCTTGGGCTGCTACGGAGGAGCCTAAGAGATTTTTCAACGCCCTCGAATTTTCCGAGGTTATGGGCGGGGTGCAATGGGATCCTGTCAAGAATGAGGGAGACCCTGCTCGGGCATACTCCGTGGCTCAACTTGTTGGCTTCTGCGGTGTCCCACCCTCATCGCAACACTCACGGAGTACCACAAATCCTATTCCTACTCTCACCGTTAAAGGCGTGGTTTTCAGGGGTTTCCTCAAAACTAAGGCACTAGATCCATCGAAGAGAGACTTGACTATCATTAACAAGTGGGGAACGCATGGCTTTTTCCACATAGAGGTATACAGGTATACTTTTGATGAATTTCCATCAAGAAATCAAGTGGTGTACTTCCTCCCGCTAATCGTCCCCCAAGTCAGGGGCAACAAGCGGCGTGACCAGCCATGCGGCTTGATCTTGGAACCAGTCCCTGTGGAAGATACGGGAACAATCAAGTACTGGCCTCCGGTACCATGGCAGAGCGACCTTGCAGGGAGAGACGCAAGAGAGGATGAAGATGGCTATAACAGAATATTTGTTGGCTCAGAGTCTTATAGTCTCGATGAGGTATTGAACCCAAGTCAAAGTATTGGGCGCGGGGCGGAGCCTACACACTATCGTCGCATAGGTGTCTTCTGGTTAGATTTTCATTCTGATAGGCCGGCGCCGGAATTTTTTTTCGGGCAAAGTCGCAAGGTCTATGAAAGAACCGTCCACATTGTCTGATAAATTGGTACTCTGAGCCAAGTTAGTTTTAGATTCTTGTCTTTAGCTCTCTCTATCAATACCATAGTTATCGAGTTCTCAAGATGGTTCTTGGTCATACAGCAGCTCCTTTGTCGATGAGCTTCTCCAAGGTCGCGGCCACCAAGCAAAATCTGTCAAAGACATGGATCTTGAGTCCTTGACATAAAGCTTCTTCGCATAAATTAAGCCCGTTGTCCCTCTTCTTCCCTGTACAACATGCTCAACTGTGAAAGTGTCTAAACAGAGTTGAGGTCGCTTGTTCGGCGTCCAAGTCGTATCTCCAGGGTATCGAACCTGAGTGTTTATATACCGCAGTATGTCCGAGGACATTCATAGCACAGCTGAACGCAAACATTTGGTCCGTCTGGTGCAGATGAAGTAGTATGAGTTGACATCTAAACACAAACGAGGAAAAGTCCATCTACCTGCCCATAATGGCATAAAGAGCGGTGCTCTAGCGTCGACACTCGCGGTCTTAGTCAATGATTCTAGCAAAGAGACTCGGGGATCTTCATGTCATTCTGGTATAGTTTTGCCACAGCTCCGAGGGGTGTAAGACGCACGTTGCTACCCGCTTCTCAAGCAATAAACGCACCAGTCCTCGGTGGGCTCATGCAAGGCGGTGATCAGAGTTGCGAGTTGAGCGGCGTCAGATGCTGAGCTTGATCCTCTGAGGACGGGAATTTGCAACAGGTCGGGCTCTGTCATGGCAGTGGCATTGGGCCTGAGAGTGTCTGGGGTAGAAGTATGTGAAAGTCCTGAGAAAGACGGCAGCCACGGCCCACAGACACCACCGCCGAGCTTGTTATCCCCGTTGTCCTTCCACCCATGCCGGCAACGCCAGCAACGCTAGACCGGTAATCGACTCTGTGATAACACTTGTCGAGTCTGCCGATGCCATCGTCCGGGAACCAATCAGAACCCAATCTGGGCAGGTTGTCATCCAGCATCAGTTGATCTTCCATGACGAGCCGGAGATCAGGTCTGGCGTCCTAGAGCAATGAGCTATCACGGCCAAACAAGTGCCCCCTCACCCTACCACGGCACCCCTGATAATATCGACGACGAGGACGCTGACGGGGACTCACCTAATACGGATACCACTGTTGAGCTCGTCATCCCTAGAGGTACCTATCGATGAAATTGCCCAAAGCATCAGGCGGCCAAGCCGGGCCAAACAAAACCAATTCATCCGACCACCCAGGTTCATCTTCCGTGATTCGGCTCCCCAGCCTGTCACCGGGCCCCTCCGGCTCGTCTTTATCGACTTACAGCATTCGGGCCCACACTGGAAGGGCTTCAACAAGACTTCATGTCATACTCTAGTTGAGCATTACCGGCAAAGTGATGGATTCCCTGTTTGTTTTGATCATGTCTGCTCGCCGTTCGAACCAATCTGTTCCTGCCAGTGCATTCTGACTCGTAACAGTCTGAATAAACAGAGACCAGGACACGTTCCGTTCAACTACCTAGCGGTCCCGCTATGTGGTGCGGCTGCCCAGCACGGGCGTCGATTTGAGCGGATTGAATGGCACCAGCGGATCGACCCTGACTTGTACATGTATTTCGAATGGACTACCACACGGGACCCGCTTGCGTTGATCATAGACTTCCCTGTCACTTGGCCGCTTACCGTCGTGTTTCCAGACGGACTTCCTGAATGTGGCTGTGGTGGTGACCCGGATGCTTGCGTATGGCAGCAATTTGTGTTGGCGCGGGTGGAGGAAGAAGGAGAGTAGGAAGAAGGCGACAGTCGGAGCGGCAATGACGAGAACGTAGACCAGCCGGTTGCCCTGGTGCACTTCAATATCGGCGTATTGTTTGAATTCGCGGATATCGGGATCATTTCATCGCTCCTTGATTCCCTCCTGCTTCACTTCCCGAACAGGGTGGGCTAGAAAGATCATGATTCAGCGTTTGAATCAACTCAACTCGCCAAGCCAAGTTACCCAACTAACTCAACTCAACTCAATCAACTCGAACCCCCGAATTGAATTGGCCGCCTTTCTTAGTACCCGGCAGAATCCCTAGGTTAGGGTTCAAAGTACAAAAACATATAGATTCTACCCCTAAAAGATCGATCCACCCTAACCCTAAAAGTATACCCCCGGCCCTCCATCGAATTATACCCGCCCAAATAGCTAGTACCTATAGCCAATATAGCCGTCCAAACTACCCAAATTAAAAATTTTTAATATTTCTAAATTGTATACCAAATCGACCAAATCTAGCATTTTGAAGTTATATTGCCAACCTTTTCCCTTAGTTAGCTATACGCTACTAAACCGCCCCCAGTACTCTCAATCGCTCTCGATACGCTCTTAATAATTATTAATTTCCCTCTCCCCTATTTCGCTAGTTAATACTAACTTTTACTAACGCTATTAATATTATGTTATTATAATACCCATCGTTTATAACCCTAAAGCTTCCTCTATTACGGGTAACTCCGCTAAGACTATTTCTCATAGAAATTCGTTTACCTTCGCTACCGCCTTTACTACGTTAAATAATTACTATTATATATTTATCCACTAATAAATTAGGATTCTTTAAGAGATTTATTTAGATAATTTAATCGTAAAGATTTCCGATTGTCCAAAAATTAAGTAGGACAGCGGCAAGTTTATATTAGAAAAATAGTTGTAACGCCGCTTAAAGAAAAGTTTGTAGATCGGTAATTATAATATTTATTTAGTTAAAATATTTAAAAATAGTGAGGTTATAAATTATTAACATTATTTCTTTTATAATAAAAAATATATTTTATTCGTTATTACCTCTATTGCTAAATACTTTCGTCGCGTTTATAAATTTAAGGAATTGGAGGAGACTACCGTCAAATTGCCCGCGAAACGATTTAAATTAGTAACCGACTTCCTCTATTAATAAATTACCCTTATTATAAAACTAATCGACGAGACCTTCCGCGAACTATTAATAGAAATAATCGTCTTTACGTCAATCCCTCTTAAATTTATTAAAAACCTTACATTTTATTCGTTAATATAATTAAGAAATTATAATATAATTAAGAAATTACTATTAAAATCGTTTTATATATTAGACAACTAAATAAGGAATAAATATTAAATTTATTTTAGTTTTTTTAAAAGAGAGATTGGCTTTATTATATTTTTAGAAATACTTCTCTTTCGATTTCTAAATTTCGCCCAATAGTTTCCCTATGTTTTCGATTTTTATTTATTACGTTAATTATTAATATATCTTTAGAAATACCCTTTTTAACCTTTTTAAAGTTTATAGTAGTTATAGTAGCGAAAACTTCGTTATTTCGATTCTCAAAATCTTTAAAACCTTCAAAATCCTAATTAATTAGATCTGTTACTTCTAATATAATAATATCGATTCTAATAATCGTTATATTTATTACGTTATTAAGGGTTTTTTCCCCGCCTTTACCGCTAAAGACATTGAATTCGGAGTATTTTATTATTACCTTTATTATTTCGATTATGTTTTGAACCTCGGTATTAAAGCTATTATACGAAACGGGGTTATTCGAATCCCCAATATTACTAATCTATTTACCCGCTTATTCCTACTTAATAAGGATATTTCCCTCCGGGAATAGCATAAACAGGGGCCAGTTAGAAGGTTTTATAACGTTATTCAATTTATTCATCGAAATCTTCAAAGGCGCGCAAAAGTTTTAAAAATTATATAGTTCGGTTATAGCAATACCCTAAATTACAACGTTAATTTTCTAATCGGTAAAAATATAAAATAAAATAATATTTTACCGGCTATTACTATTATTTTTAATAATGCGATTCGCTAGAATGTAAATTATTAAATAATCTATTACGCTTAGAACTTTCGAAAATTTATCCATTATTATATTACTAAGATTGTAAATTATATTAACATTTCTAAATAGATCCCTAAAGACGATTACTTTAGTAATAATAATTAAGTAGTCCTCGCCGTTATTATAGAGGTAATAAAACCGTTTAAAAACCTTATTAAAAAATATAAAATGAAAAGTCCCTTCTTTTATACAGTTATCCCCAATCTTTATTACTTAATTAAAGAATTTAAAACCAAATACATTTGATATAAGGGTAATATTACCTTCGAATTATTTAAAAGTTCAAATATTCTAAATTCAAATATTATTATAATTAGCCCTTAATTATATAATAGACCTACGTATACCCGCGCCTCCTAATTCGCCTCTTTCTAATTCGCCTCTTTCCTTTAAGCCGCCTCCTTTTAAGCCGCTTCTTTATTTTAAGAATAGTCTAGCGATACTCCCTCCGTTAATTATATTAACGATATAATTAACGAGGGTATCGAGGCCGTTGGTTTAATACTAGATAGAGTTGTTACAAAGTTCGAAAAATATTATAATTTAATATAAGATTACCTCGCGTACTAAATAATGTATAGCTTTTACCCTAATTACTACGGTAGATAAATTTAATATAAATTTATTAAATACGATTTTAATAATATTATTAGCGACTTCTAAATTATTTCCGAAGAAATTTATATTAACTGTACTATCCTTAAACTATTAATTAATATTAGTAATTAGTAAACGAGGAGGGCTAAGGAGGATTGGTTCGTAAACTCTAATTTTTATAATACCCTCCCCTTACAATCAAAGAAGGAGACTGAATTAGAACGTTATTTCAACGACGATATTTACGCTATTAATGACGTTTTAAGGTAATAAAAGGCCAACGAATCTATATACCCGCGCTTTATACGTATAGTATTTAACTTTTATGCTATCCCCTTTATAGTAAATAATTGTAAACGCTCGTTCAACGGCGCTATATTGATTATTAATAGTTAGAAGAACCGTCTTTATATTAAAACTATTAACGTTATTAAAAGTTTGAAGTATTGGGCGGATATAGAATTGGGTTATAATAAGGATAAGGAGTAGGGTTTTGTAATTGTTTAGAGGAAGGGATTTATAATTATAGAGAGGTTTAGTAAAGTCGAAGGGGATTTAGGAAGGTAGAAATCGAAAGAATCCGAATACTTTTGGCTTAGAAACGTAATATTTGAGTTTAATTTACCCAACTAACTTAATTCAATTCAATTCAATTTAATTCGATATTTTGAATTGACCTACTTAATTAACTCGAACCCTCGAGTTGAGTTGAGTTGAGTTGATTCAAACGCTGTTATAATTATCTCTTCTATCATATTTCGAGAGTCCACTCTCTCACCATCATACGCACGTTGTCGCTAATGAGAACTTGAGACAGGTTTCCACGGATAAGATTTATGAGAGGTGAATGACGCGTCTTGTCAGATTGCATATATCTTCGTGACCATTCGATATGATCCTTCCATCAGACAAAAGACGTCGAACAAAAATTTCATCCCCTCATCCTATTATTTATTCCTGGTATCTCGTGAAAGCCATGCTGGGTATCGCAACTCCCCTTCTTTAACAAAAGAAATTTCCTCGAGCCCAAGTCCCTTTCCTCACTCCAACCATAGCCGCATGGCTGCTCGACACCACAACCGTCCTTTCCCTCCCCTCTCCTCCGCTCCCTCCTCGCCTCCCCGCCTCCCCCCTCCGCTACCTGCCGGCCTACTGCCTCGACGGGCCCCTCTAGTTCGGGCCCTCGGGTGAAGGAGCTCGCGAACGGGCTCTGGCGCCCTCTGTGGCGGATGATGTGGCTATCATCAGGCTTGGGTCAGCTTCCACTCAGCAACAACATACGATGACAACAAGGTGAAGACTCACAGCCGTTGGTCACATCTTGCAAGGGCCTGTTGTTCACTTGGCCCAGGGGCAGTGGCTGGCTGTTCGCCGCCACTGTCGCCAACGTCTCCAACCTCGCCGCAGAAGTGGCGGGGCGGCCGTGGCTGTGGGTGCGGCTGTAGCCGCTGGTGGTGCCGTTGGTGGTGCCGTTGGGGGTGTTGGCGGTGGTGTTGGCGGTGGCGGCGTGGGTGGTGGTGGTGATGGGATTGGTGGTTTGCGGGCTGCTGCCACCCACAGTAACAACGCCAAACGAGACAGGGCGCGAGCCAGGCAAGGACTGCCAGTTGGACTGCCACTGAAGTGGCAGCGTCCCTGGCACGTTACCGGGGACGTTGCCCCAGAGGCCGAACTCACCAAAGCCTGCTCGCAGCAGCATGAGAGCCTCCACGGCCTCCTGCTCTCTGAGCCTGCGGCGCTGTTGCGCGGCTTCGTAGAGCCTTTTGTGAGGGCAAGGCATCTTGGTTGGTTGGTGATGGTGGTGGTTGTGGTTGTGTTGTTGATGAGTAAGTTTGGAGGGGTGAGTTTGAGGTTGGGTTTTTGTGAAATTGTTGTGTGTTGTGTGCGAGCTGGGCGGTCTGAGATTCTTCTGCCTGGGGCAAGTGAGAATCAGACGAGAAAGGGCAGGAAGGAGCAGGCAGACAGGACGATGTCGTCTTAGCACGCACGGGTCAAGTTCATCTGAAGACTTGAGAGGGCTATTACCTAGTTACTGCCTCCCGCTCCTTCCTCGGATGACGTTTAAACGGACAGAGCCGAAATACTTTGTGGGTGGCCCTGCCCGTAGTAATCTGGAATTCGTAACACTCTTCCTCCGCTCCTTCCTCATACAGCACTCGCCAATACCCTGCCTGAACGGCTGGAGAAAGAATCACCAAGTGTCCAGTGCGTTGATTATCACGTGTAGCTGGTACACATGCAGGTGTAGTGGAAGAAGGAAAGTGCACAGGTCTCAAGTGTGAAGAGTGGGTCTTATATAAAACTGCAAGCACGAGGCGAAGGATAGAGAAGGATGGAAATGAATTAAGGAGATTAATATCAGGAAGGGGAGGTCGTTTGAGAGCTACTGACGCGAACACTTAGTAGTTACAGGCAGTGGCAAACATGGAGCAAGTTCGTTGTATGCTATGGTCAAATTGTCAATCCTCTTCAACGGCTGCCACCTCAGTCATTTTCCAAACTGGTTGTCTTCATTCTGACGAGATATCGTCATTTGTTCTGTCTTGCTGGACTCTTGACTCATTCGAGTTCGAAGACATTGCCCTATACATGCACCGCTATTGTCACCCATACAACATCACAAACGCCGTGAAGGTTGGAGTGATGGTTGTCTACCTCTACCCTCTTCTGTCAAGAGTCTTTCTACCTCTGCATCTATTATCTCTGAGCTCTCATTCGTTCCTCAGATCGTTTTCCTATCTCGCTTCGTTTTCCTATGACTAGAGGTAGGTCTACACACCCTTCACTTTGAAATTTAAGACAAAGAGCCCCTTCTAACGGAGTCATAACCCAGTGTCAACAAACGCTTTGCCGTAGCCAAATCAACCACCTTTAGTAACTTGCGTTGTCGTCATCCTTCACCAATTCCGGTACATCATTGTGCTCCTACTCTGACAGCCCTTCCTCGCCCATCTTCAACTTCTCAACCGCCTCCTCCAACTCCTGAGCCTTCCTATCCACCTTCCCATTCAAGATATGAACCCTCTCGTCCAAACCCCGATTAAGTTCCAGATGACTCCTCTCCAGATCCGTAATCCTGCCCATCATCTTCTGCCTGGCGAGCTCATTCTTCTGAACCGTGGATTCCAAGTTGAAGACATGCTCCCTCAATTTCTGCATCTCACTGCGCAGGCCGTCGTACTTCTCCAGATGATCACTCAACATCACCATGAACTTCTCCCGCTCCCTGTATCTCTCTATCGCAAGCTCCTGGTACACCCTAATCTTGTCCTTCTCCGAATTCTTAAACAGCAGGTACTTCTCCCACAGTTCAAGCGGCTCGGCGCGGGTTTCGGCCTGCGCGAGCTCCTTGTGGAAGCCGAAGCGCATATGGCCGGGCATCTTTTGCCACGCAACCTTCCAATTTTTGTCTAGGTTCATGAGAGCTTTCTGGATGCGCTCTCGCCGGGCAACAGTGGCGGGCGAGATCTGGACAGGGCCGTTGCCGCTGGGAGGAACACGGTGACCGGGCTCCGAAGAGTGACCCTGGAACTGATCTGGCGGGCCACGGGGGCTCATGCTGGACCCGACGGTGGCAGCCCTCTTGTCTCGAACGGCAGGGTTGCCGTTGTTGTTGCCATGATTGTGGCTGGGGCTGTGGCATTGCAGCTGCGCAAGACTTTGGCTTCGGTTGTGCGGGCTGGCCTTCCGCTTCTTCGATGGGGACTCTGTCGGTCCGAGACTATTCTGCTTGTGGCCGAGTTTGAGAGGGGTGTTGGAACGGGAACCGGAGCTGGAGCCAACAGCATTTGCAGGGCCTGCTGTGGGAGCTGGCTTGTTTGAGACCGAGGGGCTGGGCATGAAAACTTCCAGAGGCAGGCTGTTGTTTTGACCTGGAAAGTTTTCCAGGATAGGACCGATGGGAGGATTCAAGCTGTACCTCTGTTCATGCGGATATCGAGGCCCACCAACGGGACAAGCGAGTCGCTGCGCAAGGAGGAGCATGTTTGCCTGTCCCTCTGGGCCGGCGTCTGATCCGTCATCCTTCGGCGCTCTAAGCCTAGGGTCAATGGCACTCTCGGGGATGCCGAGATTCATGGCTGGCACGTTGTTGTTGTGTGCTGTATCCAGCAGGGGAAACTGAAGCTGCGCGAGTTGGTCCTGGTCCACGATGAGGTTGGAGAACGGGTTCTGATCTTGGACTTGAGGGCCGGCTTGGCCAGGTGTATCGTTCATGTTGAGCATGTCCATGTCGAAACCCTTTCCGTTACATCTGGTCAGCTACTCTCCCTCCGGCGCCTGAAAGCAGAAGTCAACACGTACCTGCTCACTGTTGCTGAGATGGTCGTTCATGTTCGCAACAGCGTGATCTTGATTTTGTGCCATGCAATAGGCCTCGTAGTCAAACAATTCGTTCAGCTCTTCACCTTCAATGCGTGCATCGTTCGGCTCGCCTGGCTGGGGCTGGTAGACAGCCTGCTAAGCCGCGAGTCCCTCAGGGCCTTGCTGGCTATCCTGGTCTCCCATACTGTCTTCGTTGAACTGGACAAGAAAACGGGGGTTGAGTGTGTTCTGGGAGTGCTCTGGATGTGCTTTGAGTGTCGTATATAAGGCAGTCGCTGGTCTAGTTTGCTGATTCTGGTGCTTCTGGGATGCTTTTCGCAGGAAAGAAAGAGATGTCGCGCAAATTCGTCAAAGTTCGAGCTTGAACTTGAAGTGAATGTAGAAGTTTGTGTGCAGACTTGAATTGTTGAGAAAGAAATGTGGGACATTACATGTGAATGGTTGCCGTGGATACTTCCACAACAAGGCCAGACAGCGCACAATAGAAACAGCTCCTGAGTGATAGATGTGGAGTCAAGATGTCGAGGCGGCCAGCTGGGTCTAAGTTCTTCACTGCTGGATTTTCGAAGCATCCAGAAGAGATTTTTCGACAACATGGGACGGAAGTTCAATGTACTTTGTACCGTCTTTACCTGGTTCAGGGCATCAGCGGAAGGGCGAAATATGGAAATCACTCTGACTATCAAGGACTTCCATGATGTGTTCCAACAGTCACTCTCATTCTCAACGTCGTCGGTCGTCATGTTGAAGTGAACAGAGTGAACGATGGAAAAGAAGCACGACGTTGTGGTGATGAATTTCCTGCATTGGCTAGGAAATTAAGTGCTTCCGGATCGTTACGTTCTACGCCTTCCAGAGGTTTAAACTCTCTAGAGGTACCCGCCCGATCCATCTTTCCGGTAGCTGTATCGAACGTCAGCAGATAACCGAACAACATGCCGGAGTTGCGAGTCCAGGGCTAATCGAGATCTGTCAACCCCACAATATTGCGTCTTGCAGACCAAGGAGGGAAGGCAGTCGCCGTACCAGACTTTCAGGTCGGTGCAGGTTTTGGTAAAGTTGGAATATCTCTCTCCTTCAGGCGGAAAGGCGGGCGCGTAGAGGTTCCCAGTGAGTCTGGACTGTGAGTAACATTGTTAAATAGCCCCTGTTGATAGTCGGTAAAGAGTAAAGCGATCACTTACATGGAGGTTACAAGGCAATTCTGGTGGCAGGGACATTAGGGGTAAATAAAGTACCTAGATGTGAGATGATGAAGCAAGGAGGCCAAGTCAGAGTCCTATGAATGAAACAAGTGAAGACAGTCATTGCTATGCATTATTTACTATGTCCCCTACAAAGTGGGCGGAAAGAGGATATGGGCTCATATTATTGATACAGCACGAAGAGCAAACGATCAATCTTGAATTACCGCATCTTTGTTCCTCCAAAGGAGACAGAATGATATAGACAACACCTGGCAGGTAAAGAAACTGAAGAAAGAATTGGTGCGAAGATGAATCTTATTCACTAGCAGGCAAGGTCGAACAGCCAGGTCCAGAGAGTAAATAAAAAAGGATGAAGCAAAGTTGAACTGTAAAAAAAAGAATGAAATGTCTCGTGGTTGAGAATAGAACTTCTGAACTCCAGAAAAGAGTCGAAAAAAAAGATGTTTTGAGACTCGGATACCGGGAGTCGAACCCGGGGCTGTTGAGAGAGCAGTCACTCCTAAGAAGTGAGAGTCAACGATGTTACCGCTACACCATACCCGATTGAACTGATATGGTCCGATTTGTTGAAAGCGGGTCAGCAGCGTATCCTTATTATCTCGAGGGAGCCGTCACTACCATCGGTCCCTGTTTCCAATTCGAGCCGCAAGACACGGAGATGCGGGTTCAGCAATCATTCTTATAACTGTTGCATCTGTCATTTGGACCCATACAGCTGAGAAATGCAGCCACTAGACTTGTCTAATGTATCGATCATGTGCAGTTGCTGGACGCAAGCATAAGACAGCTTAGAGACGAAACTTACCAATACGTACGGTGTATTTTACGTTGCGTACCTAGAGGTATTTCTGTAACGCATAGGAGTCCAGATGTTTTCCCCATGATCTCCATGTCCCCCACATGCCGAGCACGTACCGCTGCCAGAAACGCTTCCTGACCACGTTTTCCATGATTTTCCGTCTATCATCGGCCGGGTCAACGTTGGAAGACAGCTCCGGAGCAATTGCTCCTTGTCATGGCCCTGCGTTCCCATGGTTTTCTCACAGAAGCAGCCGCAAGTGCAAGTGAAGTGATGCAAATGTACCTTTATTGATTGGGGTTGCCAGGGCTTGGGAAGGCCGTTTTGGGAAATACTGCTTGCGAAGCGAGAGATTCTATTCCATAGAGGGAACCCCGGGTCTGAGAACAGGGTCAAAACAGGGTCTATAAAGGATGTTTTGGCAAAAAAATCTTTTTCATTTTGGAACGGTTGCACCAGTTTTTAATTGGTAAACACTATATTTGGTGACTAATAGATATTTATAACCGATAGTGCGAAAGCCCCTTTTTCGATTATTGTTTTAATAGTCTTATTAGTCTCGGTCAGACTTTTAGTTCCGGTTAAACTTTTGGTCCCGGTTAGACTTTTTCTAAGAAGAGAATAATATTGTCTTTTCTTCTCCGTTGGAGGGAAAACAGTAGCGTTTTAGGGAAAACGGCAACCTTAAGAGGAAGCGGCAACTACTAGGCAACTATCGGGGGAAAAATGAACTATTGTATTAATAATACAATAGTTCATCTTTTCTTTGGAATTCATTTCTTTAGTAGTGCATCTTCTCGATAATACTTTTAATAATGCATTTCAATAATGCTTTTGATGAAATATCTTTTTAGTAATACTCTTAGTGATGTATCTTCTTAGTGATGCTTTTTTCTACTTAGTAGTTTTTTTTTCAAATGTTATAGTAGGGAATCGAACGGGAGCCTTACGGAACTAAGTGCTTATATTACTAACTACGCTATCCATTATATATGCGCGAAGGTATTGGAAATAAATGTTGATATAATTAAAAGAAAGCGCGGAGGTTGGTTGAGGAAAGAGAAGAGTATTGAAATTTCGGTTATTTAAAGTTATTGACGATAATAATTTCTCGGGAAAAGGATATTAGAGTAAAAATTTTTTTTAATAAAAATAAAGTATCTTCCTAAAAAAAAAAGAATAGTTAAGCAAAAATTTTTTAACCAAGCCTATCATTCTTTTTAATACCGTACGGATTTTCGGAGTCAAAGCTCTTTTATACCTAAAAGAGAGTGTTGTCTAACAACATGCATTTGCAAGGAACAGGATTTATAAGTCTTTTAGAATTTCGCAAAAAAAGGGTGGTACGACCCTGTTTGAACCTTGTTTGAGCCATTTCTGACTGTTGGCTCAAAAGCGCCTGTTTTGACCCTGTTCTCAGACCCGGGGGACGCTGTAATGAAAGACGTCATCTACCTATTTTACCTACTCCATACATGCAACTCCTTTGTAAATGGCCGCCTTGGCCGCTAACAAAACGCCCTAGCAACCAGTCGCTCAGGGGCTGTTCCCCCTAAAAGTGGAACTGAAACTAGGCCAAACATTGACAGAAACAGCAACACCACGATCCAACTTTCCGAAACTCGCAAGCACAACCCAACATCGTTCCTCGATGTACCTTGCTCGCCGTCCAATTCGGCCAATCGGATCTCTCTCGTTCTGTTGTTACCTTAGTCATGAATGGTAACTTCACGAGTCCCCCACAGGTGCAACTCTCCCTCGAGGAGTCGAGTCCTTCGAGTCTGGAGGCTCTCTGATCATCTGATGTCCAGAGACATGGCGACCATGGCAATGATCAGCACTACAAAAGACCTCCAGCATGAGAGACGCGGCACTGCTAACACTGGACCAGTAGTAGCAACAGCACCAAGCCCAACACTCACGTCAAGATGCGAAGACCGCAGGTGTGCAGACGAGCTCGTGGCTGGCTGGCCGCTGGTATAAATACCTAAGCTCCTGTCAGTTGCTTCTTGAGTGACAAGCTGATACCCGAGAATCTTGGTTCTCACCTTCTCTCCTCTCACCTTTCTATCCATCATCGCCCACCATGTCTTCGAACAACACAGGCTCCTCCAACTCGAACCAGACTGACCCTCGCCAGCACCCGCTCCTGGCCACTGCCCAGGCCATTGCGGGTGCCGTGCAGGGTGAGCACCGCACTCCTCGCATGACACACATGATGAATGCCAACGAGGGTCCCGCCGACATCATCTCCAAGGTTGCCGGCGTCACTTCGGGAGGAAAGCGCACTGGCGATGCTCCATACTTCACCAACAACGAAGGCATCCCCTGGCCCGATGCCGCCCACAGCAAGACCATCGGCGGTATTCCCGTTGCCAGCGACACCTTCCTCTTCCAGAAGCAGCAGCACTTCAACCGATCCAAAACCCTCGAGCGTATGGTCCATCCCTGCGGTTCCGGCGCCTTTGGCTTCTTCGAGTGCACGAGCGATGTGAGCAACCTCACCAAGGCCAACTTCCTTCAAAAGGTTGGCGAGAAGACCCCCGTCTTCGTCCGCTTTTCCACCGTCACCCTCGGCCGTGAATTCCCCGATGAGGCCCGCAACCCTCGCGGTTTCGCCATCAAGTTCTACACCATGGAGGGCAACTACGACATTGTCGGTCTCAACTTCCCCATCTTCTTCTGCCGCCACCCCATCCAGGGCCCCGATGTCATCAAGTCCCAGTACCGCGACCCTCGCAAGTTCTTTTCCGACTGGGAAGCCACTTTCGATTTCCTCGGTAACAACGCCGAGGGCAACCATGCCGGCCTCATGTTCTTCAGCGACCACGGCACCCCCGTCGGTTGGCGCTACAACAATGGCTACGGCTGCCACACCTTCAAGTGGGTCAACAAGGACGGCGAGTTCGTCTACATCAAGTACCACTTCATGGCCAAGCACGGCACCAAGCGGTTCACCGATGCCGAGGCCGTCCGCATGTGCGGTGAGGACCCCGATTACTCCAAGCGCGATCTTTGGAACTCCATCGAAGCCGGTGAGGAAATCGAGTGGACCGCCTACGTCCAGGTCATGAAGCCCGAGGACGCCGACCCCGAGAAGCTCGGCTTCGACCCCTTCGACATCACCAAGATCTGGCCGCGCAAGCTCTTTCCCATGCAGGAGTTCGGCCGTCTAGTCCTCAACAAGAACCCCGAAGACTACCACCGGGACGTCGAGCAAGCCGCCTTCTCCCCCGGCAGCATGGTCCCCGGCATCGAGGACTCCCCGGACCCACTCCTGCAGTTCCGCATGTTCTTCTACCGCGACGCGCAGTACCACCGCATCGGCATCAACCTGCACCAGATCCCCGTCAACTGCCCGTTCATGGCCATGTCGTACAGCAGCCCCAACATCGGCGGGACGATGCGGGTGGACGCCAACGCCGCGGGGAACCCGCAGTACGTCCCGTCCTCGTCGTTCGTGTCCTCCAATAAAAAGTTCCGCAACGACACGGCCGAGGCGCCCTACCAGGTTTCGGACGCAGTCTGCTCGCGCCGCTCCCACTTCTGGCACGAGGGCAACAAGAACGACTACGACCAGGCCCGCGAGCTGTACCGGCGCGTCATGTCGGAACAAGAAAAGGCCAACACGGCTGTCAACACGGCCAAGTACCTCGGCCAGGTCCGCCACAAGGAGATCAAGCTGCGCTTCCTTGCGCAGTGGTATAATATTGACCCCAAGCTGGCTGAGTCGGTCTATAGGGCGCTGAGAGAGGATGCTAAAGAGGACTTTACCCTTGAGGAGGTGGCGACCAAGGCGGAGGACGCTGAGCTCTGGAATAAGGCGGCCAAGTTTAGGCCGGCTCCTGGCGCTAAGCTCATGGGTGCCAAGTGTCCTGCTGGTATGGGATACGGTGATTGAGGCGCATGTATTGTGCCTTGCATCAGATGAATCATGTCATGAGTTGATGATGGATTGGATGGCGTTTTTGGGTCGTATCAAGGGAAGGGGTTTTAGGAATATTTGGTAGTGCTAATGAGTCATGATTACTACAAAGGCTTCTTCCTGTTCTTGATCCTCCTTGGTGACGCTGTTTTTGCTGTATTTGTTGGATGTTTCATCCATATAAACGTAAACGTGTCACGAGAAAGTGACCATTGCCCAACAAAACGGAAGAGGCGACGCCGAATGTGAACTGCGTTTTGAGAACATTAGTGACTGTGTAAGTGTGTGGCCAGTAGAATCTGATAGGCCGAGTGTCTGCTGTCTCTATTTCCAAGTTGAAGCGTCAGTAGGGGTGGAAGTGTTGTGGTTAATCGTGACATGAGGACCGCACGAATGCATGCATGTGGATACCACTACGGATTAGGTATCTTTAGAACTCTTCACAAGCAAGCTTGAGCACTGAAGGTCACACAATGCACATCAAACTCCTGGATTTTCCATTTTATTAAGGTAGGTTTGGTGAACTGCCAACCAGATGCCTCTCCTGCTGCCCTGCAAAAATCCCTTCAATGTGACGAACCGTTACACGCACAGGAGTATATCGCTGGGATAGGTAGAACAACGGTAGTAGTAGCCGAAAGGTACTGATTGATTGTAGAAGCTATTGCTTGCTAAAGAGCCAGAATAACGAAGGCCGGGAAGCGGCCTTCTTATATACTGGCCTTCGAATCCGTCCCGTAGTCCCGTGTTCTCGGGACTCTGGGACACTCCACATGACCTGGGTTCGGGCTGCCTTTTATTGGTCAATCCATCTAGCTTACATAAGGGGTTTCTGATTGGATCGTAACATTCAAACGACCCCATCATCCTGACTAGATGTATCCAATTCATACCTTTTCGCCTCCAGGTCTACCATCCATGCCGCCTCCAAGCCAGCTCATGCTCTCTGCGACTATGGTCTCCACTCAGCGCTGGAAATAAGCCAACTCGTGCATCTCAAATATCGATCTGGATTTGATTGAGTAAGTCTACCGGGGTGCCGAGAAGGCGGCCAAATCGACAAGCAAATATCGACATTGGATTTATTTGGGTCAAATATTTCGACATGCGGATTTGTTTGCTTGTTTATTTATGTTCGCTTGTATTTATATTTGACCTATTTCCAGCGCTGCCTCCACTCAAGCAATCCGGCATACCACCACATCGCCCTTATCTCCCTCGTCGTCATCTCCCTTTCCCGATCCTCCTGCCCGAACCCATAAGGCACCCCTTGCGCCGCGGAAAAAACTTCATGCCGAATCCCCACCAAGCTCAGCAGGAGTTCGTCGGTGTGCACAGCTCGAAAGAGCGGCGCCCATTCCCTCAGTTTGTCCATGATGAGCTGCTTTTCCATGGAGTCTTCCTCCTGCTGCCAGCGAGGGATGTCAACCAGGCTGGTGCGGAGTTTGACCGTGAGGAATGCCAACTTCCTGCAAGGGGAGTCGGGACGCAGGGAGGGAGAGAAAAACGACAGCATGTAAGCCAGCTCGGTGGTGACCGTGTCGTTGAAGTCGGCGGAGCAGTCGAGGTGGAGAATGATGCCGCGGAGCATGGGTAGGATGGCCGGGCGCTCGGCAGCGAAGGAGGGGAAGAGGTGAGGACCGTAGGGGAACTCGGCTGTGCAATTGGGGTAGAGGGTTTTACCGAGTTCTTCCGTGACTCCTGGTGAGAGCTGAGAAAGGCGAAGGAGGTTCTGGTACTGTACCGGAGGTCGGAAACGACAGCGGGCCTCGTAGGTGGTGGAGCGTGGACACCAGTGGCGGGAATTTTCCAGAGCGACAATCTCCTCGTCTGTCTCCCAGATGTTTGGCTTGTACACCATGACGAAGCCGTAATCCAGATACTCTAATGGGTCACTGCTTTGGTCGTCATCTGCAAAGATTGCAGGGTCCAGATGCAACAGATCCGAGGCTATGTCATCCTCCGCCGTGGCCGGGATGCTCGACTCCGGAATGTCGATGGCAGGTTTGAGGAAAGGCGATGAAGGTGCAGAGACAAGCGGGGATGTCGGCACTGAAGATTTGGCTGAGCGGCTGGAGGATGGCTCGCCGCTGGAGGATGGCTTGACGCAGGAGGTATCTGTATCCTCCTGTTCGTCGCTGGTCGGCTCTGTGTCATGTTGTGTGACGCTAACACACCTATTGTTATTTTCTCTTTCCTTGTCGTCAAAGATGTGCTCCAACTCCTTTTCGTCATCGAGGGCCCATGTGAAGCCGCAAAGGAGGTCGCAGCACTTCTCTAACAAGGTATCGATGAGAAGTCGGTGTGATTGAATTGGGCCGTCGCCATCCCGCCTGTTCGTAGCGAGGAATGCCCGCTTGACACCGTCAGGATCTGATCCGACCTCTCGGTCGAGCGAATGCCTAGATGCTCTAGGGGCGGACGCAGCTGTATCCTCGCCGTCCTCCGAGGTGTTGTCCTCGCTAGACTCCTGGTCGCTATCAGAGTCCTCTTCCGTATCCTCTTCGGAGATCTCATCCTCGTTCCAGGATAGCTGTTCCAGCTCTCGGGCAACCTCTTCACTTTGAAGCCACCCATCTGGGATCGTCTCAGCAGTACCGGACTGGATCTCTCGGTATGTAGCAAGTGGATCGACGGTCTGCCGAGTGCCAGTAACCTGGTTCAAGTTCCGAGAAGAAACTTCACCAGTGACTATGAGGTCGTCGGTTGAAAGAAGTGATTCGGGGGAGAAAGGGCTCTCGACGACTTGGAAGCGGATGCCCTTGCCTCTGAAAGATTGTGGCACGAGATTATCGTCAGGGTATTCTTTAAACGGAGCGATGAGGTGGTCGAAAACTTGGTAGAGTATCTCCCTGGGCAGGTTCATCGCCGCAAAGCTACTGGCGACATCAGATCCGCGGGACCCAGTGGTGGCAGATGAGCATCTACCGACAGCGGATTCGAACAGATGCCGGACTTGCAGAGGGTAGGCCGGTTCATACTCCAATGACTCTGGTTTATCGTCATTGAAGGAGTTCCAGTCCTTCCTCGGAGACAGGTCAAAGGAGCCAAAGCCCCCAGTGGAATCATTGTTGGTGGTGGAATCCATGATGGTTGCTTTCAGTTAAAGGCCAATGGATGATTTGGTGTGGAAGGATGAGGTTGGATAGCGGTTGGACACCCAGGGAAGCAGTACAGTTGGGATATTTATAGCAAGGAAAGAGAGAATGGGAGTGGGATTTAAAACCCTATGCCCTAAAGTGTCCCTTCACTTCAACAGACTCAAAAGCCTGGTGAAGGGAAGGCATGGGGTATCATCCCGTCCATCCCGTCTCCAGCTCCACCAGTCTTGTACGGACGGAGACAGGAGAGATCAGTGAATGGGGGTATCCGAGCTGCCGTCTTGATCGAGAAGCTTCTTAGCGTAGAACTGCACACACCGAGGTGCCGGGGCGGCAAGATGAAAGTTCATTTTGGGTGAAGGTTTTGTTGACGCACTGCCATCCAAGCACTAAGCTGTCCAGAGCGTCACTGCGGACCGTTAGCGGGTTCAAACGCAGAAGATCTCGTAGATATAAGGTTTGAAGCTTCGTCCCTCAGTACCGTTGGTGGTGCCGTCCCATGGTGAGCTTTTCTAACTGCCGAAGCAGCTTGTGGCCCGCGATCCCTAATGGAGATGAGGGTTAGCATTCCTGTGAAGGGAGATAGTGGACACTTTCTGCCATCTTATACCTTACAGCCTTCCATCACCTAGCTTGTTCAAGGTGCGGTGACTCTGGATTGTGTCTTTGGTGTTTGTTTCGTCTATGGCTTGTGATCAAGCAGCGTGAAGTAAACAAGAAACGACTGCCTTCCTGTGGCTATCATATTCATCTGACGACTGTGACCACCTGAGTGCTTTGGTGAGCAACAACGGCCCATCGGGGCCACTCCACTAGCAAGCGTTTGTCCGTATGTAGCAGCTTGAGGGTATTCACAAGAAGTCATGAACACAATCACCAGTGATACCGAAGCCATTATGCCTCATAGAAACCACCTCGGCCATCCACAGTCGTTCAACCTTTGTGCTACCCACCAGCAAGATCGACGTGCACCGTCTGAAGCCACCACGGCCACATCCGAGTGGTCTAGTGGATCGGTGGCGTTATGCCGTGCGGCCCTGGGACAGACATCTTCTGGGGCACGATAGACCCGCGGATGACTGACGATGCAGCCGTCGAATGGAGGAGGAAGACGGGTTGCGTAACGCGCCCTCTCTGCCATATATGCAGCATCAGCAAGAGGATTAGGAGCCGTTAGAGCCTCCTTTATATCGTCGAGGTATCATCACCATGAAACCCCGGAAGGTTGATGGAGCCTGATGCGGAAATCGAGCCGAAGAAGAGGTCCTCTGGGGTACAACTGGTACAGACAAAGACGAGGCGAGGAAGAAGAGGAAATGTCCCGCAGGATTTGGAATAAATACGGCAACAGCATTCAGAAGTATGGTCGGCCACGACTGCCACAACTGGCGAGCGTCGTCGTTTGGCCGATGTTGCCCCTTAGCAACGGGCTTAGGCGAGGAGGAAGTGCTGCTCGCCTTTGCCGTCATGAACATCGATAAATATTGCGGATAGCGTTCAGTACCCGGTGGTCCATCAAGATCACAGTTCGCACTGCCGGGCTTGCTCACATGGCGGCTACGTGGGGCTACGTGGTTGTTCCTGTCGTCGTCGTGGGTTGTGTGAGGTTGAGGTTGTTGACGTTGTGATGTTGTGTTTCGCGTTTGGATGGGGCGTCTGTGGGCGCCAATCAGATGCTAAAGATTCAGCCACAGTCCCCGCTATTCTGGGGATCGGGATTCCGGTTGGTTGGCTTGGCCCGGCCGCCGGCCGCTGGGTCCGTGGGAGTGGAACTGTCCGGGTGTTGCCCAGTTGCCCTGTGGTCGTCAATGGTCCAGGCCTTGACAAGGCCGAGTTCAGCTGCGCCTGCAGAAGGAAAGATTGCAAACGGTCTCCAGGTCTTTGCGTTGATCGTGGCTTCTTGGATATCAACGGCTGTCATCTTCATCGCGGGTTTGCTTCGATTTCATCTTTGCAGGCTCGAACGTCACAAGCGTTCTGTGGTGGTGGCCAGATATCCGACTAACAGCAGAGCGCTGTAGACATTGTGTCGCAGAGTGCTCGATTGCAATAGTGCGCTAACTCGCACCCACTGCATCACGCAGTCAGGCAGTCAGAGCAGTTACAAAACTCACAGACGCCATCTCGAAAAAAAGATTTCACTGCAATCGCGCGTGCCCCCATCATGAGTGGACCAGACGCGGAATCGTCACCGAAGCCTTCGGAGCCTCAACATGTGGGACCTCATAGTTCATCAAATGACACGCACCCTCCATCACCAGTCGCGTCGCCACCAGGGACACCGCCGGCAGAAACAAATGGCGTAGCCACGCCCGTAGCCGCCGCGAGCGGTGTGCCGTCACCCTCTCCGGCTCCCGCCAGTCCGGCCGCCGCCACAACCGGTCCTCCGCCGAGTCCGAGCCCTATGCGAAGCCCCGGCTCCGATTATTCCAACTCTTCGGCTTGGATCACAACCGATTCTTCACCGAGTCCGGACCCCACAAGCAGTCCCGGTCCCGGTCCCGGTCCCGTTCCTGGTCCTTCTTCAAACCCAAGGTCCGGAGGAGCCGCGTCTTACTACCCCCATCCCCGCGCCTATCCAGCATCCAGCTATTCACGACCTCAAGAAGAACAACAACATGAACAGTCACAATCGCCATCGCCGCGGCCAGGTTCCTCCGAAGCCGTCGGCGCCAACTCTAACGCCAATCAGCTAGTAATCCCACCAGCCCCACATGACGGCGGTCCGCCCGGGCCCGGCCCGTCCCATCCACACCATTCTCAGGCGATCCCTACCGGTGCTCCGAGCTACGTAGCACCACCACCTGGCTTCTTATTCCCTCCAACACCAGGCGGGCCACCCCCCGGCACTGGGCTCTACATCCTCACCTCCGCTCCTCATCCCTACCCAGACCCTCCGATCCGTGTCCCTGTCTATCCCCCACCTCAGGCCTATCCCGCGCCTCAGGCTTATCCTGCTCCTCATCCTCATCCCGGTCCTCATCCCGGTCACCAACCTCATCCCGCTCATCACCCCCCACCAGCACCACTAGCACCTCATCTCCAAGCCCAAGCCCAAGCCGAAGCTCAAGCCGAAGCCCACTACAAGCAGATTTACGGACCACGATACGGTCAAGCCCACCCCTCTCATCATCCGCCACCCGTCTATCACCAGGCACCACCGCCGCCGCCACCACCAATGCCACCACCAGGACAAGTTCCCGAATTTGACGCCCCCTTTGGTTTCTACCGCTCGCCAGGCAAGGACCCGACAGAACCGCCTAAGCCCAAGTTCTACCCGCCTTCTTCCAGACCGCTGTTTCTGCTGCAGACGGGGCGGCCGGCAAGTAACTGGAAATCGTCCAAACGAAATGAGGTTCAATGGTACGGGCTGGCTCAAGGCAGAAGTGGAGGAGGACAGCAGCAGCAGCAGCAGCAGCAACAACAACAACAGCAACGGCAGCAACGGCAGCCAACACCGGAACCGCCAACACACCGTCACACCCTGCCACAACCAGGACGCATACCACCACCGGTACATCCAGACTTACTAGCACAAGCACCCAAAGAAAACCCGCAACCCCGAGGACAACCGCAACCCCAAGGACAACCTCAACCCCAAGGACAACCTCAACCCCAAGGACAACCACAACCCAAAGAAAAACCACAACCTAAAGGAAAGCCAATCAAGATCATCCACCACGAACCCCAACCACGACCAAAACAACTCCAACAACTCCCACCACCAGCCCCCCTACCACCCCATCTCCAAGCCCTAGCCGAAGCCGAAGCCGCAGCCCAATACAAGCAGATCTACGGCACACGCTACTCCCAATCCGCAGCCCAAGGCAGAGCCCAAGCCCAGGCCCAAGCCCAAGCCCAAGCCGAAGCCCAATGGAAGCATATTTACCGACCACTACCGGCCCTACAACACACCCAAGCCTACGCCCAAAACAACCCACCGCAAGTCTTGGCCCCGGGCCAGGTCCCAGCTCACCAAATCTACGGACCGCGATATGGCCAAAGTGCAGGCTACCACGGGGGACCACCGAACGAGCACCGCCCCTACCGCTGCAATTTCCTGGATTGCACGCTGAGTTTTGCTCGTAACCATGATCTGAAGAGGCATAGGAAGGTGCATTTTCCTGATAAGCCGTTTGCTTGTGAGAGTTGTGGAAGGAGGTTTGCGAGGCAGGATGCGCTTAAGGTTAGTTTGAGTTTTCTTTTCGTTTTTGTTTTTGATTGAGATGTGGAGGCGAAGGGGGTTGGATTGGAAAGGTTGGTAATGGGAGGGTTGGGTTGGGAGTAAGAAAAGTAAGAGAAGGGAAGGTGTGATGGGAGGAAGATCTTAAGACGGGTGAATGTGATTTCAGCAGACAAGGACAGGAGCGGAGGGCGGGAGAGAAGAAACCGAAAAGGGGAAGAACGAAGGAGAGAAGAGGGGAAGGAAGGAAGGAAGGAAGGAAGGAAGGAAGGAAGGAGGTCCACAACAAGGCAAGAAACCCGCTAACACCCTAAACAGAGACACGTTGCACAAACAACAAAAGGCTGTGGCGCCGACAACCCGGTCGAGATCGGCTCAAGTCCATCTCCGTCATCTCCAAGTTCAACGCCAGGGCCCGCCGCTGGCGATGCCGACAACAACACACCATCATTGACCAGGAATGGCCGATCCAACAGGACAAGATCACCATCGGTATTGAGTGACACGGAGCGAAATCGCGGAGGACGAGATCACCAACAACGAAAACGGAAACGAGATCAAGAACAAGAAGACGACGAAGCGGATACCGACGAGGATTACGAACCTTTGTATGAACCACGTGCAAGCCAAAGTCCGAGGCCAAGGGAAAGACCGAGTCAAGGCCAGATGGAAAGCAGGAGCAGCCAAAGGCAAAGGAAGAGCCCGAGTCACCACAAACAACGTCAAAAGGAACTCCAAAGTCGATGGGTAATCGGCACGAGCGCGACGAGTCACGGTACGGCAGCGGCGGCAGAAGCGGCGTCAGCGGCAACGGCAACGGCGGTGGTGGCGGCGGAAAGAGCAGCAGAGAAGCAAAGGAAAAGCCACAAGGAAAGACAGAGGGAACTTCAAAGTCGATGGGTAATTGGAAGGGGACCAAGTTCGAGCGCAAGCGCGAGTCACGGTACGGCAACGGCGGCGGCGGCGGGAGAGACAGCGGCAGCGGCAAGGGCAGAGTCAGGGGGGGACGCGGCGGCGGACACAGAGGCAGAGGCGGCGGCAGTTCCGAATGCGAGTAAAGACACTGCTTCCGCGGCGGCAGGGGCAAGAGGAGAGGTAGTCCGACCTCAAGCTCAAGGGGAACGTCAAGGAGAACAACGCCAAGGCGAACAACCTTTGAGTCAAGGGGAAGAAGGACCACCGGGAGCATCATCATCATCAAAACCGCCATCAGAAGAACCGGTTGTGACGCACGCCGCCGGGACGGAGCCACCTGATCCCGCGATGGTCAAGGTATTCAAGTCTTTTCTGTCTCAGATACAGTAATCCTTAGTATCTTGGTGGGGTGATATGGATGGAGAGGCACAGACACTCGGTTGCTCACGCCCCCCATCATCCGACGCAAATCACCAAAGCAGGCCGCAAGAAAAGAAATAACAAATTTGATCATCATGGAAAACTTCAAATGCTTTCGAAACTGATGATGCCAGATGACGCCGGACTGTCCCATCCTTATCCATCCCAGTCCTTCCCAATGATGACGCGATTCTCAATGCCCCGATGCATTCATCCATTATTCCCCCGTACATGAACCATCATCCAGAATCATTGTGACCCCCTTAGATGTGGAAAGCGTCAACATTAGCCTTGATATAGTTATACGAATCACTGCGGAAATCATCCTTAAGATAACCGGCATAGTTCGAAAAGAACTGGACCAACTTCCTCTCCTTCTGCCACTGCGGCCAGTCCTGGGCGACCTTGCTCTTAGAGGATGTGCCACCGGAGGCATCGTTGGGGTCGAGGTTGTAGACAAAGTTGGCGTAGTAAGATTGTATGCTCTTGCTGGCGTAGTTGGGCAGGATGCCGTAGAACACCTGCAGGAGATCGGAGCCGTGGAAGGTTCCGAGGATGGGGGTGCCGAAGTCGTACGAGGCCAGGTAGGACCAGGCGGGTACCGAGGGGTTGAGGCTGGTGGCCGCGTCGAGGAAGACGCGGCGGGTGAGGGTGAAGGTGAGATCGCCAAGGATGGCGGCCAGACGCTTGAAGCCGGGGTAGATCTCGTTGAGGATGCCGGTGCCAAAGGGCGAGCCGGCGGAGAGAAGCGGGGTGTAGGTCGAGACGAGAGACTCAATCTGCGACTCGGTGGCGTCGTGGAAGAAGACGTCGTTGAGGTAGCTGACCAGCTTGCTGGTGGTGGTGATGTTGCTTTGGAAGAGGGAGAAGAGCGTGCCCTCGTCCTCCTGGTCACCGATGATCATGGGGACGGCGGCGTACTTCTTGGCGAGCACGAGCTTATCGGCGCTCTGAGTCAGAACCTTGCCATCGGGACGCGGGAGGTAGGAAAGAGCAACGGAGGTGTACGACAGAATCGCAGGCACCGAGTTGGCGGCCTTGAGGAAGGTGTCGTAGGGAAGAGCGCGCAGGCAAGCAAGGGTGTCAGCAGCACCAGAGCAGCCGGCGTTCTTGACGACGGTGTCATAGACCTTCTGGCCCTTGGGGCAGTCGACGGGGTCGGCGGGAACCATGGAACCAGAGTTCATGATGGCGCCACGGAAAAGGGGCTTGCCGTTGTACGTGTTGTCACCGTCGTAGAGAGACAGCTGGTTGAAAACGGAGATGGCACCGGCAGACTCGCCCCAAATGGTGACCTTGTCCGGGTCACCGCCGAAGGCAGCAATGTTGTCGGCAACCCACTGGAGACCCATGCGCTGGTCGAGGAGGCCCAAGTTGGAAGAGCCATCCTTAAGGATCTCCTTTCCGGGCATGAAACCGAAACCACCGACACGGTAGTTGACGGCAACGTAGACGTACGGCTTACCCATGTTGATAGCATTGGTAACCAGGGGAGCGCCATCGTACCCGGAGGCCCATCCGAGCTGTGAAGTGTTAGTCGTTGTTTATCACGGATATAGGCTGGGTTGCTTACCTCGAAACCACCACCAAAGATCCAGAAAAGGACGGGGAGCTTATCGCCGGCCTTGGTGCCCTTGGGACGAGTGACCGTGATGGTCAAGCAGTCCTCCTTGATGTTGAAGACAGTGTTGAAGAGCTGCGTGTTAATGAGCTTATCGATAACCTGAGGCAGGAACTCGTTCGACGAGGTGTCGGCAAGGAACTGGGGGCAAGCAGGAGCCATGCCAGACGCATCAAAGACACCCAGAGACGAGTTAAGTCTCACAGGAGGCTTGAGGCGGAGGTTGCCGGTGGGAGGAAGGGCGAAGGGGATTCCGTTGAAGGCCTCAGTGAGGATGCCGTTAGCACCCACAATGGTACCGGTGGAGATGGTGACAGTCGGGGCGGCCCGCTTGTCCAACACCTGGGTAGGGGGCTCAGCTGGGGCAGCAGAGACGCGGCCGAGGAGGGCCAGCGAGGTGGCAAGGAGAGCGTTGGAAAAGCCCTTCATGGTGACGATGTGGCCCGGAGTGGATGAGGAAGGGAAGGAGAGGGGACAGTCCTTGTCGTCTCTACTCTTCTGATCACATCTTGAAAGCGGCGGGATGGTGGTGGTTTAATACCAATGTTGACCGGCGGTCTATCCCTAGGTTGACCCACCCACATGCTCCGTGGATCCATCTCACAGCAACAGCCAAAGTCCGTAGTCCCTTGACCCCCGTCAGTTGAGTTGGACGACCTCGCAAGCCAGACCAGAAAGGAGAAAGGTTTGCTTGTGTGTTTCCACCCCGCATTCTGGTGATCGCGGTGTTGGGTTGCTCACCGGAGCAACAGAGTGGAGGGAGGCTCCTTCATGGTTGTAAGCAGGGCCAGGTGACCATGTGCCAACATGGAGATATGGACGAGACGGGCAAGTGGCCGAAGGTTAGGGGAGCATTTCCCCAGACTTTACCACCCTAACTACCGCCCAGGTTACCAGTTCGGGTACCCGGGGAAAATGCAACCTCACAAGACATTTTGCGAGTTTGGATGCCCAACACCACCAAGGAAATCAAGCGAGAATGTGAGATGGTGACCAACTCTTTAGAAGAGCAGATGGCATGTGAAAGATGTGCAACCAGTTCCTGAGGTGTGCTTAGGTGTGCCTGGCGGTGTTTCTGTGCCTGGCGCTAGACGAAAAGCCTCGGTCTGGTGTAGGCAAGGATAGTCGTCGATAAAAAGGCGCCATCGTTAGTTGGGCGTTTCTTGGTGTCCGCGGTTGGTCATGGTTGGATGAGAGCTTTTCCAGCTTCCGATCCAGAGTGAGGGGTACCTGGCCAAGAGTTGGAGTAGCTTTGCCGGAGCTCACGAGGCACGGTGAGGCACAGCCAGGCTCAGTCTGGAGACATTAACTCGAGGCTATTTGGGACAGTCCTTGCGGTGAGATTAACCCTGAGATTTGTTGGTGACGAAGCCATCTTCATTGCATTTGACTGTGTTTCTCGTCATGTCACGGACCGAGACATTGACATGAGCTGGACGGCGTTGCCGCTCGGGACGGAACGTGTTGAAGCCACGCATGCTTTCGACAGGCTGAGATACGAAGGGGGCTGAAGTGACGGGAGTCAATGTGACACTGTCGGAGACAGAAACAAGAAAGAAGCACAAAGTCAAAGTCGAAAATGGAAAGAGAGGATCGCCGCCGGTGCAGGTGGGTTGGGGCATCATGTGGAGCACGGGGGTTTGGCCGATAGTGAGAGCACGCGCCTCCGTGCTATGCGCCCAGCGCGGAAGGCAGCGCGGAAGGAGGCAGGGACTCTGTAGTTCCCTGCTGGTGATAGCGCAACGGCAGTGCAACTGCCCGCCATTGCATTTTGATATCGTCCGGCGACTCCATTCCGAGCCACGACGGCGTCAATTTTAGCGGCGTCAATGTTATCGGCGTCAATCTTAGCAGCGGCCAAACTGCCCACGACTGGGTCCCATTGTCCAATCCTCTGGTATCCGCTTCAAGATCGTTGCAACTCCAGCCTTCCAAACGACCCGTTTGATAGTCAGGTCGAGATAGAGTTCGACTCTGGGCATTGTCACCACTGCGGTATCGTGAGTTGTTTGCGACTTAGAGGAAATCTGCCTAAACTCTCGGCCTAGGCAAAATCTCCGACATCAAGCTCTCTTCTTTCATGTGAAAGAACAACTCCAAATGCCAATGCCAGACTACTAATCTCCTCGTGAGGGGTTAGGTCGTTGGTGTTAGTCATCCAAGGAACTGTACAACCTCCAACTGCGAGACTCGTCACATTCGGATACAAACGCCGACGACGTCTCCCCGCATCCACACACCTCCATGATCCATCTCGCATGCATGAGCACAATCGGAGAGAAAATCTGGGGTACGGAAACCACGGATCACGGTAACGGCAATTCGGCAAACGGCTACGGCGGATTACCAAACCAACCACCACACCCACTCCTTCGTGTTCGTGATGATGTTCAGTGAAGTTGCGGAGCGTTTACCCCAACTTCTTCTTGGTCTCAAGATCAGCAACCCACGACCATGTCCAATCACAGTCTCCGACAGTCTGACGTCTGCCAACCTTTCCCATCCCAATTTCGGAGTTTCCAAACTCCAATCTTCTCGACTTCACCGATAAAGAACATGTGCAAACCCTTGGATTTCTCTCCACTACCGAATTGAATACCGAAATGGGTTTGGTTCGCTTTGTTCGGGGAGTTGGCTGTTTCTTGGAAGTATCGATTGCTCGGTAGGTCCTAGTGTAGGTACAACAGGACACTCGAACGGGGAGGGGGGACCGCAGCACAGAGCAAAGGTTGAGCCATGAGGTGTCCTCCTCACAAAACACCAGTGTAGTGCTACTTCCCTTTCCGCCGGTCAAGATCATGTGTTGCGCACCACGGACAGCGAGCGGGTGTGGAACAGTCTGTCAGTCTCATTCTGGGTCTCGGTTCTCACTCACAGTCTAGCTCTCCGAGTCCGAAATTTCATGGGCCCGCGACCGCCGCCCACCACAGGCCACACCATCATGTACCACCAGTCCACCACTCGATCGTCCGTCCCGTCTCTAGTTGTGGTTCCTGAACTACTGGAAGTGGTGGGACTGGATCATCACACCCACATCAGCAAGGCAGTCCCACATTTTCAAAAAGGGGGGGAGTGTCTCCTGTTCCTGACGATCCGAGGAAATAGCTTGCCAATGGTTTGCGGGTCTCCCACGTGTCGAGACGACGGATGTGATGATGCTTATGCTCAACGGCGGCACGTGAACGGGGCTAGCGAAGGTGGAGTCAATAGGTGGAAGTGATCGATTGGCATACTATCTGCAAGGAACCAGGCACTCATCGAGAGATGTGGACATGGTGGTTGAAACCCGGAATGACGCTTGGGAACTTGCTTGTCAGCAGTTACCAGCAACATGTACAGGCGTAAATCACACCGAAAGCCGAATTCTGTGTACGTGATAGGTATTTCCACTGGTAAGATGGAGTTGTTCGTGGGTATCGGAAGGACCAAACGAGGTAATGCCCCGATGTTATCGTCCAGACCGAGCTATCTAAGGGCTCAGGCAGCTCCAGCTCCACCAAGGCTTTCGTCGCCAATCCCCATAACTATCCCCAAGAAGGTCAAGATCATGGTGTTACCCCTTTTCATCTCCAACCTCCAGGCTCCAGTTTAGCCGCAGCATAGTCCAGCCCATACACACTTCCACCGCCTCTCGTCATCTCCCCTAACCACACCCTCCCAATCTCTTCAACCTCAGAGCTTATTGAACTCATCATTAACAACATTGTTGATCTCAGGAAGGAAAGCAGCCGGGACGCCTTCCTTCTCTGCTACTTCATCGACAACTACAGTATGACGAAAACGAGTCCAGTTCGGTTAGCGTTGCTCCAAATCATAAATCGTGAGCTTCGCCAGAGGTGGGCAACTTCTAGGAGCAGGAGTTGGAATCAGGAGGTATACTTACTACTGTCAACAACGGCATCCTCCTTGGCGTCGTTACCGATCTTATCGGCTGCTACTTGTTCGGCGGCGCTGGAAGAGGGGGAGTGGGAGGTTAGTCACATGCTCGCGGGGCTGAGGGGTTTAGACTTGAAGTCTTGGGGTTTGTATGGCCGCTTGGCAAAAGAAACCTTCAAGGGATATGGCTGAAGGAGCAGTCCATACAGACCTGAACGTACTCTTGCCCGTCAACAGCGTCGACGACCTCCTCGACGAAATTCTCTAGACCCATGGTTGTAGTCGAAGATTGGTGAATGTCTTGAGCGAAAGCAAATCAAGGCGATGGTGGTGGTTCGTAAGGGATAGGTAGTATCGGCTTAGTTTCGATATGATGAACGGTAATTGATATCTCCGTAGTATAGGGTAGTGAAGTTCGTTATTGATACAAGTTTCTTGAGAATATTTGCTACGAGTCCAGTCTCGAGAGGAAGCATCACCAGCCCAGTCACAAAAAAACGGAGTGGCCGATCCGAATAAGCCTCACAGATGGAAAGTCACGACTGATTCAACGTCGATGTTCGACGCACGAAGAAGGGCCAGACCAGCAGAACAATACCGGCAGCCTGCTTCCCTTTAGAGCCAAACCCTACCTCTATCAGCGGAAGGCACGAACATGAATCATCACAACTCGATGATTTCCGCTTGACTTCAGTCACGGTGTCAGGTGGAGTGGACACGTAGATACCAAACACTCGCACCTGCCACTTGAGACAAAGACAATCGAAGACAGTGAGGAAGGAGCGAACGAGCGGGTGTAGTCTGCATCGATGAAAAAAAACAGCAGAGAAAGAAAGGAGGAGCCACCCACCCGCCTCCGCGCCAAACCTGCCTGCGAACCAGGGAACCTAAGGTGCCCTTGGGGTCCGGGTACATAAGTCCCCTTAACTGGCCGTCTTTTCCGTGGTTGGCTCGGTGGTGTAAAAGGCAACATCCCTGAGGTGGAATGATTTCACTTCTGACTGAGGTCCTTGAGGAAGATACGGGTTCGAATCCTGAACGGGGCAACCACACACACTTCTTTTTTTGCACTTTTCTTTGGCACTTTTTCTCCGTTAGGTGCTCTTCCTAGATCAGTCAAAACATCGGTGTTCATGTGATTCCTTTCTGGCGATACGGAAGGACTTCTTTTGGCTTGGTTCTCGTTTCGTCGTGCAGCATTACATCCTTCTTTCCTGAAGTTCATGGCCTACCCACACATCGTTGGGAGCGCCATACCGAGACTCCATCCCGAGTCGAGTGTCCGTAACACACGGAAACGTACAATCGGTGAGTGGTGACGGGACACAAACACCGACACTGACACTGACACATGGAATTGACAGTTTGTGATAGTCAAAAGTACGTGTCCCTTATCTTGCGATGCGGTACAGATGAAGGGAGCCGATCGAACTCACGGTGGTCATGATTAGCACGAAGGAGGATGGCTTGCGTTGGTGGGTAACTGGCTAACTGGTGGGTTCGACATCTCCTCTTCGACGGGATTGATGAAAATCGCAAATATCATGGACAAATCGGTCAGGAGGTGGATAGATGGTGTTGAAACGTTGAGCTCTTCGAGCGGGATATCATTGTTTGCCTCCCGTATCAGGATGCTTCTAGAAGCACGCTGTCGTAGTCCATAAAACCATGACAGGATGATCATGCATTAGTTGATCAAACCGAGGTGGTGGGCATCGACAGATAACAAACGTTTAAAGGGGAACGTTTGATAGACCTCGAAGACAATCTAATCCCTTTCATCCTAAACAGGAAGTCAAGCAACCGAATCATATCGTGTATTCTTACATGAACCCATACCCATCACCTTCTATCTTTACAAATGACTCAAACAGAGATAACCAGTAGCGCCCTCAACGCCAGTATTCTTAACACCAACTTCGATATACCATATCCGACTTTGATCAAACGAACCATGAGTTGGATTGCAAAGGGGGTATCGTTTCCATGTTTCCCAAGCTTCCTGATCTGAGACGCCATCGCATGCCCGTTCGTAGTTCCCACCTCTTTCTATCCCTCCCGTCCCGTTTCGCCTCGTTGATAGAACTCATAATACACTTCCGGTGATACAGAGATAACACGACAAACAATCGATACCCAGACCGAAAAGAAACATGATTCATGACAAATGCATCGTGTGTTCATAGCATAGACAAGAAAGAAACCTCAAGAGCATGACCTCACCGACCGTCGGTCGGTCGACCGACTGTGAGTCAGCAACTAACGGACCTCCACAGCACTGATAGACCTCGCCGTCCTCCTCCTCTTAGTATTCGGACTTAATACGGGCCGATCACGATCTGCTCGGTCTGCTCGATCCGCCTCAGATCTTGTAGGGCTCGTTGGGGTGTCGCTCTCAGGTGTCTCCTCCTCGAAGCTGCTGTTATAAACCTCGGACAAGGGTTCCCGTTGGCTATCACTCTCACTACTCTCCCCCCTCTGGCTCTGGGAGCTCGTGGCGCTTCCCTGACTGTTGTAGCCTTGACTCCCCTGACTCTGACTTTGATTCTGACTCTGACTCTGACTGCTCGGGCTACTTTGCGATTCCCTCCCTCCTTGCCTCTCCGCACGTCGTTTCCTTGAGTTGGATTCGTTCTTCGGCGGTGTGTTGTTGTTGGTGTCCTCTTTGCGCGGTTCAACGAGAAGGTCCCAGAAGCCGATGTGATCGGGGTAGAGGTCGGAGTACACATCCGGACCGACAATGTCCTTACCCAACGCCCGAGCCAGGCGCTCTTTCAAGCCGAGAATGGGCCAGAAAGGAACGGGCGTCATGGTTATGTCGAGATTGATCTGCTTTTTTGCTTTCTTGGATGACTGGGGTACCTTGAGCGGGTACAGCCACCGCTCCATGTAATCTGCCGTCACCGTCGCCGTGTAGACAAGAAACCTAGGGTTGTTCTCGATGCCCTCGTCGTGGGCAATGACTGTCACCTTGGTGTCCTCGAACTTTGGTTCCGCAATCTCGAAGGGTTTGCCGTTACCGGAGCGCGTGGACTGCTGGGAGTCGGATTTTTGCGAGTGCGAAACCTCCTGGTAGAAATGCGCTTGCGCCATGGAGACCATCATCGCGACAATATACGGATCCTGATCGACGTCGGCGGGTATCAGATGTTTCGAGCGCAATGCCTGTAGACTGGCGACAGATTCATTGGGATTGAAGGGCGTTTGAACGATCCTGAACAGGTTTTGTCGTATCAAAGCAAGTTGCGACTTGTTGATGTAGGCTAATATCGGCATGTTGGGGGTCTGCTGTAGTAGTTCGGGCTGCGGCTCCTGCGGGCTATTGGGTACGTAAAAAGAGTCGTTCGGGACCGTTGGTATCGTTGTGAATGAACTGGCGTTGGGTGTCTTCCACAGGCACGGAATGCGCACCGCCTTCCGGAAGACGCGCTGGCCAAAGTAAATGTCAAGCTCGGCGTTCATCTTTGGGTTCGCTAGCCTATCCGGAAAAAATATCCCCATTGCGTTCTTCATAGCCATGTTTTTGCAAAATATCCGTGTCATGGACGTTTCGCTCCTGATAAGAGTGTGCAGTTGGTCGGTGAGCTGGCGCGCAAGCAGCGAAGGATCGAGCCATCGCCCAGGGACAGTTTCTGGAACCGGCGTGACAATAGGGGCGCCTTCGGTGAACGATGCGCCAAGGAGCGTGGCATGGAGATCTGTCCAGCAGATGGGGAGAAGGTAGAGCGATTTGCCAGAATTGTCGTGCATTATGTCGTATATAGAGCCTTCATCGGGGCGGTGTATTCGGGGAACTTTTCGTTTCCTTGGGGTGGTCCGTTTCCGGCGCGGCGGCGATGACGTCGATGCATCGGTACTTTGGCTGCTGAAGGCGGGGCCGTCGGGATCGGAGGCTGAGGCCGGGGGTTGTTGTGTAGGGCCCGGCGATGGGCCCGGCGATGGGCTGGATGTGTCGCGTGAGGCTGACATGGCTATCATGGCGCGCAGATGTCCAAACAAGGTGCCACTGCTAGAGAAGAGGGACCTGAGGACAGGAGATGCCGAGATTAGAGAGGCGCGCGTCAGCTGGTTGTTGCAGTGTGGATGTAACGTTGGCGCGGTGTAGCTCTTTCCAAAGATATCAAATATTCGTGCAGTGATCAAAGAACAAAAAGAGCGAGATCGCAAAATGACCTGACGTACTCAAATGCGTTCATGAAAGAAGAGACGGGAGTGACCGGGAACTATCTCGAAGGGGGAGGAGTTCCTGGTCTTCTGTTCTTGTCGATTCGGTTCAATGGACTGGACGGGACGCAGTGGATGCGACAGCTCTGCTAGGGCGCCTTGACAGGGCGGATCAGCGGAGTGTTTTGCGGGCGCTGGAGGGAGTGATGAGCGCGTGCACGTTCCCTTTTTTCTGGGGTCCCCTTTCTTTGTTAGTCCAAGTTAGCCGCACGCACAAAACACAGGTGAAATCACCAAATTCATAACTCACCCAAGATGGTCCCTGGAATGATGTTTTGTTATTGTTCGAGGAATGGAAAAAAACGATCCAAAGCTAGTCGCGCCGGTAACAACTGAGTCACCGCAGAGAGAGAGGAAAACACTGGGATCAAAGTTTGCCTCCTAGTTCACAAAGTCGGAGGGTCTTGTCCGGCTTCTTTTGTTTGGCTTTGCGCGTGAAGAAGCGAAGGGCTGCCCTGCCTGCGAAAGTGGTCTTGGCCTGTCTTTAAAGATTGAAGAAAGCAGGGTAGGCGGGAGAGAATCGTGACTGGCGGGGTGATGTGATGGGAGAACCCCAGATACCCCTCCGTCACCCTTTCTCAGTGGACGGCCACGGCGGCGCTTTTGATTCCGCGTGTGTGCCTGTTTCGGCTGGTGGTGTGCCTGTGTGTGGCAATCCCGGATTTGCGCCGGATGAACAAGTGCGCCAACAACAGCCAGCCAGTCTGGACCCTTCAGGTTCCGCTCTCTGCTGGCTGATTTCATCATCTGCGACGCGCTAGCACACGAGCTCCCGTGACCTGCTGTCTTGGCATTCCCTCTTGTCTCTTCAATGTCTCTACTTTCTGAGTCTTCTCCTCCCTCCTTGACGACGGGCTCCCTTGTCGTTCAAACAGGCAGCGATGGGCGGAGCGCGGCGTCCACGGTGTTGGACTGCATCCTATCCAACCAACATCCCGGTGTTGGGTCTGACATGCTCTCCGAGAATATCTGGATGGGGTAACTCTTCCAGGTTGTTGGACTCGACCACGGCGTGAACCTCGGACAATCTTCTTCCTTGAAAGATGCCGCCATAATCCGTAAAGATGGGATCCTTAACACCATCTTGAGCGTGGGGTCTCGCTCTTTGTCTGGATTCTGAGACACAGCAACATGAGCTGTAAGGAACGCATTTCGGCCAGGACCAACGGGCGCTGACATCGAACGCGGTGGCTGACTACACGACATGTGAAGAGTCTTTGTGTAACCTTCCTTTGTACACCAACGGAGTGGCATCTTCAGCTTGTTCACATCCGCACTCTTTGAACAGATGATGCGTCGTGCAAGACCTTCCGGTCGCATCGCCGATTAGCCGGGACTACGCGGTTCCACTTTAGGCCGCGAAACCCCACTTTATCGGAGCCAACCGAGCTGCTGCCTGCCCGATGGTAGGGTCGGCTCCGGTGACTCTACACGTGATGGGAACCGGGAGTATCTGCTAAGCCTCATCCGGACACAGCCACTGCTGAGCCACGAATTCAATTAGTTAGGAACATGACGCACAGACCAGCTTCAGCTCTCGCAGCGGCACGGTGCAAGCAGCGGTCGTCACCGCCAGCTCGACGTCAGCGCAGGAGCCGCCATCGCCCGTCGCTTGCAGCCTCCAGGTCCAGGTCCAGGAAGGCCAGTCCAATCGACCCCATCACCCCGCAAGGCTGCGCTATACGCGGTCAAGTCAACACGACATTCTAGATTACACTATCTCCAACTTAGACCACCCTTTACATTTTCCGGCAATAGCTTCATAGAGGGAGCTTAATACCAACTGTCACAATGCCGGTAAGCAACCAGTTCACACAGCTCCCAACACCATCCGCTATGCGCATAGCTTCCCCCAAGCTACCAGCCAGCTACCCCTTAATCGCCCGTCCGCCCGCCCACCCAAAGCTCCCCGTCCATGATCGCATCACCACCACCGCCACGATAATACCACCGCTTTGCGCCAGTCGCAATCCATAACCTCATCCACCCCATTACAATTCCCAAACCGCATACTAACCAACCCCCCTCTCTAGGCCTACAACTCCGTCTTCAACGCCGACCCCTCCCCCCGCCTAATCGGCAACTTCCCGCTCCTCCCCCTGCGGACCAAGATCCGCGGCCCTACCTACCCTCTCCCGTTCCCCGACCCTCCGCTCCCAGCCAACGAGTCGCCCGATCCGGACTCGGAGTCGTACGACATTCTGGACGAGACGCTAGCTCTCTTCCGGGCCAACACTTTTTTCCGCAACTTTGAGATCCAGGGCCCCGCGGACCGCCTGTTGGTGTATGGCATCTGGGTCATCAGCGACTATCTGGGCCGTATCAAGCCGCACTATGGGGTCAGGGAGGCGACGAAGGAGGTGAATAATGCGGCGCTGGATGTGAACTTTGCGTTGCCGGGGGATCCGGGGTGGCCTTTGAATCAGGTGAGTTTTGGTGTCTACTATGGGTTTAGTTTAAAGGATGGCATTAGAAGATAGGAGGATGGGTGGACCGAGAGGCGGTGAGAAAAGGGGATAGTACAGTATAGCTGACAACTTGACGACGACAAACAGATGTACGAACCCCCCCGCGACCGTCAAGACGCCGAAGTCCTCCGCCAGTACATGTCGCAGGTCCGGCAGGAGCTGGCGCAGAGGTTACTGGCGCGCGTGTACGACGACGAGACCGAGGACAAGCCGAGCAAATGGTGGTTGAGCTTTACCAAGAGGAAGTTCATGGGCAAGGGGCTCTGATTTGGTCTTCCCTCCAGGTCGCGTTGCATCCGTCGTCAAGCTCCAAAGTATAATACGTACTCTACAAATAATATCTACTTAGTTTCCTAGGTTGCGCAGGCATGTTGGGGAGAGCGAGCAAGCCTGTTAGTTGTTCGTTGTTGGGTCCGGTTCGAGTAAGCATAGCTCGAAATGCACATACACTTATAACTCGATCATGAGCGACATGGGTTGTATCTCCAGTTAGCGCTCCATTAGTGAAATTATTGCAGCTCTATTTCGTGCAAATAATGGTATCTAAGCGCAAACGAGATCTATGCGTATCTGTCTTGCTGGTTCTCCTGGCTGCTACTATCGGACCCTTTCTCACTGCTTGCTCGCCTCTCATGGACAAAGCATCATCATTTAGACCCATGGTCGCCTCCACTCCTCCTCGGCTGGTCGAGTCCACCTACTGCAAGCCGGCCTCGAAACGCTCTAACCGTCTTTTTCCTTTTGACTTGCCCTCGGCCTCATTGCTGCTGTGAAACCCTCCTTGAATGATCTTCCGATTCACGGGGAGAAAAGTGGCATCCTTGAACCCACAACCAGCTCTTTCCGATCAATCCCACTTATGCCGAAGCCGGCGTCGAAACGCTCTCCTCCACCTTTCTCCTCTTAAACTTGCCCTTGGCCGCAATCTTGCCCTCCGCCGGCTTGGCCCTCCATCCCGTAAAGATATACCCATCCGCACCACCACGCTCCGTCATCAGCGGGTGCGTCCTGCCCGGCAACACCTGCCACCTCCTCGCCCTGCTAGTCTGGATGCTCGTGCCCAGCAGCAGCGTAGGATTGAGCGGGAACTGCTCGCTTCCTTCCCACTTCTCCAGCTCCTCGGCCGTCTTGCCCTGGATCTCCGCCACGTGTCCGCTGTTCCACGCCGTCCTCCTGGCGACGCTGAAGCAATCGGCTAGTGTCGCGAGAGGCTCGAGAGAGGGCGAGTAGATGGCCACGGGAGCGCCGCCGGCCAAGAGCGGAAGGGCGTGCTTGAGGATCGAGATCGGGTCCATGGTGCTGGCGCAGACGAGGCCGGAGAAGTTGCCGGCGCGCGTGCTGTCGACGATGTGGCGGACGCGGGCGTAGCGCCTGCGCTTGCGGTGGAAGTTGCCGCGGCGGCTGGGCTTCCAGGTGCTCAGGGTCTCGGGGTCGGCAGTGAGGGGAGGGGTCGAGTACGAGGTGTCGAGTTCGGGCTTGAGGAGCTGTAGCCAGCTGAGGGTCAGGAGGTGGTTGAGAAGCGGGTGCGGTGGGTGTTGTGGGGCGGTGACATCGAAGTTCCAGTAGTTGAGGAATGAGAGGTTTGGTTGGCTGGCGCCGTGGAGGACGGTGATGGTGTTGGTTTGCGAAAAGGGGACGGCGAAGTCCGAGTCGCGCGGCTTGTTGTCGCGAGGGCGCTTGGGGTGTCGGGCGAGGGTTGTTGTCTCTGATGTCGATTCCTGTTGTCCGTCGGCCATTTCGGTGTCTTTTTGGCTGGTCGTTTCGGATTCCTGGTTTTGTTCTGTCTCTTCCTCGGTCTTTTCTGTGGCTTCCTCCTCTTCCGCGGCTTCCTCAGTCTCGTCATCTTCCTTGTAGAGAACGCCCATGCGCTCAGCCATGGCTGCTACTAGTAGACCACCGGTGTCATCGACAACTAGCCATCTTCCAGCCAGCAAGTCCTCTTGCAGAGGCGCCAGAGCCTCCTCTCCTTGTTCTGTCGTCGCCTTGGGATCCTCCAAGAACACATCATCACCACCGTAGTGCACATTACCCCAGCAACCGACCAGACCCATCATCTCGGCCCGGATGTCCAAGATCTTGCTAGCATCTCTCTCCTCCAGCTGCCAGTTGGAAAAGGTGGGGACGTCGATGGGCAGGACCTGGAATCTTCTGATGTACTTTTTCGTCTTCAACAGCTTGTACTTGGACAAACTGAAACTCGTCTTCTGGTCGAGAGCAGCATGCGACAAGAGAAGCTTGGCGATGACGTCCTTGCCGGCGTTGGTCCCGTCGCGCTTCAACTCCTCGATTTCCGCTTGTGTCAGCCTCTGGCGGGCGTTCTCGTCGATGACTTCCTGGGTGGACCGCGCGATGACGTTGCCGCTCTCGGCGTCGACTAAGCTGAACTCTTCACCCTCGGCGGTGGCAATGACGGCGTCATTGTTCGAACCGGGACCGGCAGCGGGGTTGGCGCATTCGGCGTCCTCTTCGGCGAAGACATCGGCGTAAAGTTCGGACGGGGGGACGACTCGGAGGCGGGAAAAGCTCTCTTCGGGAAGCTTGTCTTGGACCTCGAAGGTAAGGTAGTATGGGCGCTCGAGGATTAGGTTCGCGGGGAAGGTGCCGTATTTTCCAAGAGAGATGGATCTGGTGGTGACAAAGGCACATCAGTATCTCGCCATGTTTTGTTTACTACGAAATCGTCATGGTCCTCTTCGGTTGACGTACGTATTAGGAGCAACCTGAATAACTCTGGTGACACCGGAGGGTAGCTTGAGGGCTACCCAGCTGTTGGGCTTGATTACTGAGTGGTGCATCTTGAATTGCTTGGTTCGCGATCCAAGTTGTTGCCGGGTTCAAGATTGCAAAATGCGATTCCCAAGGACGAATTTCAATTGACGCCGCGCCGAGAAAAAAATCAGCGAAAAAGTTCCAGAGCTTAGCGCGTTGCGGGGTCCTGCGGGGCGGCTGGGGGCGTGAATGGGACTCGGCCAGGCCAGCTCCACGCGCAGGGACCTTGATGGATTGGGGGCGGGACCCACTTTGAACCTCACTGCTCAGGGAGTGTGCACTAACAATTACCACTGAAGCATCAACAACGTAAACAAAGATCACACAATTCCAACTTTCCACGTCGACATCTGCAGGTGTCTGTTCTTGCCGAATTTGTCATCAACGGTGGTTAGGAAGGCGCGCCTGAGCTGCCATAAGAGAGGGGCAGAAGGTTATCTCCATTCAACAGACAAGTCCCGTCTTTCACCAAAGAAATCCTCGACTCCAGCAATCATCCGAGTCCCGTTGTCCTCGTCTTTCCAGACTCTCCCACAAACCATTGCGTCCAACCGACCGCCATCAAGGTTTTCCAACTCATCCGTTGTGCAAAACCGACGGGCACACTATCGAATCATTGGCTCTGCCGATTTTTGCTCCTGATATCTCTATCGGAATCGTTCTCGTAGACCTCTTTGCTTTTGATAGGCCTGACTCTTTGCTTCGACTTTCCACCCCTTCTGCGTAATTGCGTCAACCCTCTTCCTTCGTCAAGTTTGAACTTCAAGCATCGTCAAACCACCTTCTTCCAGCTGACTACTTCATTCTGACAATGGCCTCCAAGGTTGGCTGTAACCTAACCGTCTCCCTCCAAGGTTTTGTAGCTAACCTCAGGACGACAGGATAACCAGGGATCGGGAGCATTCATCCGCAGCGAAAGCGCTTTCCGCAACTTCATCTCCCCTGACCCCAATGCTCGATTTCCGGCAGAAAAGGGTCGCTATGCTCTGTACATTTCGCCTACCTGTCCTTGGGTAAACTTTGCCCCTCTTCCACTTGGTTATTATTCTTGTCGGCCATCAACTTACACATCTGGAACAGGCACATAGAACCACCATAGTCCGGATCCTCAAAGGACTCGAGGACATTGTCGACCTGTACGAACTCCACCCATCCATGGGTCCCAAGGGCTGGTACTTCAGCGGTGAGGGTAGCTCTCTTCCGGCCGACCCCTTGTACGGCTTCAAGTATCTTCCCGATCTCTACAAGAAGGCCGACCCCTCCTTCACCGGTCCCTTCACAGTTCCCATGCTCTGGGACAAGAAGAGTCATACGGTAGTCAACAACGAAAGCTCCGAGATCGTTCGCATGCTCACCATCGCCTTTGACAACCTCCTGCCTGAACACCTACGTGAAGTGAACAGGCCAGGTGGCGGACTGTACCCAGAGCACCTGATGTCTTCCATCGACGAGGCAAACAGCTGGGTCTACAACCTGATCAATAACGGAGTGTACAAGACAGGTTTCGCTACCACCCAGCAGGCTTACGAGGCGAATCTATACCCGCTTTTTGAAGGACTCGATCGTGTCGAGCAACTACTTTCCTCCCCTCCACCCAGCGAGAGTGGCTCGCCAGACACAAAGTCGAGGAAATACCTTCTTGGGGACAACTTGACTGAGGCTGACGTCCGTCTGTATACCACGATCATTCGGTTCGACGTCGCATACCGCCCAGTGTTTCTTTGTAGCCTTAAATCCATTCGACACGATTATCCGAACATCTACTCCTGGCTTCGGCGCTTGTATTGGGATAGAGACAGCCGCGAGACCAATTCTGCGTTCCACAAAACGTCCGCACCGTATCTGGATGTGTATGGGCCGTCATACGCCGCTGCAAGGCACAAGAAAGTGTTTGGCGGGCAGGGGCCTTTGATTGTCCCCAGGGGGCCGACGCCATTGATCGATCAGTTGTAAGACATTATTCCACACAGCGAAATTCTTCGATGCTATGCTACAAATATTACTGCGAAACGATGATCGGTGGTCTGCTGATAAACGAAATGATTCCTTCGTCTTCTATTACACAAAACTCGAACAAAGTACAAGACCCAACACCTTAACAGAGTGGGAAAAGAGGGTGAGAAGAACGAGGAAATGGAGAGGTCAAAAGGAACATCCTGCTCAAAAGTAACCCTTGTGCTGTTTTCGCCGACCACATCTCCAAGCACGGAGAGGCGCAATGGAATGCTACCTCTAACTTTGACCATTAGATGGATCAAAGGGGTTGATGGTTTCTTGTGCCAGTCGTTTCTCATCGCGACTCTGAGAATTGGACGGATCAGGCTCCGGAGTGGTCTGATTAGATCTCACAGTTCCCTCGGGTTTAATCTCGCTGGCCGGATCGACCTCCTTGGCTATACATGTATCCTTAAGGATATGCCCCATGCAGTGCTTCTTCTTGCAAAGCTCCAACTGGCAAAGATCCTTTTCATAATACAAAGTGGTTTCTTTGCCTCCAACGTCGAGGACAAGTCGATCTTGTGGTATCCCCTCATTGCACGGCCAGCCGCCATAGGGCCGACGTAGGTCGTTCGTCTCGTACAGGCATCGAAACAGCTGCACCGCATCAAGCACATGATACTTGCACCAGAAGGGATTCCTCGGGCCCTTGGATACAAGTAGCAGCAACTCGAGCAAGCCCCAAATGGCCGTGAGAAAGATCAGGATGGCCACCAAGGAGATGATCCCGGTGAGCGAAAAGGTCTGGATGTCCGGGCTGGACACCACAAAGTGCCCGGACCCTTCCTCGGCTTGTCCGTTGCCACCCCGGAAGACATTGGGGTAATTTTGATCGGAACCACCAAACATGGTTGCGTCAATAAAGATGTTCCGAGTCGCTACGAAGCTCGCGAGGACTAGGCGCTCCATATCGCTGTCAATGGATGACATGGATGCATCAATCACCCCGTTGGGACTGGTAGTTCGAGACCTGAGTGCCGAGTCACCGCTTGCGTTTCCCAATCTGACAAGCATCGGGCCAGCGAAGAATGTCGTTTCGAGGACTTTTACAAGGACGTCGGGGATGGTTCGACCCGGCTGGTCTCTGAGGTTGGCGATCGAGTCGAGAGCCGTTCCCTTGTGTGACCACTGCATCTGCTCCCAGCAAGAGAGGATAGGTCTGGCCCGCTTCATCCAAAATTTGGCGTTGAACTGACTTGGGCTAGCGGGCTGGTCACGCAGCTCTGTCGAGTACCAAGGATCACTGCCTTCCGTCACACTGGTCCGCCGCGCGGAATTCACTATCATAGCAAAGGAGTAGTTGGAATCCGCTGGTGGCCCCTTCACGAGGTACTCGCTGGGGAACTGGAAGGCGGCGGTAGGTGCGCGAGCAATAGCAACCTCAGATAACCCGATGGACCATGGCTGGTTCTCGTTGTTCCACAGGTGGTAGGCCTCGCTGGCATTGGTACTGATGTTAGGACGGTACCAGCTGTACTCAGTCCTGCAGTAGCCCTTAACCCCAAGTGCGAGGCCATCGCCACCCCGCAGACCTAGCTCGACTCCGGTAAGATTGTAAGCGTAATTGACCTCATGGAGAAGATCGGTTCCGTTTGGTATGAGGCCGAGATCCTCGCTCGTGATGTTCACGCGAGTGCGTAGTGTCACTTTGGCTGCTTCGACGCTTCCCAAAGAGCGCAAAATGCCTGGGGCACGGAGACCAAAGTCCTTCAACTGCTGAACAGGAACTTGACCAGGGACGTTGGGGTAGAAGAGAACACTTGGGTTGACGGGTGCGACGTGTCCGATTGAAACGAGCCAGGAGACGACCGTCGACATGGCTACACTCCCTCCCCAGACGGCAAAGCAAACGAGGCAAAGGGACAAGCCGTACAGGAAGTCGCCTCTTTGCTTGGGAAGCTTTTTTTCTTCCTGATGACCGCCTTGAGTGGTCCCATTGGCGGTCACTGACCCTCTCGTCTTGGGCTCCTTGATTGTCCGTGGATAGCATTGAATGGTGTACGTCACCAGTCGAAGAAATGCAGCGATTGCGTCGCCTGAGTTCCAAAGCATGATCATGCCAACAAATCTCCTCCTGGACTCGTTGCCCGTGAACAGCAGGGAGAGGAAACAGATTATTTTCCAGAGGGCCGCAAAACTCAGAGTGACGACAACGGAGAGCGCGGACGCTACAAGCACTGAGCTTTTGCCGGAAAATGCTATAGCCCATCGGTCTCCTTTGTCGCTAGGCATGTAGAATGCCTGTGCGAGGTAGTAGGCCGTTCGTGGAGGTGGGGTGTATATGTCGGACATCTTGGTCGAAGATGAGGTGAGTCACCTCTAGAGTCTGTCTGGCTTTGCTCTTGGAGATTGACCGAGTCAGCAAAGGTCTATCCGGAGCCCTGGGTATCCCCAAAACCAATGGCTGTTGCCGACACTGGAAACCATCGGTTGTCAAAACTGGAGAGAAGCAACTGAACTTACAAAGGGGAGAATAGATTGTTCCGATATCGAATGGATACCAAAGGCTGAATATCGCAGACAAGAGCCTAATAGCTCGGATATACTCAGCTTCGAGCTGCCGATGGCTTGGTCAACTCAGATGGTGATGTTCCTGACCCCGGGCTTTACCCTTACCGGAGTATTTAAGTTTTGAGGATGTAAGTTATCAAGGCACTGATTCACCAAGATGTGGCATTCGAGGTAAACTGACCTAGCCATAACATGAAGGTGGCAAGGGCTGGTACCGCTCTTCACCAAGGTCACGTTGAGGGAACACAAGCCAAACCTCGTGCCCTTAATTTTGCTTCGGCCCTCCAGCCTCATTCGATATCCCTACATCCATGAGTTTTCTGGACTCCATTCGGCGTCTCGTTCTTCATCCTGGACCTGTCACCTCCACTTTCGTGTTCCCACATCCAGACAACTTCAACTCCGCCTTCGTAATTCTAGATTTCCTCGGCAAAGACTTCCTCATCCAGACCTGACGAGCAGGGCGAGATTTCCTCGAGGGCTTGAGAAGTGGTTGGCTGGGAGGTTGAGTTGGGTTCAACGAAGTCCTGGCATCAGGCTGGAAGAGAGGTTGCTGCTGGCCTGCTGTCCGGAGATAGCCCGTTCGGATTTTCCGTCCTTCCTCCACTCCCTCCGCTCCCTCCACCCTCTTAACTCCCTCCTCTCTGCATGTTGTCAGGCCATGATAGGCCGCGACACTTGGAAATTTCAAGAACTTGATTCAGCCGCACGACGACCAAAGTCTCCCAGAAGCTTTGGAGTATGTGGTTCCTGGTCTCCATTTGCACGACTCTAAGACTTAGTGTGCCGTACACCCGTGAGTGAGTTGCAAGGACTTACTCCATGGGAAACCCTCCCCGCACCCACCCTATTCCTAGACGTACCCTGTCCCACCCAGAAAAGTGGGACTGCAGCTGGATGACACCTGACATCGAAAATCCCGTTTTTACCCGCTAAATTTCGTATTTTCAATGTATACCAATATCCTTTATTACAGGGCTAGCTTATAATGTGGTTGCACTACACTGACTGTATATATACCATGCTAGAACTAGTACTATAGCCTAGAGCCATATATTTACGTATTAGTTATATATTCTAATTACGTGTAGCCTTATGTACGCGCGTACGGACTAGTCCTACCTAAGCTTTTGCCTATATAGCCAATCCTCTACGCACACTTCCCTTTCTCTCCTTCGTATAATAACGTATATTTTATCCTACCCCTAATAATACCCTTTCGTCCCGTAATAATTTATTATACCTTACTATTACGCTACGTACGCTTACCTAAAGGAAAATCAATTATAATTAATTTTTAATTGTTGTAATGTCGTTAATTTAATATTACCGATTCGAATTAATTAAAATTCGATACTAGAGCGATTAAAATTCCGCGTCGCAATCTTCGGCCTCGAATTAGGTAATTACTAAGCCGAATATTATTATTAAATAATTTGTACTCTCTTTTCCCTTCTACTTACTTAACGTATTAATTTAATAATTAATATCCGATATCGTTTTATATACTCCCCTATAATTAATATCTTTCTTATTGTTACTACGGTCGGGGCCCTCGCTACACTAAACCCGGTTAACTAAAAATATTATTCTAATGTTATTTAAACGTTCGAATCTTTTAATAATTAAGCAATTTAAATTAATATCGCTACCGAATATACGTTTAGCTTTATTTAACTTCCTGTCTTTTAAATAAATTTTTAGGGCCTTCGACCGCCTCTTCTATAATAACATTATTGCTACCTATATTTAAATATAGGAGGTATAGAAAGAGTTCGCTACGTCCGAAGCCAAATTCGCTACCATACTATATAATATTAAATATTGTAATAGTAATATTATTATAATTTAAATTTAGGCCTTCTTTTATATGTAAAAGGTAATTAAGAATTACGATAAAGCTATTAATAACCTCCGTAATAATTACGTCGACGAATTTAAAATTATCCGCGATATATATTTTAGTATTATTAATATTTTTAATAATCATATTATTATTGTAAGGTAAGAATTCGCTAATTTCCGCGCGAACTTCTAGAAAACGTATAAGAAATAAGGTAATAAATATTTAAAATATATTAATAATTTTCGCTAACGTTTTATCGCCACCTTTAAAGCCGAGCTTATCCCCAAACCCGAAGTCGCTATCCCGCCTCCGCTTTCCGAAAACTCTAATAATAATAAAGACTCCGAAGATCCCAAAATAATAACCTTTAATAATAATAATAGCTATAGGTCGGTATAATATATTATTATATCTTTTACTTTCGACGGTAAAAGTACTTCTATTCAACGTATCGTTAAATACTGCATTTAACGTCTCCGCGTTAAATTAATTTAAATTAATAAATTGAAGGTTTTTATTACCGAACGTACTAAATTTTCGTTAATTGCCCGCTTTATTAAAGGCCTTCCTTTCGAAGCTATCGAAATTAAATTTAATAAGGTCCTTACCGGTAAGCCCGTTAAATAGAATATAACCTTCGAATTACTCGACAAATTCGATAAAAAATATAATAATATCAATATTATCGTTTATTTTCGCCGCGAATTAAAAGAATTAAAAATAATTAAAGGAATAAAATAGTAAAATTTCGAAGAGAAATTCACCTTCCTTATTAATTACTATAATTTTAATAACAATACAAAGGTTTAGTATTTTCGTTAGAAGATTAGCGAATATATCCGTATTACTTTTATTTACTAAAGTGATTAGCCCGCTAATAATAAATACGAAGAATAGTTTATTAAGGCCCACAATTTAGTTAAGAATATAAAGAATAAATATTAGCGTAAGAAGAATGCTAACCCTTTCTATAAGACTGGTATTATTATTAGTATTAGCGCCTCCGCCCCCGAACTTAATATTAATTAGGGTAGTAACTCTATAAACTTTAATACTAGATCCGCTTCCGATATTTAATTCTTTTATATAATTAATAACGAAATCTTTAAATTCCATATAAAAAATAAAATATATACCCGCTATAGAAAGAAGGGTTATTTCTCGGCTAAATACTATTTTCGTATTAATTTTCAAAAGGAAATTAAACCCTTTAACTACAATAAGAATAAAAATAAAAATAAGAATAGTAGTAATAATAATAATACTAGTAACGGCGGTACCGGCGGTTAATAACCCGCCCAAAATTAATATAACTATAATTAATAGCGCCCCTACAACGGCGGCGGCTATTAAATTAATACTATTAACGTTACCCCTACTATAGGCGCTCTAACTCCTAATACCCCTAGCCCCGGCGGTTATTACTACCCGGTCCCTATTTATTAGCCCGGCTTCGTTAGTTTCATTATAGGCGATAAGAACGGCTCTATTTATAATTAAGGAAATATATAGCTTCTTAATTAAATTGCGTTTAGAAATATTAATTTATAAAATAAAAAGGAAGAGAACAGGGGCCTATTTGTAACGGCGCTGGCAGACTGGGTCTGAGTGCTATGTACGGATGTGGTTTACGAGGGTGCTGGAATAAGGTATATAGAGGATTCTGGGTACGGTACGGTCTAGGGATGCGAGCCATTTAATTAACTATACTAAAACTAGCTGTAGGGTAGATTTTAGCACGTATAAAGTTTATTATATAAGTAAAGGGGATACGAATAAAGGGATTGGCTAATAGCAACCCGTATATGGGTCCCGCTGTCGCTTATATAACTAAGGTATTTATTTGGGTCTATACGCTTATATTTAATTCTCTTCCTCTTTCCTTTTCCTTATTTAAAATCTTCTATTATAGATAAAATCTTAGCTCTACCTTCGACTCACTTATATTATACCCTTATATTATTTTAAATCAATTAATAATAATTACTTAAGAAAGTTAAATCCTAAACCAAAAATGAAATTACAAAGGTTTATTGTAAGAATTTAAGGTATTGAACATTTATAATAATAATATAATAATATTACTACGCTAAATATATAATAGTGGTGGTAATTGTAAAAGTACTGAATAGACCGAAAACCGTAACGAACGTTATAATAAGGACGTTTTTAACGACGACGATAATTGTAACGATATTTTCTTCGATAACGAAGAGGGCGGACACGGCGATAGAGAAGGAGGTTCTAACTTTTTAAATTCCGATTTAAATAAAATAAGGAAAATACGGTTATTAAACCGAAGGTTAAAAAAAAGGTCGTCGTTAATAATAAAAAACTTATTCCTAAACGCTAAATTATTAATCCTATTATTAAGGATGATGCGTATAAAATTATATGTTTTATTAAGGAGCGATATAATAGCTTCTACTTAAATGAGGAACGCTTTTGTAGTAAGTTTACGATCTTCTGTAAGAAATCTTTATATTATATATATTATTAATTAGAATTACCCGATAAAGTATTAACCGACGTAGTTGCTAATACGAGAAAAAATAATAAGGAACCCGAATTATCTTTTAATCTATTTAATTAATATATTATAATAGCGGTTAAAAGTATTAAAACTTTTAACGCTCGTTTAACTAAATATAAAGTTATTAATAATTTAAAGTAAAAGATAGAAAAATTTATTAAATCATTTATCTGCAATTCTATTACTAATTTCCCCTTCCAAATATTATTCCCTTCGAACCTCCCGTTTCTAATTATTTAATTAAAAAGAAATCTATTAAACTATACTATAAAAACCCCTAGGCTATATTCTAAGAATTTAAATTACTATTTATTATAAATATAGTATAGAAGGAATAAATATTAGAACTTTATCGCCTCGTTTCTTACTTAAATATTAAATTTAAAATTATTTATAATTAGGTCCCCGCTTTAATCAACCGTTATAGCGCTACTACCCCTACTATAATTTAATAATTAAAGGACTCTTGTATTAAAAAAAATAATATTATCGAAGGATTAAAAACTTTATTACCGATTTAAATATTAGTAAAGGAATATTTAACAAATAACAATTAGAATAAAAGGAAGGCTAAAAAAATAATATTCTTTAATATTAAAAAGGAT